CAACTGAGGTAAGTGTGTGACAGAATGAATCTCTTATCATAGCAGGATGGGAATATCAATTCAAACACACAGAGTGCAAAGAACTATTCATTTTGCTCTACCAATTGCTGTGGATAAAACACCCTCTCAGATTAGCAGGTCCAAAATCAAGTTTTATCCAGCTACCTGGCTGTAGAAATGCACACTGTCAGGGAGAAATCCAATCTGAGCCCATGAACAAAGGGCAGATAAGCACATAAACAGCTGCACATTTCAATTCCCAGAAGCCTCTTCAAGGATAAAGAACTAGTTTTATAACTTATTTTAGCTAGGGTCATGCAATATTTATGGCTGGAATGATTTCTATTAGAACAACAAGGCCAATTAATGGCTCCATATTACTGTCTTTTCCACCAATAATTATTTCTTTGATTCAACAACTGTTGGAAGCAATGTATCTGCTTATAATTATAATACCTACCATTCAATAAGTGCCTAGTATAAGCTAGCCACAATCACAGAGTTTAAAAAAATTTTAGGGGGTGGGAATGGCTGGGGAGAGGTTCAGTGGGGGGGTGGGGGGGAAGGAGACATATATAATACTTTAAACAATAAAGAAAAAATATTTTTAAATTTTAGAGTAATTTTTAAAAAAATATATTTTATTGATTTTTTACAGAGAGGAAGGGAAAGGGATAGAGAGTTAGAAACATCCATGAGAGAGAAACATCCATCAGCTGCCTCCTGCACACCCCCTACTGGGGATGTGCCCGCAACCAAGCTACATGCCCCTGATCAGAATCGAACCTGGGACTCTTCAGTCCACAGGCCGACGCTCCAGCCAGAGCCAAACAGGTCAGGGCATTGAGTAATTTTAGATTTACAAAAGTGTTACAAAGATAGAATAGAGTTCCTGTATACCATTCACCCAACTTCCCCTAATGTTTACACCTTATATAACTATGGTACAATCATCAAAATGAAGAAATTAGTGTTGGTATAATTCTATTAACTAAACTATAAGACTATTTTGATTTCTTTGTACTTCCAAGAAGGTTTTTTATTTCCTTCGGTTGCAGGATCCAAATTAGGATCCTGAATTGCATTTATCATGTCTCCTTATTGTCCTTCAATCTCTAACAAATCCAGTCTTTCTCTCTCATGACCTTCGCACTTTTGAAGAGTACTTGCCAGTTATATTGTAGAATGTCCCTTAACTTGAATTGTCTGATATTTTTCACATGATTAGACTAAGTTATAGATTTGGGGGAAGAGTATCACAGAGGTAATGTGCCCTTCTCATTAAATCATATCTGGAGGTACATGATATTGATGTGTTTTATTACAGGTGACATCAACCTGGATTACTTGGCTAAGGTGGTATCTATCAAGTTTCTCCAACGTGAAGTTACCATTTTTTTTCCTTTCCATTTTACGACTGAGGAAACGTGAGATATCTGCTGTTATTTCACAGTTAAGTCACGGAAAACTCGATGAGTTTTAGAGATTAGCTCTTTAACAAATGAGGAAACCAAGGCCTAGAGAGATGAAAGGACATGGCAAAGATCACTCAAGCAGGTTCATCGCAGAACCAAACTGGACCCCAGGTCTCTTGATTTCCAGTGAAGGAGTAAATGCATGATGAAGACTCCAGTAACATGAAATAGGATCTTTGCCTGTAAACAGTCAGCGCTTCCCTTCCCCTCACTCCGATTGGAGAGAAAACTAATACCATCAGCCCTGCTGGAGACGACTGTCAGGACGCAGCTGCCTCATTCTGGCAGGCCTTGCTGTGGCTCTGTAGGCTTTAACACGGCTGGTCATAGGACAGGCAGATCTGGTATCAGAGGCCAGCGTCTCCTTTATTTCTCCTAGAATGCTAGTTATATGGCCTCATTGACTGTGGCTAATGTGTTTCCAGTGGAGCTGCTGTTGACTATTCCCTGGGCTGAGAAATTTAGTCTAGAGCAGCGGTCGCCAACTGGTGGCCCACGGACCACTGGTGGCCCATGAGGTCCGAAAGGTTGGCGACTGCTGGTCTAGAGTGCCCCTGTTGGACTTAGGCAGGACATTCCAAGGGTTTGGTAGATGGAAATCTTAAAAGCAGAGTGAAATGCCTGACAGTGTGATAGGAATTCCATTACTAAGAAGGCTTTTAGGTAGGATGGTCAATTATAAGCTAAAAACCATTCAGCTCCAGATAATTATGTGTTTTGACTGTGTTTCTGCTATCATTATAATACCCTGTTACTGAAAGAGATGGGGGAAAAAAGGAATTCTGCACAGAGACCAAACTCCAGAACTGCAGTCTCCCCTCCAGCTTTAGTGATCTGACTGGCGAGTTTTAGTTAATCAGGATACAAGGCTCAGGGCAACTGTAAGGCGAACCCACGGGGACAAGCTGTGCTTTCTGCTCTAGAGAACCTTTAGGCGAATGCCGCATCTGGGATTGGCCCTGGCCATGCTGACACCTGGGTCCATGACCATGAAGTTTACTGAGTTCTGAAGTGAGCTGTAGCCCAGAACAGAATTAATCCTGTGGGTCTATCTTAAATAGAGGCAGCCTCTTTGGGCAGGCAATGTCTCAGTACCTAGTCTAAGTGGAACCTACATGCTGGTTTCACTTCTATCAGGAACTGACCACCCCAGGTCCACCAGAGCCAGGGTCTGCAGGATGACCTAGACCTGGGGCAAGAAGGAAGGTGACCAAACTGGCCTTCCAAATGTATGAAGGACTTTCCCTGGCCACTACCCAGGGTTTCTGCCCTAAATGAATGCCCACCATAAACATGTGTTCTTTTCTAGTCTATTTCTTAGTGTAAATACCCTTCTGAAGACTCTCCGGCCAGCTCCTGTGGTCAGACGTCTCTCTAGTGCAGCAGCACATAGTGCTACCACAGCGCAGGTGGGTGGGGTCAGGAGCTATGGCCTGGTGCTCAGAGGATGGCATCCTGTGAGGTAGAGGATCTGGCTTGGCTCAGCATTCTCAGGTAAGGAACAGTTGATCTGATGAAGATTATGAAGCAGTCTGCAGCATCAGAGATAAAGGTATTTTCTTGTACTGGGGTTCATAATTAACTCAATTTTTTCATCCTATTCACATGCCGTAGCTTATAAGCCTTAAACCAAACGTTTAAAAGATACCAGATATAGAGAACTGCCCAGCAACATTGCTTTTAAACTTCTTGTTTTAAAATAGTTTAAAACTTATAGGAAAGTTGAAAATAGAGTCTAGAGGGTTCCTGTACACCCTTCACCCAGATTCTTCAATTGTAATATTTTAACACATTTTGCCTATTTTCTCTCTTTGTCTCTGTCTCTGGCTCATACATACATAAATTTTTTCGGAGACACTTGGGAGTAAGTTAGAGATATAATGGCCTTTAATCCATAATACTTTGGTACATATTTCCTAAAAACAGGGAAATTCTTCTATATAATCATAGCACACCCTTAAAATTAGGAAAATTACCATGTAATCACAAGATCCCATTCAAATTTTGTGAACTGTCCCAATAATGTCTTCTGTAGGTCCAGAAACCAGCCTAGGATCACACATTTGTTGTGATGCCTCTTTAGACCCTCCTCCATCTGCAACAGTTCCTCAGGCCAGTTTTTGTGGCCTTCACATTCCTCAATTTTGGTTTATTATAAGTTTTACTTAAAGGAAACCATTAAGTAAACATTAATAAAAAACATTGTTATATATATATATATATATATATATATATATATATATATATATAGTTATTTTAATAGTTGCATAATATTCTACTGTATGAAAGGGCTATATTTAACCAATCCTGTGTTAAAGGACATTTACCTTGTTTCTAGTTTTCCACAGTATAAACCACATTACAATTAGTAGTCATGAGCAATGTATGGGTTTTATGGGTGGAATTACTGGGTTAGAATATGCAAATTTAAAATTTTGGTATAATTGCCGGATTGCCATGCTGAAAGATTATACTTATTTAAAATTCCACCATAATTCACAAGGATGCCTTTGCCCCACACATTAGCACTGGACATTTTTACTTTTAATCTTGGCTAACCAGACCAAAGAAATCATTTATTTGATTATTAATGAGGCTGAACATCTTTCATGCTGTTTAAATTTCTTTTGTGGATTGCTTTTGCCCATATTTTTATTGGAAAGTTTCTGTTTTGTTTTTTCCTTTATTTTATTTTTTCCCATCACCATTTATCTCCCCTATACCCTGCCCCACCTTGCTCCTTCCTTTACCCCCAAACAGTTTCTGTTTTAAAGTGATTTGTCAACTCATTACTTGGCATTTAAGTCTTGAGGGAAAGACACATTATGCATTCACTTTAGAGCTTTGTTTGAAGCTCTGTTGAAATGGTTCTAGTTTCTTACATAAAACCAATTTCCTGAGAAAACACATGAAGATCTAGAAGGTAATAGAACAGCTGTTGGCCAACTCAGCCCACATAGCTCTCTGGTACATACCTTCAGAAATAGGAGGTGGGTAAAATGTGAGAAACAATAAAAGCAGAAAATGATGAAAAACACACAGGCTACATTTCTCTCCACTCAATGTTTCTGGTTAAGTGTTTCAGTATAGTTCTGGGTCAAGACAGAGCAGTTCCTCACTAACTTACTCTGGTAGTTCTTGTTTCTTTCTTTCCTCCAAAAAGATTTTAAATGGAAGGACAGATATACAATAGATGTTGATCTGAATGTAGGTCTTAGTTATTTAGGTTTAAATGCTATTAAAACCCACCATTTATATTAGGTAAGAGCACCTAGTTTTCAGGCAAGGGAAATTTGAAGCTGGGAAATAAAACTTAAGCTAATGCTGGCTTCTTCCTTTCTCCTTAATTGCAAAACTTACAGAAATAGGAGCAAAAAATCTGTATATATCTACGTAAGCTTATATATGGTGCAAAACTCAAATCGCAACTGATACAATGAAATATGTCCACAAGGAAATGCATAATGTTTACTACTTCTAAAGAGAAGAGTCCTTTGTCAGAAAAGTAAATCAGAAACAAATATATTCAATTCTCACTTTTTAATCAATCAAATTCACCAGTTAACCAGTTACAGTCAATACTTACTGAAAGCCAAGTGTAATGGTACTCTGGCAGATATAAGAGAAATATACCATGCTCTTGAGGGACATACTATCTAGCAGGGGAAAAGGCAGACAAATCTGAAACATTAGGTAGGGGACAATCCCTGAGAATGCCAAGGTAGAGCATATATTGTAACTGGGGCAGGATTTCAGAGAAGGGGAAGTCACTACTCATGAGGAGTGGGGGTGTCTAGCGTAGTTAGAGAGGCTTAGTGAAAAAGCAGGATTTGAGTTGGGCCTGGACAGGTGGTCAGATGGTGAGATATGCATAGGCAGAGGGAAGAGGGTGGATATGGGGGCCCAGGGAACAGAAGGCACAGAAGTGACAGGTGACAAATCGCTGAGTGAGGAGGAGTGCTGAAGACGTGAGGCTGCCCCAACAGATGCTGTGCAGGCAGCTGGAAGTCACTGAGGTCTCCAGAGCAGGGAGCACCCTGATGGACAGGTAGGCTGTAATGTTATATCCCACATCAAGCTGTTCTAGAGCCAGAGGCAAAAGGAGAACTCAGTAATACTGATTCTATCCTATCTATATTTAAAATGTTGATATTTTGTTAATTATGGATTTTTTTGCATTAATTTTGAGTTTTAAAATGTTGCATTTAAATATGATTTATTTTGATTACTATGGTTTTTTTGTGTCACACATTTCTTTGTGCCCAAGGTAAGTGCCTCACTGGCTTTACCCTGGTCAAAGCCATGTGTTCTATTTGTAAAGTACAGTGATGGGGACATGGGTATTTACTTTATTATTATTATTAATTATAGCTTATTCATGCTGCAAATATTCTTTTGCTTAGTAGACAGTATTTAATAAAAACAATTAAGATAAATTAAAATTTTGAGATTAATTTGGAACTTTGGTGCCCGAAAATCATGACTGAGAAAAGAACCCTTTGTACTCCTGAGTCAATCTCTAGAGAGAATTACTCCCTCTTGCTATAGTACATGCAGTGCAGGCAGAAAAGGGTTGTTGAAAAGATACTGTGGGGGATCCTGGAGGCTACTGCTCACTTGGAGATAGGCCTCAAGCAACTCAGCTGCTCTAGCCAGAGTGACTGTACTGCATGGCTAGAGACCAGCAGCCATGAATGGGCCACACTCACATGGAACAAACCCATCCTGCCATGCTCAAGGAGAAGCCACTCACTGGGCACAGCGCTGACAACAGGGCCACAGCCTAAGAAGCAGTGAAAGGTACATGAACTCTATAAACGTCTCAGGGCTCCTTGCATCTAGGAGAAGAGATGGTATTTTGACGCAAGGAGTATTAATAATACGTCTAAAAATGTAAAACCTGAAATCTATTGTTCAGTAGTAAACTGATGACTAATGAAGGATTTTTTTGAGCCAATTAATGGGTAGCACAAATCTCAAAAAAGGCCAAGGGAGAGGCTGAAGGGTGCAGGCTGCTCCCTCTACTCGTCACCAGATGCACTTCTCTGTCACTTAACGTGGACCTCCCAGTCAGTGCCAATGTTCAGCGAGAGGTTCTCCAGGCTCAGGGTGAATGTTCCGGCACAATACGTAAAAGCCACAGGCTGATCTTTACCATCTGAATATCAAGACAATAAAAGGGAAAGTTTGATGAACATCTAGGAGAGAAAATTTCTTTCCTGTATCTGAAATCTTTCTGACTTTGTCATAAAACTTTATTCCCTACTTAGGAGAATTTTACCTACAATTTTTACCCATGGACTTTTAAATATGAAACACTCCCATGGTTTGAATGCAAGATCAGTTGAAAATAAACTGTAAGGAACAAAGTGGTTTGTCTAAGAAATTCAGTATGTTAGAAAGGATGCATCTCAACCTATGCCCTTTAAGAAATTCCATAAACACAAGTAGGGCTTCAGATATCTACAGTTTAACAAAAATAGTCAGAGAAGCCACACTATTATTTCAAGCCCAAGTTAATTTCCCTTAGAAAAATATCAACAGCTTACAGTGCGCAGAAAGACCAGCTGATGAAGAGAGGCAGGCTGGCCTTGCTCCCTCTGGATAGCAGTATATTTGACCTCTACCAGGAAGTGTAGAGTCCACTTGGCTAAGACATTATGTCAGTTTTAGGGCTAATCACCTCTTCACCTTAGATATTTCTATGTTTACAAAAATAAATGGTTTGTTTCCTCACCAGATGAGGGGGTGGTCACAGAAGATGGCTGCTTCTTGAGGCCTAGGACAAAGATCTGCTCCACCACACACTTGCTGGTATAATGACCCCTCTCATCAGCACAACTGAAATAAATATACATAGCATTAGGAAAAGAAGAGAAAGAGGGGTTTGGACTGGTTACTAGGCCCAACATCCCCAGACTTTTAGTTACCCTTCCTCCTTTTCCTATGGAAGCCTGAACCATATAGTTATCATATTTACTAGGAAGAAAGGATGGAAACAGGTGACTCTACATGCTGAGGGCTAAGTAACCAGTAGCTAAACCAATGTCTCTTTTTAAAGAAGTCATTTGGAGAGAAATCAGCTAAGGACACTGAAGTCATAAATGTGACTTGGATACAGCAATCAAATAGTAAGAAATCAAATACTTGTTGAATGGTTGAATAAATGGGACTAATGGGAACTTAAATATAATTTTTTTTCCTTAAGAGAGGGAAGGAAAGAAAGATGGAGGTAATAAGGAAGAGAGGTGCATGGAGTGATTGAAAAAAATTATCCAGGGGACTCTGGATCAAGATGGTGATATAAAAGGTTCCTGAATTTCCCTCCTCCCATAGATGAACCAAATGTAAAGCTATACATGGAGCAAGTCCCTTTGAGAGATATCCAGAAACTAGCTGACTGACTCCTACACATACAGTGACTGAAAAAATACCCACATCAAAACAGGTAGGAATGGCTGAGACACACTCTCTCCATAACCCCCAACCCCAGCACAGTGCCATATAATTGGGAGAGAACCCCAACCCCCAACTTCTCCCTGAGGAATGAAGGATCTGGACCATACTTATAGACCCAACTTTTAAGTCCCCCACCTGAGGATTAGGCCCCCAAATCACCTAACTCTGATAGCCAACAGTGTTTATGTTCACAAGTTCTACAGGGTTTTATCAAACAAAGAATGGGTGTGCTGTGGCTATCCCCTCAGGACTCAGCACAGAGGGAGCAGGCAAAAACACCCATTTCCCAATTTCTTCCCGGAAGAGGTATGGCTACAAATTTTTACAGCTACTGCCTGGGGGTCCAGCTTCTAATCAGCCTGCATCTAAGTGCTGACTGCACTCCCCAATTTGGTTCACTGATGGATCTTGGTACATCCTCAACTACTGGCAGCCACTAAGAGCAAAGATGGCCGCTTGGATAATCACAAAAGCTTGAGAAGCAACCAGAAGCTCAGGCTGGGCTGATTGATGAAATTCATCTCCTACACAAAACCAATCTATTAGAACTGAAAGAGGTAGATGTTTTATCTAATGTGCAGAAACCAACACAGAGAATCAGGGAATATGAAGAAACAAGGGAGTATCTTCCAAACAAAAGAACAGGATTAGTCTACAGAAACTGACCTTAATGAAATAGAGATGTTATTTACATGGTAGAGAGTTCAAAATAATGGTCATAAAAATACCAATGTCTGATTGCAAACTATATTACAAAGCTATAGTTATCAAAACAGTATGGTATTGGCATAAAAACACACATCAATCAATGGAACAGAATAGAGACCCCAGAAATATAAAATAGGGAAAGGATAGTCTCTTCAATAAATGGTTTTGGGAAAACTGGATAGCTGCATAAAAATAATAAATAAATAAATAAGAAAGAAAGAAAGAAAAAGAAAAGAAATTGGACCCCTATCTTTCACCATACACAAAAATCAACTCAAAATTGGTAAAGATTTGAATGTCAGACCTGAAACCATGAAACTCCTACAAGAAAACATAGTGAGTAAGCTCCTTGACATTGGTCTTAGTGATGATTTCTTCTGGACTTGACACAAAAAGCAAAGGCAACAAAACCAAAAATAAATGTTACTACATCAAAAGCACAACAAAGGAAACCATCAACAAAATGAAAAGGCAATCTATGGAATAGAAGAAAATATTTGTGAACCACATATCCAAAAAGGATATGTCCAAATATATAATTAACATCCAAAATATAATAGGAACTCATGTAACTCAATAGCAAAAAAATAAAAATAAAAAAAATAATAAAATAAAATAACCCAATTAAAATTGGCAAAGTACTTGAGTAGGTATTTTTCCAAAGAAGACATATGACTGGCCAACAGATGTATAGAAAGGGGCTCAATATCACTTATCATCAGGGAAATGCAAATTGAAACCACGATGAGATGTCACCTCACACCTGTTAGTATTCTAATTATCAAAAAGACAAATGCTGGTGGAAATGTGATGAAAAGGGAACCCCTGTACATTGTTACTGGGAATGTAACTCATATGACTGCTATGGAAAACAGTATGAATGTTCTTCAAAATATTAAAAATAGAACTACCATATGAGCCAGCAATTCCACTTCTGAGTATATATTTGAAGGAAATGAAATAAGTATCTCAAAAAGATATCTATCCTCATGTTCACTGTAGGATTATTCACAACAGCCAAGGTATGGAAACAATCTAAATGTCTGTCAATGAATGAATGAATCGATAAGATGTGGTATCTATCTATATCTATACTAATAATAGAGGAACATGCAAATTGTTCAGGATGCCATCACAGTAACCATAATGACTGAACAGCAGGCTACATGGGGTGAGAAGGCCGGCAGGGGGGTTAGTGAGGGACAATCAAATGACTGAACAGCAGGCTGTGTGGGGTGACCAGGCTGGTGGGCGGGGGGCCATTGGGGGTGACCAGGCTGGCGGAGGGGAGGTAGGTGGGGGTGACCAAGCCAGCAGCGGGGGCAGTTGGGGGTGACCAGGCTGGCAGAGGGGACAGTTGGGGGTGACCAGGCTGGCAGGGGGGGCAGTAAAGGGTGACTAGGCTGGCAGGGGAGGGGAGTTGGCAGTGACCAGGCCGGCAGGGGGGGCAGTTAGGATTGGGCCTAAACCGGCAGTCGGACATCCCCTGAGGGTTCCCAGATTGGAAAGAGTGCAGCCATGAATTTCGTGCACTGGGCCTCTAGTATATATATAAAGCCCTGCTATGCAAATAGACCAAACGGTGGAACCAACCAAACAACCGGTTGCCATGATGTGTGCTGACCACCAGGGGGCGTGCATGGAACATGGCGGGTGTTGGCAGCAGGTGCAGAGTGCAGAACATGGCAGGTGTCAGCCATGGCGGGATGGTGGAGCAAGTGAGCAGGGGCACCAGACCAAGATGGGGTGCCAGTTGCTGTCATCGGGGTGAGCCTCTGGTTGTTACTGAAAATTCTTTGCTCCTGTGCACTGTGGTCCTGCCTGGTGCTTGCACCTGCTGCTGGAGCTGGCCCCTCTCGCACCTGCTGCCAGCACCAGAGCCGCCGCTCGCACCTGCTGTTGGTGCCCGGCACTGGCCCTTATCATTTGGCGCCATCAGGTGTGAGTGGCAGCTGTCGGTCCCGATCGCCCCTCAGGGCTTCTCCAACTCCCCTTGCTCCTGAGGGGCAATCGGGGCCAGCAGCCACTGCTCACACCCACTGACAGCGCCGGCTCCTCTTGCACCCGCTGCTGGTCAATTGCTCTGCGCTGTCAGTGGGTGCGAGTGGGGCCGGTGCTGTCAGCGTGTGGGAGCAGTGGTGGCAGGAGCAGGACTGCCAGCAGACAGGGGACTTGGGGCCACAGTGGGAGGGGCCGGGTTGGGGCGCGGAGGATGGGCCAAGACCCGCCCTTGTGCCACCGCAGCCTTGCGGCCCACAGTTCTTTTCAGGGTGCACGAATTCGTGCACTGGGCCCCTAGTATATACATAATAGAATATTATTCAGCCTTAAAAAAGATGGGTATCCTGCCATTAATGACAACATGGATAAATCTAGATGGCATTTTGGTAAGAGAGATAGGCCAGATAGAGAAAGACAAATACAGCATGGTACCATTTATATGTGGAATGTTTTAAAAAAAGTTAAACTCATAGAAACAGAAAGTAGAATGGTGGCTGCCTAGGAATGGGAGGTGGGTGAAATAGGGAGAGGCTGGTAAAAGGGTACAATCTTTCAGTTATAAGATGAATAAGGTCTGAGGTTCTAATGTATAACCTGGTGACTATATTGATACCATGTTATATAATTGAAACTTGCTAAGGCAGTAGAACTTGTGCTCTCATCAAAAAAAGGTAAATGTGTGAGGTGACAGATGTATTAATTAACTCTGTGGTGGATCCTTTCATAATGTGTACATATATCATATCATCATGTTGTACACTTTAAATATGTTACAGTTTTATTTGTCAATTATACCTGAATGAAGCTGAAAAAAAGTAAAGAAAAGCACTCCATAAATGGCTTTCATCATTAACTTCTTAAATTGTATCTTAAAATATCAGCTGTGTATTTGAGGATATCAAAAGAATAACATAATTTACTTCAGAAAACACAGATTTTTAGCTGTCATTACCTGTTGCTCAAAACACCTGAACAGAAACAAAACTTCCTGTGTAAGAATTGCTGCTTTTGGAGGTATTGGAAAGAATGGCCGTCATCGAGATACAATTCACCCACCGCAGAACCCTAGAGAGTGGATCCAGGTAGAGAATGTGGTTATATAATAGTTTTCTGGGGAAAGGAGGCCACGCCCTAAAGGGAAATAATAGATTTAAAAATTTGTGAAAAATTATGGTGAACAGATGCTTAATATTCAAGCTGTACAAAGTAGTCATACAATCAATACCTATTAGTGAAATAATATAAATAAGGAAATCACATAAGAGGAGCACAAAGAGTTAGGCCTTCTTGAAAGAAATTTAAACCCGAAGTATGGTCAGTGGCATAGGTGGCTTCTCTGAAAATAGGATCCTAGAATGTGATAACAGGTCATAAATGAAAGCGAAGTTAAAAAAATTAGTGTATAATGGATGAGATCAACTCTCTTTAGTAGACACTCCATGTAGGGAATGATATCTAGTTCCTACTTTTTTTAGGAGGAGGAGTCCCTTTGCATGCCATTCAATGTCACAGCACTCCACATGGCAGCTTACTGTTTGGACAATGCTTGGTGTGCTATGGATCTTGAGTCTCTTGTATTTTATTCTGTGGCCTCTTATGTGTCTGAAGGCCATAGTTTGGCCCAATAAAACATGCCTAAGTGAAACAGATGGAAAAGAAGGATGTAAAAAAAAGAAAGCTGAATTATTTTATAATACTTGCATGAGTAAGAAGTTGTGTTTGGTACTGCATTTGGGCAAATGGATAGGAGAGAAATCTGCTTTCTCATTTTGGCTTAAAAGTACAGATCGATCCTTCCAGGCTTTACCCACGGAGATTTCAGTTGTTTGAGCCATCTGATGAGAACAGAAGTCATTGTGTGTGTGTGTGTGTGTGGGGGGAAACGGGGGTGTCCCCAAAATGTTGTACTGATACAGATACCTTTTTACAGGAGACTGAGTTTCAGGGACAGGCTGCCTAGGCCCCAGTGACCTTTCAGACCAGTGGAATCAATGCCAAGTTGCAAATCACCAAAGGTCACAGTGCCTCAGAAGAAATTTCTATCATTTCTAGTTCTCAGAGCTCCTTAAAGAACAGCCCCAGGCAAGTCAGACAAGTTAGACAATGATTCAGAAATGATTAAAACTTTGATTTCTACATAAACATCTGAAGCACCTATCCCATAGATGGGGTTCACCACTTTTACACAGTGTCACACACTCAAGGGGCTACTACTAGTAACAAATGAAATGTGTAAAGGTAACATTTTCCAAATACCTTAGTGCTTAGAGCCACCCGGAGTCCATATGGGGAATCAGTCATCCAGCCTGTGGATTTTCCTATAGTTGTCTTTATAGGCACTATACTTCCACCTCGTTGAAACACTGGTATCTATAACAGAGCGACACTCTCAGGGAAGGAGCTTTCATAGAAGGCAATTTCAAAGTAGAATTTAAAAATGTTTCACTGTACAAGACTCACATTCCTTACACGTATGGATTCAAAGCCAATATAAATTTATGGGGGCCCTGGCATTAAAAGGAATAGAGTTCAAACACTAAACAAACTTCTCACCCTTCATCAATTTATTACCTGTTCTGCCTATCCTATAAGTAGCCTCTCCTGGTTTATATCTTTAATTTTGCTGTCAATATAATAGACATGTTTATTTCTAGAGCCCTGCTAAAAAGTGATTTTTTCTGTCTGTATAAGTAGGCCCAGATGTAGATGTGTGTAGATAAAAGATGGTAGTTCATTTGTTTGTGGAAGGTGACTTTTGTTCTTATTCATTACAACCTATACCAGTGATGGCGAACCTTTTGAGCTTGGCGTGTCGGCATTTTGAAAAACCCTAACTTAACTCTGGTGCTGTGTCACATATAGAATTTTTTTTGATATTTGCAACCATAGTAAAACAAAAACTTATATTTTTGATATTTATTTTATATATTTAAATGCAATTTAACAAAGAAAAATCAACCAGAAAAATGAGTTCATGTGTCACCTCTGATACTCGTGTCATGGGTTCGCCATCACTGACCTATACCCATCTTGCTCCCTGATTTCCTGGATCATCAGGATGAATGATTCAATTCTGAGGATAAATTTGTGAAACTTCTGTTATAGAAGCCACCAAGGGCACTTTAAGTGACTCTAACAACAGGATTGGAGAGATGACCCATACCTCCGGGTCTTCTGGAATGCCATTCCCAGCAGGGAAAGCCCAGCCCGTGTCCTGTCTTCCAGGATGGTTCCCTGTAAGAAAGCTCCCTGGATCACCAAAGGGAGTGTACTTTGCTCTGAGTAAGTACAAGCAGGGAGAAGAGTACAAGAGTCTCAATGAAGGTGGGAGTGAGGGTGGAGTAGCTAAGATGCCCACCCTCTGCTTGACTTGCCGGTGGCAGCAAGAAGTAAAGCACATCTATCTTCCCAACCTCATCAGCCAATCTCATTTCTTCCCCTCAAAGAATGAGGTAGTAAGTTAGTGTGAAATGGGATCTAGTCTCAGTTCTACCATAATCTAGCCACAATCCTGGACAAGTAAGTTCACCTCTCTGAACCTCGGTGTCTTTACCTGTAAACATGAGAGATTGGAGTAAATGCAAGTTAAAGTCTCTTCTAGGTCTGAAAGTTGACATCTGAAATCATTTTCTTTATAATGAAGTTCATATTGCTACTGATAATTAAACGAAAATAACATCAATACCTATTTGTTAATCTTCACACTACTTAGGGCTTGTGGTGATGGTGGTGATTCAGCTGCAGGAGCCACCTTCCCTTCAGAAATTCTATCCAGATGGGCCACTTTGATTCTAACATCATAACTGATTGCATTATCTTGGGCCTAGAGGTCCAGGGTTATAATTCAAACATGTTTTTTTGACTTGGTCCAGTAGAAGGACATTCTGTATGTCATGTGTGGTAACTACCATGTTTGCTTTCTGTGTTCAGTGTTATTATTTTTCTTAGACATATACATGTAAATATATGGGAAAAAGTTGTTTGTACTTTATGTTTCATCAGAGTATGTTATTTTTACACTTTTCTCATATTTTTACAGTTTTATTGAAGTAATTCACATGCCATACAAGTCACCCTTTTAATGTATATATAGTTAAATGGCTTTTAGTATATCCAGAGTCATGCAACCATCACCATAATGAATTTTAAAACACTTTTATCACCCAAAAAAGAATCCCTGTGCTCATTAGCAGTCACTACCCATTACTCCCCAAATTCTCTCCTTTCCCCAGCCCTAAGCAACCACTAATCTACTTTCTGTCTCCATATGTCCATGCCATTTTGTAGGACTCTAATATCCTTGGTTCTTTCTATGTAGGCACATGTTATGGACTGAATGTCTGTGTCCCCCAAATTCCTATGTTGAAGCCCCAACTTCCAATGTGGCTTACACATTTGGAGACAGGGCCTTTACAGAAGTAATTAGGGTAAAGTGAGGTCATAAGAGTGGGGCCTTGATCCTATCCCTCACTCTCCCTCTGCTATATGAGGACACAGCAAGACGGCAGCTGTCTCCATGTCAGGAAGAGAGTCCTCACCAGGAACTTAATTGGCTGGCACCTAATCTAGTACTTTTGCCACCAGAACTATGAGATATTAAATTTCTGGGTTTTTTTTGTGTTTGTTTGTTTGTTTTTAAGAGAGAGAAGAAGGGAGAAGGAGACAGAGAAACATCTATATGAGAACTAGTATCACTTGGCTGCCTCCTGCACACTTCTTACTGGGGATGGAGCCTGATACCCAGGCATGTGCCCCAACCAGGAATCAAACCGACAGCCTTTTGGTACACAGAACAACACCCAAGCAACTGGCCAGGGCAATAAATTTCTATTTTTTAAGCCAACCAGTCTATGCTATTTTGTTATGGCAGTTCAAGCAGGCTAATACAGTACAACAGGTAAAAATAACATTTCTGAAAACAACTTACAGTGTCCAAGGCTACTGGGATCTTCACAGTACATGCTCCTTCCCAAGAAGCAAATGTCTTAGAGTCATACCAGACCTGGAAAGGAACATACCCCAGTGAAAAAGAGCGTATGAGCAACTCTGCTCACAATTTTTTTTTAAATTAAATCTTTATTGTTCAGATTATTACATTTGTTCCTCTTTTTTCCCCTCATAGCTCCCCTCCACCCAGTTCCCACCCCATCCTCCGCCCTCACTCCTCACCCACTGTCCTCATCCATAGGTTGAGGACATCCATTTTTGTTCAGTCTCTTCCTGCATCCCCTACACCCCTTTTCCCCCCAAGAATAGTCAGTCCATTCTTTTTTTATTTCCCTGATTCTATTATAATCACCTGTTCATTCTGTTCATCAGATTATTTATTCACTTGATTTTTAGATTCACTTGTTAATAGATGCATATTTGTTGTTCATAATTTGTATCTTTACCTTTTTCTTCTTCTTCCTCTTCTTAAAGGATACCTTTCAGCATTTCATATAATACTGGTTTGGTGGTGATGAAATCCTTTAGCTTTTCCTTATCTGTGAAGCTCTTTATCTGACCTTCAATTCTGAATGATAGCTTTGCTGGATAAAGTAATCTTGGTTGTAGGTTCTTGGCATTCATCACTTTGAATATTGCCACTCCCTTCTGGCCTGCAAAGTTTCTGTTGAGAAGTCAGCTGACAATCGTATGGGTACTCCCTTGTAGGTAACTGAGTTTCTTTCTCTTGCTGCTTTTAAGATTCTCTCTCTGTCTTTTGCTCTTGGCATTTTAATTATGATGTGTCTTGGTGTGGTCCTCTTTGGATTCCTTTTGTTTGGGGTTCTCTGTGCATCCTGGACTTGTAAGTCTATCTCTTTCACCAGGTAGGGGAAGTTTTCTGTCATTATTTCTTCAAATAGGTTTTCAATATCTTGCTCTCTCTCTTCTTCTGGCACCCCTATAATTCGGATGTTGGTACGCTTGAAGCTGTCCCAGAGGCTCCTTACACTATCTTTGTATTTTTGGATTCTTTTTTCATTTTGCTTTTCCGGTTGTGTGTTTTTTGCTTCTTCATATTTCAAATTGTTGACTTGATTCTTGCAATCCTCTAGTCTGCTGTTGGGAGACTGTATAATATTCTTTATTTCAGTCAGTGTATGCTTAATTTCTAGTTGGTCCTTTATCACAACATTGAGGGTCTCATTAGATTTCTTATACATCTCATTAAGTTTATCGGCAGTTTCTAGAAAATTATTGAAAGACCTTAAAAGTGTGGTTTTGAACTCTATATCCAGTAGTTTGCTTTCCTCCATTTCTGTCATTTGTCTCTTGTTTCTTTGTCTCCGCATTTTTTATTTTGATGCTTCCCTGTGTTGATAAAGTGGTTTTTCTGTGCTAAGTGTTCTCTAGGGCCCAGTGGTTCAGCCTCCCCAAATACCTGAGGAGGACACTCTTGGTGCACCCCCTTGTGGTCTTTGTGCACAGTCTTGTTGTAGTTAAGCCTTGATTGTTGTAGTTAACACTGGGAGGAGTTGACCTCCAGGCCAATTGGCTGTGAGAATCAGCTGTGTCTGCAATTGGAGAACTTCTGTGCTGGAGACACTCCTCCGGGGCAAGACTTGCTTCAATGGGGCTTTGGTGCTTACTAGGTCTGCCCCCTGAGTGTGTCCTTTAAGAGTCTGAGAAGCTGCAAACTGGATGGTCCCACTCTGACCTCTGGGTTTCCTGGCTCCTGGATCTCTAGGGAGGTGCTAATCTAGCCTTTACCTGAGGCTACCCAGCAAAAGCCTCCGTGCAGGGCTTGGGTGGGGCGGGTCCCAAGAGATCAACAGGGCGGGGCGAGCAGTTATGGATGCTCTCAGTCCTGCCCTCAGAGGGTCTGCTTCTTAGTGCCCCGGTAATCGCTACAAGCACCTCGGAGAGAAAGCTGCCCTCGAGTTCCGACCAATGCCAGACAGTCCCGCTTCTCCCATATGAGTCTGGGTCTCTAGAGACTCGCCCGGAACTGGAGCTCAGAGCCTGAGACTCCCTCCCGATTGAAAACGACAATCGTGCCCTCAGCTGCCAGCCCGCTCCGTGTGCGCCTCTTTACCTTAGTATTTTACGTCTGCACCGCACCTCCTCTGAGTCCCGGTATGCTTTTCTCTTTCCTTCTAGTTGTAGAATTTCCACTCAGCCAGCCTTCCTGTGGTTCTGGATAATGTCCGTTCCATCTTTTAGTTGTATTTTTGAAGTGGTTGTGCGAGGCAGCAAACTCCGGTGTTTACCTATGCCACCATCTTGGTTTCTCTGCTCACAATTTTATTATTCAGTAAAACACCCATTTATCTTGATTTCAAATACATGTAACCAGAAAGCTAAAATAAGTATAATTTAAAAAATCTTGAGTAGAAGTTTGGAAGGACACATACTTTTAAGAAGATCCCAAAAGACTAACCTACTAATGTGACAGATTAATTTGACTAAAAGGCCACTCATTTGCCCATCCATCCATCCATCCATCCATCCTAAGGTTATCAATTAAATAACCTGCCATGTGCCTAGCAACGCGAGGTAAACATGAGTGAACAGAAAGAGGCAGTTCCTGACCTCATGGATTTTACAGTCCAGTTGGCTTATAAGAACTTAATGTGTCCATTAGTAAAAAATATGATGAAGGAGAGAAGGAAACAACAAAGAAGGAAAGCACATTGCAAGCAAATGAATGACAGATGAGGCGTGGGAAAAAGAAAGTGTCAGAGAAGGAAGCATCTCATAGAAAAACAAAAGGAAACTTGAATGACTACAATAGGATCAATTTTTTTTTTTTTTTTTTTTTTTTTACAAAGTACAATTCAGGGATGAGGTTCAAACTCTTATCTGGGATTTCTGTCAAGGGGGTTTACTTGTTGAGGTACCAAAGAGGTACTACAAAGCAATTTGATGGGCTAAATCAGTGGTTCTCAACCTTGGCTGCACATTAGAATCACCTGGGAATCTTTTTAAAATCCTGATTTCTGGGCCTCATCCTCCGGAAATTCTGTTTCTTTGTTACTAATGTTGTGGCCCCACCCCATAACAAAGAAACAGAATTTCTAAGGATGAGGCCCAGAAATCAGGATTTTAAAAAGATTCCCAGGTGATTCTAATGTGCAGCCAAGGTTGAGAACCACTGGGCTAAATCCTTAAGAAACCATCAGCATGAAAACAAAAACCCCTTTTTCTCTCTTCGAATCCACCCACAGAGCCTCCTTCACAAGTTCACGTCCTGGGATTATCACATCCTTTATATAGCTGGGCTGTTGCGTCTGTCACTGTCCTGCTGTGAATGTGAGAGCTGTGACTTTACTATGATTAGCTACAGTGAACTCTTAATTCAACAGGATCAATCCCATCTCATCACAGGGTAGTATCCTTGGCTAGGTTCAATTTGCTAATGTTTTATCAAGTATTTCTGTGTCTGTGTTTATAAGGGATATTGTCTTAGGTTTCTTGTCTTGTAATCTTTCTTTGGCGAATTCCAGTAGCTTTAAATAAAGAGATGGTGGGAGTAAAAGCTAAGAACAAAAAAAACACTGACTCAAATAAGATTTTAGAATTACCTGTCTACCACTTTTAGAACTAATTAGAATGAGAGGTAGAGAGTATTTTTGCTGGTGCCATATACGAAGATCTCCAACCTAGAAGGAGTTTAACTGGTATAAAAAATCATATAGACCAGACCTAAAGCTCAGTCACCACGCTCCTCACCCAGCAAGTATTTATCAAAGGCCTACTATGTGCCAAGAACCCATCTAGAAGCTGAGGATGCAGCAGTGAACATAGATAAAAATAAGTCTTAAAAAAAGCTAACATTCTAATGGGAGAGAGAGAGTATAAACAAAACATCTAAGTAAATATACAGAATGTCAGGAGGTGGCACCATTTTGTGGAGAAAAATAAAGGATGAAGGAGGGCTGGACAGGAGCAGTCGGGGTGGTGTATAACCTTAAAGAGGTGGTCAGAGAAGACCTCGCTGGGAAGGAGATGTTCAAGAAAAGCCTTGAAGGAGAGAGAATGGGCCATACAGAGACATGGGGAAAATGACAGTGAGGGACCTTAGATATTTCCCTTGCACCCTGTGATGTGGTACTAGCCAACCAGTGAGGCAAATGTCTGGCAAGGAACGGCTTGACCCTTCTACCCAGGCTTTGGGAAGATGTAGCAAGAGCAACAATTACAGATGCTCTGGGGGATAGTGTTGAGGGGGTATATTACATAGTCACAACAATGTGCTTGCAATTATGACAGGCCATTCATAAACATGTATGGCCAAATCAGAAAGGAGGCTGGTTCCTCTGAACGGGAGCCTAGGCTTTGTGAGAATCAACTGGAGAAACTCAGCAGAAACGCTTGGCAGGGCAATTAAAAAAAACCTTTATTGTTGAAAGTATTACATGTGTCCCCCTTTTCTCTCATTGCTGGTTGGCAGGACAATTTATTTAGCTGTTGTATTTGACCTTTTTCTCAAATTTCTACTTGGCAAGGGAACCTCTGTAAAGAGCCCTCAGCTTCAGAATTGTAAATTCCGGGAGAAACCAAGGGCAAAGACCATACTTCATGAACCTTCTGGAGAAAAGTCTGGCTACTTCCTGATCCCTGGAAGGAGTGAATATTCCTGTCCATGGTAACAGATTTGACTCAAGTCAGGAGCTTGAGATAAGGAGATGATCTGGGGTTATCCAGGTGGGCCCTAAATGCCATTACATTTAAGAGAAAGAAGGAAGAGGAGACACAGACACACAGAAGAGAAGCACTGTGGTGATGGAGGGGTAGACTGAAGTAATGCAGCTACAAGCCAAGGAACACCAAAGATTGTGGGGAGCCGCCAGAAGCTGGAAAGAGCCATGGAATAGATCGTTCCTCAGAGCCTCCAGAAGGAACCAACCCTGCTGACACCTTGATTTTGAACTGAAGCCTCCAGTACTGCTAGAGAATAAATTTTTGTCATTTTAAGCCACTAAATTTGTGGTAATTTGTTACAGCAGCCTAAAGAAACCAATACAAAAGATGATATTTAAAGAGAACACATTAAACCATTTTATTCAACCTGAAAAAAAGGAACCAATGCAACAACCACACATGTAAAGTTGGATGGAGGGAGAACACTGGCACTGGTTTCCTGGTGTTGTCATGACAGCACTTGACAATACATGAGCATTGAGCCTGCCTGGCTCAGCTACCTCACCATTACCTCGACAGTCCAAGAAGAGCTTGCCATGCCAGGCCCACGTCAGTTCAGTATTCTTCATGGCTCTTCCCCATCTGCTGAAGCCTGTGGCAATGCTCCAGTGCTCATGGATCCGCTCCAGGGTCTGCCTCCTTCCTGCTCTCCATCCATAGACTCTTCTCCTAGTCTGATGCTTCGAGTTTCTGCCCTGTCTCTTCTCCTAAGCCCCTTTGGATAGATCAGTGATGGCGAACCTTTTGAGCTCGGCGTGTCAGCATTTTGAAAAACCCTAACTTAACTCTGGTGCCGTGTCACGTATAGAAATGTTTTGATATTTGCAACCATAGTAAAACAAAGACATATTTTTGATATTTATTTTATATATTTAAATACCATTTAACAAAGAAAAATCAACCAAAAAAATGAGTTCGCGTGTCACCTCTGACACACGTGTCATAGGTTCGCCATCACTGGGCTAGATCCTTGGTTTGTCTCTGGAGACTGTTGCTCTTATCACCCTCGGCTGGCTGCTCTGCAGCCCTTTGGCTTATATCCACCTCTGCCCCTTGCCCTGCCTGGGTTCAGTGCCCAGGGCTCCAACAGGTCTAGGATTTTATACAGTGGCAAAGATCAATGACAATAACCAGTACAAGAGCAGAACAAGGCTGGAGGGGCAGAGGGGAAAGTCACTGTTATTACTTTTTATCCACCTTGGTGAATGTCTGGATGTGGGCCGCGGCTACAGTGTTTTGGCCAGGTGCAAGCCTCGGACTAATGAAAGGACAGGGTCCTCTCATTGCCACGTGCAAGTCCCAGCTGGAGGGCAGGGCCCTCCCAGCACAAATACAGCCAACAGCTATGGTTGTGAGCTTGAACCTGTGGTCCGAACACGTGGCCCCACGTGCCTTGTGATAGAGTTCAGGTGCATGTAGTTGAGTGGGGTTGAAACTCACGAGAATGCTGTAAACAACTTGATCACGCCCCTACTTTGCCTCGTGGCATCTGCTATAAAATAAAGACACGGCTTGTGGGCGCTGGCGCTGTCTCCTCATCAGGGAGCAGCGTCCCACTGAGACCCAGCTTTCATTCTCTTGTCTGTCTTTTCTCAATCCTTTCACCCCCCCACTCAGGATCACCTTTGGCCGTAACATCTGGAGACCAGCTTTTGGTGACAAAAACTCAGGATTCAGAGAGAGCCAGAACCAAAGAGCAAAGCCTTTTTATACTTGTTTTCCCTAGAGTTTGATACCTCATAGTAGACTAAAGATTTATTCCTACTTAAAATCTGTGTGTTTATAAGGAGTCACTTATACAAGTCAAAGTGTGAATATAAAGAACCATTCTAATCCACCTATTCAACTTTCTCCCTGCTCTTCCATTAAGTTTCTTGATCTCTGAATACAGTGGTCATGACTTATAAGAATCTTTAGTTGCTCTAGTCATTTGGGCTGTCTTTACAATTGCATGATGAAGAAATCTATTTCCTAACAGGGGCTAATTAATCAGAATGAAAAATAGATATGAGACATATAAAATATGTGACTGTCATTTACTCTTACCTCATTTGATCCTGGCAGAAACACATCAACCACAGTAGCTTTTGGCTCTGTGACTGGATGAACCAATAAAGCACTTCCTGAAAAATGGAGAAGAAATAAAGTTGAAAACAAAGTCTGAAAACATCCTTTCCTTTTAATTGAGTGCTTTTGTGGTTTTAAGGACCACTAGACTGTGAACTTCTTAAAGGTAGAGACCTTGGTGAGGTGAACCTATGATTCATCAGAGAGATGCATTGCTAGAAAAAGGATAGGTGCTCACAGAGGTGACTATTATTGCCTGTCATCAATCCACTTACGGTATATTGAAGTTCTAGGGAGGGACCAACAGTCTCTTTTTGTGCATCATTGTGGCAAGTAGTTGGACAAACATAGCAGAGCATGGACGATGGGCAAGGTACAGAAGGTCACCAGGGTGAAAGCTCCAGGTGCCTAGCAATGGGCAAAACTGAGAAAACAAGGACCTCCCCCCTTTTCCTCCCTAGTCATGTGGTTTACATCCCCTGAACATTCATATCGATGGTTATCTGATTCAAACCCTCCTCTGACCTTTCCTCCTTTGGCATATTGCTAGCTAGTCAAGTGGTTTTAGACATCCTTAGAAGGAGAATAAGAGGGCAGGAGAATGGCCTCATAGGATTCCCTTGCATGACCACACCCTTAAGCATTGGGCCCTCAGGACAAGGAAGATCTGACCCACATCATAAAATCTTAGGAACAAAGTTCGGGTGTGTTGACTACAGGACAGAGTTTTGGTCAATCTAGAGATGACATTTAGGCCTCAGTATGTTTCAGCTCCGGGCTAGAAAAGCAGCAAAACCAGATGGAGCAACACCGTGGTTGATATCAGAACCAGATGCAATGACTAATGACCCCCTCTCTTAGCTCTGACCAATCAGTGGAAACCACGACCCTGAAATGACACACCTGGAAAGCCAATGAACAGTCTATTGAGATCCTCTCCTGAGACCTCCCCAGAAATTTACCTTTAGGAAAAAGATAAAGCTTCTTAAGGTAAAGGAAGACAGCCCAGAGGGAGCCCACACCTTTCTTCCCCTTTTCATTCTCAGGCATATATCTCTGCTCTCTTTCTCCTAAGTTCTAAGGATCCTGGCAAGACTTGCAACCAGGAGAGCAATGGACAGCAGCAACTCATCTTGGGGTAACCCCCCTGAGCCTGTCTCCAAGGCCCCCTTTTCTCGGACTTTTCAGTGAGGTAACAGCAGCCTCGTCTTGGCTCACTGTCACTGTGACTTTTGCTTCTCAGTGAGTCCGCGTTGCCCAGCATGGCTCACTTTTTTCCTATAACGTCTCTAGAGAGCCAAAGCAGAGCACCATCTAGTATCTCTCCGGTTGCTTCTTCTATCCGAAGCCCTTCCTTTGTTTCACTGTCCCCAACTTTAATAAACATACTCTCAAAATCACTTAGACTCAGGTGAAATCTTTCCACACACTATAAGCCAGCCCGAGGCAGACCCTCTCTGGACCTGGTGCCTTTCCAGTGACAAAACTGCTAGTATGTCAGTAATCTGAAAGCACCATCGCACTTGCCCAAGTGCCTCATTGTTTGCTGTAAGTGATGTTGGTGATGGTGAGCCTACAGTTATAATCTAGAAGTGTGGTCAGCATGGACATTCAGATCTTCTTCCTTGACTACAGGACAGAGTTTTGGTCAATCTAGAGATGACATTTAGGCCTCAGTGTGTTTCAGCTCCAGGCCAGAAAAGCAGCTAGACCAGATGGAGCAACACCGTGGTTGACATCTGAACCATATGCACTGGGAAGGCTAAAATTCTCCGAAACACCATCTGAATTATCAATTTTGTTTTGGCCTTACTATCACATATGTGTAAAATTCATCCATTTATGAATTCACTTATTTATTCTCTTATTTATTTATTTATTTTCTCGAGAGGAAAGGTGAGAGAGAGGGAGATAGAAACATCAATGATGAGAGAGAATCATTGATCAGTTGCCTCCTGCACACCCCCAACTGGGGATCAAGCCCACAACCCAGGCATGTGCCCTTGACCGGAATCGAACCTGGGACCCTTCAGTCTGCAGGCTGACTATCTATCCACTGAGCCAAACCAGGCAGGGCTATAAATCCACTCTTTAATTCAACAAATATTTAGAGTGCCTACTGAGTACTAGGCACTGTGCTGAGCTCTGGGGATATAGTGACAAATAAGGCAGACATGGTCCCTGCCCTCACGGAGTTTACAGTCAATGAAGACAGGTATTAAGTAAGTAATTACAAACTAATTAGAGTTCAGATACCAAAAAGGCAAAGTAAAAATAAAATAAAAATTATGTAATAGGAGGGATTGACTTGAATTTAAGAAGGTGGAACTAGGTATTAGGAAGCAATTTTGGTCAGGAAATTTTACTCCAAGAAAGTTGCTATTTCAACTGAGAACTAAGGATGAGTGGAGACCTAAAGAGCAAGATGTTTTACATTTTGGGGTTTCCATTCTCTTTTGTTCCATCTTTTTGCAATTCTGTTGAGCCTGGCTTTTTGAAACTTATTGTCAAGATGATAGACTTCCATGTTTAGATTTGGTGGCTAAAGGAGTGGACCCAGAACAAGAATACCAATTGCATTCACAAATAGGATGGATTTATTTAAAGTTAATATGAGATGTGCTACATGACAACAGAATAGCTATGATTACACTTAGCACTAAAAATCTTGGTGATGAAATTTATTTTTTGGCTTTCTTGAAATTAGGGATTTTTTTTAGTGCTCTTACACTAGAAAGTATAACAAGAACATGATTACAATATTTATCATAATTATAATTAATCAAGAAATGCTTACCCAGCATGTATTCATCTTCCACACCAAAAGTCTCTAATTCATCAGGGAACTCTACCCACAGAGGCCTGGGGTAAGAAAAAAAAAAATTCTTTCTTCAACATTAGATTCTTATTTCAATTCAATCACTTATACTTTCAGTTTTGTAACCATTCAAAGGAAATTAGAAACAGCCAGGGCCAAGTCTCTTTTCATCTGTTTCAAGATTTTATGAGCAATTGCTATGATTACTCATATTTTTCTTATGTAAAAGAGCTATCAATTAGCTTAAACGTTTAAATGAAAGATTGAGAAATCTCGTACCTGCTATTTTTCCTTCTTATTGTTGAACTAGAAATAAATACTACTTTGACAGGCAGAATCAGAAGTCCAAATGCCTAACACGTTTGGTGTAAAACAAATTAAATGTTTATAAAATCATTTTATAATGATATAAAATCTGTGCCATTTCTTTATGCTGTCACTGCCTTTCATGCATCCTTAATCATTACCTATTCAAATGAGAAGAACTGTTTTTTCTTGTTTTCAAACTGGCAACATTTTTAGAGGTTTGAGAAACTGTTGTGTGGTTTTTGTTTTATTGTTATTGTTGCACACAGAACTACCTAGAAGACATTTGGGCTTATAAAGAAAACTTTCAATATCTATGTATCTGAATATTAACTTAATGGTTCTAATAATATTTTTCAATTTCATGAGGAAATGATATTCTTAAACAAGAGACTTACTTTTAGTTTATTCACTAGCCTTTGTAATAATGTATTCCCTTTCCTACTGGTAACCAAGCAGTGGTCTCTAAAGCTGGCTGATGTCTAGAATCACCAGGAAATTTTCTAACAAATATAGATCTCTGGAACCTTCCCAAAGAGATTCCTAGTAGGTCTGGAGGTGTGGCCTTATAATCTGTGTTTTTTAAGAAGCTCCCAGATGATTCTGATCCGAGCCAGGTTTAGGAACGGAGGATCCAGGAGTCTTAGTATGTCTCTGTGTGATTCCTCCTCTAGTTTTAAAAAATACAATCAGAATATAATTTATACATCAGAAAAAATAGTTACCTCAAACTTGGAACAGTTTAGTTCCAAGGGTGAGATAGAGCTTAAGACTGGCAGAATAATGTTCTTCATAAGAGGATGCTTGTGGGTTAAATACTGAATGAATTCAGTTACAAAGTCATTTCATTTTTCTTTGAAAAAGCTCTATTTCTGTCCCATATCAAATATTAACACTTGAATCACAGAGTTATCTTCTGCTACCTCCACTGCCAGCACCCTGCTCACATAAGCTGAGGACATGATTAAATACATGGCTCTCCTTCACCTGTTCTCTTGAAGTCACTGTGTAGTTACTCCGTTCCCCAGTGGTTGGTTAGATTGTTTGCTGGGGCCTCCGACAGGTGAAGTCTATTTACCTCATGATGGGTTCGGCAGTCACGTGTGCACAGTAGAACAGACAATACCAATAGGGCAGGAGGGTGTAACGCTCTCTGATGGCTTCTCTGATGAGCTGGGTGTGTTCCTTCCCAAAGAGCCAGGGTTCCCGTCGCTTGCTGTTTATGGTGGAATGGCAACGAAAGAAGGGCTGGTAGGCTCCGGCCTGGTACCAACGCACTAGCAGCTCCGCCTCTGGATCCCCCACGAAGCCGCCAACATCAGCTGATTCATTAGTCAAAGAAAGGTTTGTGAGCCCTGACCAATGAGGCTCAGTGCTTAGAGTACTGAAGGGTTGTGGATTCGATTCCTGGTTAAGGGCATGTATCTGGGTTGGGGGTTCGCTCTCCACCCTTTGGTTGGGGAGCATGCGGGAGGCAACCAATCCATGTGTGTCTCTTACATTAAAGTTTTTCTCTCTCCCTCCCTTTTACACACATACTCTTTCTCTCTCTCTGAAAAGCAATGGGAAAAAATATCCTTTGGTGAGGATTAAAAGAAGAAAAAAAAGAAAGAAAGACTTGTGAGGCAACCAGGCTCTAATAAATGATGCGCTCAAGAAAAATAAGGCTTTGAAGACAGACAGAAGAAAGGTGTTGTGTATGCACTCAAAATTAGGGAGCACACAGTAAAAAACTCTGCCTGTTGGGGATCTGATAGTACACTCTTTTATATTCTATTCTTGTCAAAGGTCAGAGGCTTTACTGCAAGATCAACTTTCAGGTATGTTCCTGAACCCAGGTAACCCAGAAATTGCAAAATGTCTGTCTGAGTCCATGTCTGTATTTAGGTGTGGGTGGCAGTGGAGGGCTGGCAATTGACTTCCTTTGAAAGCAACAGCTAGGGCAAGATAAAAATTACACTTATTTTTGAAGTCTAACTAAAGTCTGATTTTAGGAGGAACATTTATTATAGAAATAGCTAAAGAGAAACAGATAATGAGAATGAGAGGTTTAAGTAGAATTTCATGGTTAGTCCTTAAGCAGGATACATAATCCTTGTATGGACCAATGCCATAAAAACACATGTATCAAAAAGTGATAGTAAGTCACTTCTATTCCTAGAGAAAAGAAGGAGCAGCTGGATATGTGGTCATGCTGAGCACCTTCCATACTGAGATCTCTCATCTGCAGAGAATTATTAGGATTTGGGAAGGCGGCACACTAGAGAATCTTATTTTAACTAAATTTATCTTTCCCAAGAGCATATCTTTTTTTTTTTTTTTTTAACAGTAGAAACATGTCACAGAATTTTAGACTCGCAGAGTAAAAATGATTTCTGTAAGGCTGATTTATTATTTGCAAAATTCTTTGTAGTTCTTTCCATTTTTTGTTCAAGAAGAAAGGCATGTTTCAGGACGAGAAACTCAGTTACCAAGAGTGGCTGAGGAAGCAGTAAGAGAAGGAGGGAAAGCAGCACTCTAGCCCCACTCCTGCCTTTATGTCCTCAATTCAGATAAGACACAGAACAGCTCTGGAGCTACCCTTTCTCTCCTCTCTAATCCCCCCTTCACTTTCCTCATCTTTTCTTTCTGGCGTTTATCCCTATCCAAAACAGCCCATGAGAAGGGATTTGTGACCAGCTTTGACAAAAACACCCTCAGTTTTTATTTTCTCTCACTTCAAGCCTGAGAATATCACCTTACCTCCACAAAAAGAGATCCCAGTAACGCTGAGAGTGAGTAACATAGGGATCGAAATTTTCAGGTAACTCCATTTTGCTCTGTTGTCGCCTGTCCACACAGCACCTTTGGACACCAGTAACAAGGTATTTAAAAAAAAAATCACAAATCAGCCCATGCCCTTGATTTCATGTTTAGATTCCTTATTTGTAATAGACAAAATTAATATAAAGGAATGCATTTCTTCCTTACCTTAAAATATACACATTCTGGTCTTCCAGAATGAAAATATATTAATTTTCTAATGTGAAAAAGTTATTAAAATCAACAAAAGAAATTGCAAAAATATTCTGAAATCACTTATTTTTGAAGTCTAACTGAAGTCTGATTTTAGGAGGAACATTTAAAAAATCAACTTTACTAAGATATAATTTACATGCTCTAACCGGTTTGGCTCAGTGGATAGAGAGTCGGCCTGAGAACTGAAGGGTCCCGGGTTTGATTCCGGTCAAGGGCATGTACCTTGGTTGCAGGCAACATCCCCAGTGGGGGGTGTGCAGGAGGCAGCTGATCAATGTTTCTCTCTCTCTCTCTCTCATCGATGTTTCTGACTCTCTATCCGACTCTCTATCCCTCTCCCTTCCTCTCTGTAAAAAAAATCAATAAAAAATATATTTTAAAAAAGATATAATTTACAAACAATAAAAGCACATATTTTATTTTTTATTTTTTTAATATATTTTATTGATTTTTTTTACAGAGAGGAAGAGAGAGAGATAGAGAGTTAGAAACATCGATGAGAGAGAAACATCGATCAGCTGCCTCCTGCACATCCCCCACTGGGGAAGTGCCCACAACCCAGGTACATGCCCTTGACCGGAATCGAACCCGGGACCTTTCAGTCCGCAGGCAGATATGCTCTATCCACTGAGCCAAACTGGTTTCGGCTAGTACATATTTTAAAGTGAAGAGTTTGATGAGCTTTTAAAATGTGTGCACCATGTAACCATCACCACAAGCAGAGTATAGAACATTTCCATAACAGTGAAAGTTTCCATCTTTTCAGCCAATTACCCCCACCTTACCCAACCACTGACTTGATTTCTATGACTATTAAAGTAGTCTTTTCTAGAATCCTATATAATAAAAGCCTAATATGCTAAGTATCCAACTTTTGGACTGTTCGACCAGTTGCTATGACGCACAATGACCACTAGGGGGCAGACACTCCAACCTCATCTTTCCTTGCTGCTGGGGTCCGGCCGATCGGGACTGGTTGAGACGGGCCGGACACACCCTGGAGCTCTCCCACGGTCCCTCCCCGGCCCCGACCATACACTGGTGGGGTCCCTTGGCCTGGCCTGTGCCCTCTTGCATCTGGGACCCCTTGGGGGATGTCAGAAAGCCGGTTTCAGCCTGATTCCCCCAGGCCTACAGGGATCAGGCCGAAACTGGCAGCTGTGCAGGAGCCTGAGCCCAGCTGGGCACTGCCCTGCTCCTGCTCATTCCTGCCCCACTGCATCAGCTGCCACTTGGTAATGCTGCCACAGAGGCGGGAGAGGCTTGCACTGCTGCAGCTGTGCTCACCAGCCACTGTGGGAATGCATTGACCACCACAGGGCAGCTCCTGTGTTGAGAGTCTGCCCCCTGGTGGTCAGTGCACATCATAGCTAACAGTCGATAGTTCAAGTGGTCGAGTACTCAACCAGTTGCTTAAGGTTTTATATATATCCTATATAATAAAACCCTAATATACAAATGGACTAAATGGTGAAACAACTGGTGGAATGACTGGTTGCTATGACGCGCACTGAACACCAGGGGGCAGATGCTCAACACAGGAGCTGCCCCCTAGTGGTCAGTGAGCTCCCACAGGGGGAGCTCCGCTCAGCCAGAAGCCAGGCTCATGGCTGGCAAATGCAGCGGTGGTGGCAGGAGCCTTTCCTGCCTCTGCTGCAGGTGGGCGGTAAAGAGCAAGAGGTCCCAGACTGTGAGAGCCCCGGACTGTGAGAGGAATGTCTGACTGCTAGCTTAGGCTCGACCCCCAGGGGGATCGGGACTAAGCCAGCAGGTGGACATCCCCTGAGGGGTTCTGGAGTGCGAGTTGGTGCAGGCCACGCTGAGGGATCCCCCATCCCCAGCACACAAATTTTGTGCACCAGGCTTCTAGTAGATACACACACACACACACACACACACAAAATAAAGATGACATATAAATCTATTTAGGCTTTTTTTTTATCATGATGGCAAACATTTTCTCATGCAATTAAGGCTATTCTAAATAACTTTATGACAGTCTAACATATAAATATACTATAGTTTTATAACTATTCCCTTACATATTGGGATTTTTTCTTTTTTTGTTTCAAGAACTAATACTGTGGTGAGCAAATCTGTACATGAATCTCTGCTTAAGATGACAATATTTTAGCCTTTTCTTGAGTACCACAGGGGCTGGTTTTCAGGGGTGGAGGAGGAGGCCTAGTAATGGCTATGTACAGTAAAGGCTGGATTCTTCAAACAGGAACCTAAGCTCCCAGTTATTTGTGCCTGGGGACTTAAAATAGCTTTCCTGCCACAGGGTGGTAAAGTTGAACTAGATCTGCATTAGCTAGTAAACCAGATCCAGTTATAGATGACCCTGACCATAAGCCACAGCTAGGTCTATTTTAAGGCATATTGCTGAGTGAAATAGGTGGTTGAAGGAATGTGTTAGAAGTGTATTTTCTCTGGTTTTGATAAATAAAAGAGACAGGATCAGAGATCACCATCCCCACAAACAGATACTCTGAAGTCATTCACCCAAAAATTAAGTGGCCATTTTTTCAGTGGGAAATGAGTAATTAAACTTTATTAAAATTGGTTTACTCTGATCATAGGACAAAAATACATACTTCAGGGCACATCTAAGGCCTGCCTAATGGCTACTGAAAAGGAAGGCATTAATAGCTCTATAAAGACTTGTGTTTTTAAGTCTGATCATATGAGCCATTCCTTACCATACTTTTGTGATCCAGCAAAGAAAGAGCGTGTAAGAACAAAGGGTCTCTCCTTTCCCCTAGATCGTTGTGTCAGTCCTTCTGCAGTAGCCTTTTGCTATAAAGTCAAAGGAGAAAAATGTCAAACAGATGATTGGACTAGGGCATTGTGTAGACATCCCCAAGAAACTACTTAACATGTAAAAAACAAACAGTAGGTGGGAATGTGAAATGGGAAATATTAAAATAAATCCATCAAACAATTTTTATGATATAATGAAACTATTCTAAATTCCCTTATTAAAATAATGAAAAACTAATTTGATTAAAATAGCAAAGAAATAATCTATCTATATATATATAAAAGGCTAAGTGTCCGTCTGACTGGTAGCTATGATGTGCACTGACCACCAGGGAGCAGATGCTAAATGCAGGAGCTGCCATAACATGCACTGGCCTTTTAAAAATAAATGGCACCATGGACCTGGTGCTAACAAACCAACCCTCGGCTTCCCCCAAGTGGGACACAGGCCCCGCCACCACCCCAGAGCAACACCTCACCAAATCACAGCCAATGCTGCCAAGACCCATGGCACAAAATGCAGCCCCCAGCCCAGCCCAGAAACAGTGGCTGTGTTGCCAGTTAATGACATCACACAGCAATGCCTGGCTTCCTCTCCCTAGAGACTAGCATCCTTGGAGTTTCTTTAGCCCAGGAACCTGACTTGCTTTATAGCCAAGTGCAAACATTTTACAGTTTAACCAAATGTTTGTCATGCATTTTCCCTACCCCATCTCATTTCCCATGCCTCATCAGAAGTCCTGGAGTAGGTAGATAGGAGACTCGGTAGACTCCTATTTTCTTTTCATTAGCAAGACGTGAATGGCAATATTAAAATATTTCTTCTAATTAATTTCCTTTCAATGTGCACAAATCTGTGCACCAGGGCACTAGTCCTATATAATAAAAGGCTAATATGCAAATTGACTGAACAGCAGAACAACTGGTCGCTATGACGTGCACTGGCCACCAGGGGCAACTGACCCCTGGTGGTCAGTGTGCTCCCACAGGGGAGCACTGCTCAGCCAGAAGACAGCTCACGGCTGGTAAATGCAGCAGTGGTGGCAGGAGCCTCTCCTGCCTCCGCAGCAGAGCTAGGGATGTATGACTGACAGCTTAAGCCCACTCTCCACAGGGAGCTGGACATCCCCCAAGGGCTCCCGGACTGCGAGAGGGCACAGGCTGGGCTGAGGGACCCTCCCCCCTCACAAGTGCACGAATTTTGTGCACTGGGCCTCTAGTATATTATAAAAGCCTAAGCAACCGAACGACCAAAGAACCGAACTACCATTTGACCAGTTGCTATGATGAGCACTGACCACCAGAGGGCAGACGCTCAGTGCAGGAGCTGCCCCGTGGTGGTCAGTGCGTTACCATAGCGGGTGCACCGCTCAGCTGACTGACAGGCACCAGACACCGGGCTCAAGGCTGGCGAGCACAGCTGTGGCAGCGTGAGCCTCTCCTGCCTCTGTGGCAGCACGCTACCTAGCAGCGGCCACATCAGGCGCAGCAGGGCCGGGATGAGCAGGAGCGGCAGGGTGCCTGGCCGTCTGCCACTTTGTGCACTACTACACACTACTACAAAAATTGGGATGTTGGACTCCCAATTTCGGCCTGATCCCCACACGCCAGACCAAACCTTTTGGTGCTTACTATTATCAGGCATTTTATAAGATTTTCTCTTATGATCTACACAACAACCTCTGAGACAGTCTTCATTAATGAAAAAAAAAACACTGAGATTCAGAGAGGTTAAGTGACTGGCTCTGGCCTACATAAGGAAATTCGCTAAAGTCGTCTGCAATTATAGCAAGAGGCTATTAGAGAAGTAAACACAGAAAACCAAGCTATACTTAGCCAGCAGCTCCCACTGGAAAATACCAGTTCGTGGGAGGACCATAAGAACAGTTACATTCTGAAAATAACAGAGAACCACAGGTATAAATTAGGGCCAGTGACTACCAAGTAGTATCTCTATACATGCCTGGGTCTTTTAGATGTGATTGGCCAATGGAAGACAATTCTATTGAGAAAGCTAAGTACTTAAGAACGATTTTCTACATTTAAAAAGTATACTTATGAAATTGTGTATGTGTGTTCTAAATCTTACTCCCCTGGTATAAATGTAAGACTTAATGTATTTAGAAATTTGTGAAATTTCAAAACATTTGTCCTAATTGCCTTTATGTATTTACACATGGTTTGTTTACTTCAATAAAAGTTTTGAGGTAGCATCCAATACCATTTACTAATGGCTCCTGTCAAGGAAGATGTTTCTATGTTACCATTAATCTTACAATATAAATTCATCAAGTTCATTATAGAAGGTAAAGGTACAAAAGGAAAAATGAGTCTTATATTGGCTTCAACCTGGTAAGACTCATTGCAGAAAAGACACACAAAGAGAAATGAACAGTATAGTATGGCTATTACAAAGGAAACAACTTTCAGCCCAAAAGGCAGGGTACATGGGTACAGTTGGCTTCTTCTTGGCTCTCTTACCTGATAAAAGCCATAGATGTTGTGAAGTTCTCTGTGCTCCCAGTTGCCATGATGAATGGCATTCTTATGCATGGTTTGCTCTGGCCCTCTAAAGACCGAGGGCTCATTCATGTCATTCCATATGTAGAGGATGTCAGTAGATCCCTAGGAAAGAAATCTTGGTCAAGGTACTACTTCTACAGTGAGTATGTTAATATGACAGCTGCTCCTATTCCTCTTTCCTACTCCATTTCCTACTCCATTTTTTCCTACTCCATTTATTATTCATTATGTTTATTATCTGTGCTCTGTCCTCAGCTCCACTGCTAGAATAAAAAGCTCTTCTGGGCAGGGATTTCATTGATATATCCCAAACACTTGAACCATAGAAGGTTTTCAATAAGTATTTGTTGATGAATGAAAGAATGCTGTGCTTTATTGTCTGTGAAATACATATTGCCCAGCAAGTCTACTCCTAGGTCTACCTGGAGAACCCCCACAGGAAAGGTTGTGAATGATCACAATGAAGCTCTATATCATCCATCATCTGCTACAACTCTTAACTCAGAGAAGGGCAGTTGTAGTTATACATGATAAAATTCTGCTTTTCCTCTAATACTTTGAAAAATTTTACAGTTAAGATGCCTTCTTGTTAGTATGATCTATAGTTTATATTCTACATACAACTAGTCAATATAGAGTGAGAAGGGGCTATTGAGTCATCTAGTCATGGTCTTACAATCTCCTTATAGAATCCCTGGTCTCTCAGCATTTGACTTGATAGCTACAGTGACAAGGAGTCCCTCAGGCAGCTCATTCCATGATTTTATGAATGGTAACATTCTCTCACAGGGTCTAGCTTGATTTCTGGAATACCAAAGAATACATCTGTTGCCTCACTCATATGACAGTCTTCCAAATGCCTAAAGGAGGCTTATGTGTTTTCTTTTGACTCGACCTTTATTTCTAAATGTGTATGTCTATGAACAAGGCTATATGGTTTTCAATATTTAACTACCTTGACTCTTCTTCTTTAGCATCCTCTAGGGCAAGGTTGGCAATCTTTTTCTGGAAAGAGCCAGTTTTTTAACTTTGTGGGCCATGAGATCTCTTTTTCAGTAACTCAACTCTGCTTTGGTAATGTGAAAGCTGTAGACAACAGGGAAATGAATGAGCATGTGGCTCAAGTGTTGTTCATACTGCTCTTAGTTATTTTCTGTGTCCTAATACATGATGCTCAGAAACTAGCATTGAGTGGTTAAGAGCTGGGTTTGGAACAAACAGAACTGAGTTCAAATCTTGGGCCTGCCACTTACTAGATGGGTGAACTTAGCAGGTTTTTAAATTTGTTTATGTCTCAATTTCCTCATCTGTGGGAATAGAGTTATAGTTCTAACTTCAGAGGGTTATTGTGAAGATAAAAATGGCATATGCACAGAAAGTGTTTAGCACACTGCTTGGCACATAGAAAATACTCAAATTTATATTAGACATCATTATCATCATCACAATTGGTTGAAAACAGTTCTCTAGATGTGGCCTCTCCTTTTTTCTCAGTGGATTTTATAAGATTTAGGAATCAATTTATTATTATAACTTACTTTTAATGACATACTTTGCAAGATATTTCCACATATATCATCACCTTTAAATAATAGTTATAAAATGCTATTTTATATAAAAAAGTATATAGTAATTTGAAAATGTAATACATCTATATAATTAAGTACTTTGATATATTGTACTAGAGGTAAAAATCATAGCTTTTTACATTTAATAATACACATGGCATCTCTCTCAGCACCACCAAAGTCTGTAATGTGATTCCACCCTTCCCTTTTCATACAAGCATTATTTATTAGGGGCTACTCAATGAAGCAGTATAATTTTATTCAATCACTTCTTTTCATTCTTTCATCATTTCAAGTATCTAGGAAAGAGCAAATGAATAAAAACTTACCTGATAAACAGAAAAAGCAAAAAGACCTGAATACCACTCTCTGACCTTGGGGTTGGTGAAATCCAGGTAAGAGGAGAGACCTGTAGAGTTACAAGAGAAGACAGCCTGTTAGGAACAGTGGTCCTCATGGTAAGATGTGTTGTAAGGAGGACTATCAGATGTGAAAGCTTGGTAGTCAATGGGCATCAAACATAAAAGTCAGCTGATACAGAGGCATGGTCTGGCGAGAAGCGAATGAAGGTAATGTTGGACTCCAGTGACAATCTACTAGACCTTTCAACCCAGGGGCATGCCGATGAACAAGTATCAAGGTGGAGCCTGCTCTTCACTGAAATAGCCCAAAGGATGGCAAGTAGTCTGTAGTGACCCGCCTGTCCTTAAAAAGAACAGAGAAGTGTTCATCACTGATAAAAGGGGGAAATTCCTGGGTTTTCTCTACTGTGCAAGGAGTTCTGATAGAGTGCTATGCTGTGATAGAGTAGTGATTTGCTCAAGGAGCCTCTACCAAGGCTTTAAACTAATAATTTCTGAAAGGAATTTTCCAGAGTTGCCAGAGGCAGCTGAGGTCACTCACAAAAGTCTGGAAGTCAAAAGGTTGGGCTAACAGGGCAAAGACGAATGGCAGGGGGAGAGACTGCAGGGCCCTTTTTCTTTTAAAAAATGTATTTTTTATTGATTTCAGAGAGGAAGAGGGAGAGGGAGAGATAGAAACATCAATGATGAGAGAGAATCATTGCTGGGCAGCTTCCTGCATGCCCCCTGTTGGGGATCAAGCCTGAAACCCAGGCATGTGTCCTGACTGGGAATCGAACCATGACCTCCTGGTTCATAGTTCTATGCTCAACCAATGAGCCATACCAGCCAGGTGGACCTTTTTCTTTCTTTCTCTTTGTCTCCTTTTCTCATTCCTTGGTTTTTCATTTTTATTTGCTTAGAGAAATAGCATGCTAGAGGTTTGCTTATTTTTTATTCACCCATTGACTGATAAATGCATACAATGTACACTGTATCAGTATTATGAAAGATATAAAAGAAGGTAATACCATTTCTTAAAGGAGCTTAAAATGTAGCAAAAGATATCTACAAGGAATAAGAACAGTGGCTATGAAACCTTCATTAGTTGGGACGAAACAAGGTAAATAGGTGTATAAAGTAGTATCTCACCTGGCCAACATATCCCTTCAAAGTCTCCTCCTTCATGATTCCTCACAAAGTAGCCCTGTTCTTTGGCCATAGCGTACACTGAGTAGTCAGGATCAATCTTGATATGCGGGTCACTGATGACCACAAGCTATCAGGAGGACATAAAGGTTTGTTTCACATGAGCCATATATTCATTTATATGTTTTCATCATAGTTCTTGGGTTCAAATTTTACTCAGAAACAACTACTACTAGCAGTGAAGTATTCTATGTGCTTACAGAAATATAGATTGATGTCAAAACAGGCCATTGCTCTTTTATAGTTATTGCTGCTTAACCAATAAATTTTTTAAAAATAGCATTGAGCTTCTATCTGTCTGCGGTGCTGGGTGCTCTATATAAAAGAGTAAATAAGCAAGGTCTCTGCTTCCTAGACATGTAGAAGCTAACATAACACCGACAAAAGCAAACATTAAAGAAAATAGGAGAACAGCATGTTAAAAACCCAAAGGTATAGGCATATTGAGGAAGTAAGTCTGAGAAAAGCTGTGATCACAGCTGTGTCCCTACCACCTCTCCTTGCCTTTCTAACACCATTCTTTTGTTTGGTTGTTTGCTTGTGGGTTTTTTTTTTTTTGTTAGTTCTCACCTGAGGATATTTTCCATTGATTTTTAGAGTGGAAGAGAGAGAGAAAGACAGAAACATCGATGTGAGAGAAACACATCGATTGGTTACCTCCTCATGCGCCCCGACCTGGGCCCGGGCCGGGGAGGAGTCTGCAACCAAGGTATGTGCCCTCGACCAGAATCAAACCCAGGACCCTTTGGTCCACAGGCCGATGCTCTATCCACTGAGGCAAACCAGCTAGGGCTCTAACACCCATTCTTTACACCTCGTCTCGAACCTCAAAACCATTTTATTTAACTAGAACAACCTTCTAATCATCCTTCCTCATATCTATTTAAATCTATTATACATACTGAAGTTTAATTTTTCAGTGCTATTGCCACCACTACCCTTGCATTATATACTTTCCAGTGTCCTTTTCCTTCCCCATTTTCTGTTTTAGTTCTTTCCTTGGCCAGATTGACAGGAGGAATCCATCAGGGAGGCATGCAGGAAAAATGGAGTAATAAAAAAATCAACTCTGTTTTTCATGGACTGTTAAGAGCTTTCAAGCCCACCACTCCCCCTGACCTTTCTTCCTACACCTGTGCCTGCCGACAAAGAAAGTCCTGATGCTCCCTGCTTTGGTGCCAGCAGAAAGTTCAAGCTACACAAGCCCTGGCACGTGCACAGGGATCTTCACCCCAGTCTAAGCCTCTAATCATGGTAAAAGCTGAGCTGGTCTCCTTCCCAGCTCTCTCAGGACCATTTCAAATGATCTTGGGAGCCAGCCTTACTCCCCCCAGAATGCCTTACTGTGTGACTAATATTTCTAAATTACTTACTATTTTTTAAACTTTATTTTTATTTGTTGACACTATTACAGATATCCCCATTACCTGACCTTCTTCCTTTGCCCACCTCCACCCAGCCCCTGCCCCTTTCCCTCTGGCCATCAACATACTGTTATCTGTGTCTATGGGTTATCAATATATGTTCTTTGGCTAATTAATCTTGGTACCTGTGTGATGTCATCAATCTCGACATCAGAACCAAATTTCGCATGGGTAGGGGGATCCATCACACTACTACACGGGTGGCCATAACAACTGGCCTGAATGCTAGGCCCCTTCATCCTTATAGAGACCTAGACAACTAACGCAGATATGGATGGTGTTGCCACCTTTTCACCATTACTTTTCTGTTATCACAGTTTCAAAATGCATTTGAAGGTACTATTTTCATGGCCGTTTTAAAAATCAGATAGTTCTCCACTTATGTATCAAGTCAGGTTTTAAAATGTGCTTGTAACTAAAAGGTTCAGAAATGTTGGTTCATTTTACCTTGCGTTTTTTGTTTCGGAGCAGCTCCTGCATCCTTTTGGGGTTGGGGAATCTTTTCTTGTCCCAGGTGAAGTACCTTTTGCCCTCGGTGTGCTCTATGTCCAACCACATGACATCATAAGGTATGTCATGTTTGTCAAATCCTGCATCCACTGCTTTTACATCCTGCTCATCTTCATAGTTCCAGCGGCACTGGTGGTACCCCAAGGAGAAGAGAGGGGGCATGGCTTGTGTGCCTAAAAGAAGACAATAACAACTGAGCCGACTACCACCACAATAATTCTGTATTTGTTAAAACATTTTCTAAACGCCAACAGGATCCAAGCACTCAGCTTGGTAGTTAGACTCCCACTTCTAGGAATACATCCTAAGAAACCCAAAACACCAGAAAGAATGCATGCACCCCTATGGTCATAGCAGAATTTGTTCCCTTCTTATTTCCATAGCACTAGGCTGATGCATTTAACATAGCACTTATATCTCAGAGCACAGCAGTTCGTTTACATGCCTGCCTCTTCAGTCAAATTGTTACAGAAACTCTGCAGCCATTAAGCAACAACTTTCCATTACCTATTTCAGTGATGGCGAACCTATGACACGTGTGTCAGAGGTGACACGCGAACACATTTTTTTGGTTGATTTTTCTTTGTTAAATGGCATTTAAATATATAAAATAAATATCAAAAATATAAGTCTTTGTTTTACTATGGTTGCAAATATCAAAAAAGTTCTGTATGTGACATGGCACCAGAGTTAAGTTAGGGTTTTCAAAATGCTGACACGCTGAGCTCAAAAGGTTCGCCATCACTGACCTCTTTCATCCTCCAGCCCTTGGTAACTGCTAATTTACTTTCTTTCTCTATAAACTTGCCTATTGTAGGTACTTCTTATAAGTGGAATCATATAATATTTGTCCTTTTGTGTCTGGCTTATTTCATTTTGCATAATTTTTTCAAGGTTCATCCATGTTGCAAGTATCAGAACTTCATTCCTTATTATGGCTGACTAATATTCCATTTTATGTATATACTAGTGGCCTGGTGCATGAAATTCGTGCACATTAAAAGGGAATTAATTAGAGGAAATATTTTAATATTACTATTTGCCCTTTCTCTATAATAGAAGTGTCAGAGATAAAAGAAAATTAGTAAAATGTATATGAAAATAATATATAAATTTATTAATAAACTGGGCGGGGATGTACACAGGCAGCATCACGTCCCTGGCCGGGACACAGGCAGGCAGCTTCACCTCAGCACTGGGTGGGGACACACGCAGGCAGCGCCATGTCCCAGGTCAGGGACGCACGTAAGCAGCGTCACGTCAGCGCTGGGCAGGCCTGCACACGCTTCCACCGGGGGCCGCCTCTGCCAGGGGCCGCCCCTGGGCCAGGCAGCACGGAGGCCCTACTAGTGATGGCAGTCCCCACCACCGGCTCCTGCTATGCATGCCTCCTGCTGAGAGGTCATGACATTATGGCGTCCTGGACAATTTGCATATTCCTCTATTATATAGGATTACATTTTGTTTATCCATTCATCTTTTTTTAATTTCAAGAAAAATGATTTTAAATATAATAATGTTACATGCAATAAACCTTAATATTTTTTTAAAATATATTTTTATTGATTTTTTACAGAGAGGAAGGGAGAGGGATAGAGAGCTAGAAACATCAATAAGAGAGAGACATTGATCAGCTGCCTCCTGTACACCCCCCATTGGGGATGTGCCCGCAACCAAGGTACATGCCCTTTACCGGAATCGAACCTGGGACCCTTCAGTCTGTAGGCCGATGCTCTATCCACTAAGCCAAACCAGTTAGGGCAAAACCTTAATATTTTAAGAAAAACTATCTTAAATATAGTAATGTTACATGTAATAAACATTAATAGCTCACCCTAACCGGTTTGGCTCAGTGGATAGAGCGTCAGCCTGCAGACTCAAGGGTTCCAGGTTCAATTCCAGTCAAGGGCATGTACCTTTGTTGCGGGCACGTCCCTGGGGGAGGGGGGGGAGGGTATGCAGGATGCAGCTGATCGATGTTTCTCTCTCATTGATGTTTCTGACTATCTCTCTCCCTTTCTCTCTGTAAAAAATCAATAAAATATATTTTAAAAAAACATTAATAGCTCAAGAAAAATGATTTTAAATATAATGTTACATGCAATAAACGCCAATTATTCAAGAAAAATTATCTTACATATAATAATATTACATGCAATAAACATTAATATTTCAAGAATAAAAGGATTTTAAGTATAATAATATCACCCAAACTGTACTAACATAATATGATATCATAAAAGTTGTAGGAAATATTAAAAAGCTGCAAATAACAGGAATACTTCTATTATATTCTAGTATATTTTTCCCCCTCTGGCTTTATTTTTGTTCATCAGTTTATGTTGTTCATTATATTTCACAAATGAGTGAGATTATATGATATTTATCTTTCTCCAACTGGGTTATTTCGCTTAGCAGGATGCTTTTAAAGTTTATTTTGTTGGATATGAGCATTGCTACTCCAGCTTTTTTTTCCTTTTCCATTTGCATGGAAAAATTTATCCATCCCTTCACTTTCATCCTGTGTGTGTCTTTGTTTTCTCTTGTAGACAGCATATAGTCGGGTCATGTTTTTGTATCCATTCAGCTACACTACACCTTTTGACTGGAGCATTTAACCATTTACATTTAGGGTTATCATTGAGAGGTACTTCTTTTTTTTTTTTTTTTTTAAATATATTTTATTGATTTTTCACAGAGAGGAAGGGAGAGAGATAGAAAGTTAGAAACATCGATGAGAGAGAAACATCGGTCAGCTGCCTCCTGCACATCTCCCACTGGGGATGTGCCCGCAACCCAGGTACATGCCCTTGACCGGAATCGAACCTGGGACCCTTCAGTCCGCAGGCTGACGCGCTACCCACTGAGCCAAACCGGTTTCGGCGAGAGGTACTTCTTTATAGCCATTTTAATTCTGTACGACTAGGTTTCTCTCTTTGTTTCTTCTCCTCAGCAATCCTTTACAGCAATCCCTTTAGCAATTCTTGTAATGCTGGCTTGGTGGTGATCAACTCCTTTAGCCTTTCCGGGAAGCTCTTTAACCATCTATTTTGAATGATAGCCTTGCTGAATATAGTAATCTTGGTCTCAGATCCTTGCTTTCCATTACCTTGAGAACTTCATGCCATTCCCTTCTGGCTTGTAGAGTTTCTGATGAGAAATCAGGTGTCCGCCTTATGGGAACTCCTTTGTAGGTAACAGTTTTCTTTTCAATATCAAATATATGATTTGCAAACATTTTCTCTCATTCTATAGGTTGCCTTTTCACTTCAAAATTTTAATGAAGTCCAACTTATCTCTTTTTTTCTTTTTTTGCTCATGATTTTGTTGTCATATCTAAGAATCTGTTGCCAAATCCAAGGTCATGAAGAGTTACCCATTTTCTTTTTAAAAAAATATTGTTTTTTATTGATTTTAAAGAGAAAGAGGGAGAGCGAGATAGAAACATCAATTATGAGAGAGAATCATTGATTAGCTGACTCCTGCTCTACAATGGGGATCAAGCCCGCAACCCAGATATGTGCCCCGACTGTGAATCCAACCATGACTTCCTGGTTCATAGCTGATGTTCAACCACTGAGCAACGCTGGCCGGGCGATTTATCCATTTTCTTCTAAGAATTTTATGGTGTTAGCTCTGACATTTTTCTGTCTGTTTTGAGTTACTTTTTTGTGTATAGTGTGAGGTAGGGTTCCAACTTCATTCTTTTTAAAAAAATATATTTTATTGATTTTTACAGAGAAGAAGGAAGAGAGATAGAGAGTTAGAAACATCGATGAGAGAGAAACATCGATCAGCTGCCTCCTGCACACTCCCTACTGGGTATGTGCCTGCAACCAAGGTACATGCCCTTGACCAAAATTGAATCTGGGACCCTTGAGTCTGCAGGTCGATGCTCTATCCACTGAGCCAAACTGGTTAGGACCCAACTTCATTCTTTTGCATGTGAATATCTAACTGTCCCAGAACCATGTGTTTAAGAGACTATTTATTCCCACATTGAATGGTCTTGAACCTGTGTTGAAAATCACTTGGCCAGAGATGTATGGGTTTATTTCTAGCCTAATTCTACTCCACTGATCTAAATGTCTTATCCATATTCCAGTAACATACTATTTGGATTATTTTAACCTTATAGTCATTTTTGAAATCGGGAAGTATGAGTTCTCCAACTTTTTTTTTTTTCAGGATTGTTTGGCTATTCAGGGCTCTTTGCAATTCTATATGACTTTGAAGATCAGCTTTTCCATTTCTTCAAAAATGGCTGTTGGAATTTTGGTAGGGATTGCAGTGAATCTACAGATTGCTTTCAGTACTATTGCCATCTTAATGATGTTAAGTCTTCTAATTCATGAACATGGGATATATTTCCATTTATTTAGACTTTCTTTAATTTCTTTTAAGGAATATTTTATATTTCTTAGTGTACAAGTTTTTTTATTTCTCTGATTAAATTTATTCCCAAGTGATTTTATTCTTTTGAATGTTATTGTAAATGAAATTGTTTTCTCAATTTCTTTTTTAAGTTGTTCAATGCTGGTGTGTAAAAACACAACTGATTTTGCCCACTCAGCATGGCTCAATGGTTGAGTGTCGACCTATGAACCAGGAAGTCGTGGTTTGATTCCCAGTAGGGGATGTGCTGGAGGCAGCTAATCAATGATTCTCTCTCATCATTGATGTTTCTCTGTCTCTCTCCCTCTCCTTTCCTCACTGAAATAAATAAAATATATTTAAAAAAACACATACAACTGATTTTGTATGTTGATCATGTACACTGCAACTTTGGTCAACCTGCTTATTAGATTTAGTAGTTTTTGTGTGGATTCTTTGTGATTTTTTAACATATAGGATCACATTATCTGGAAAAAGAGAATTTTACGTCTTCCTTTACAATTTGAATGCCTTTTATTTATTTTTCTAGTGTAATTGCTCTGGCCAGAACTTCCAGCACATTGTTCAATAGCAGTGGTGAAAATGAGCATCCTTATTTTGTTTCTGATTTTAGGGGCAAGCTTGTAGCTTTTCACCACTGAGTATGATGTTAGCTGTGGATTTTTCATAAATGTCTTTTATCATGTTGAGAAAGTTTCCTTCTATTGGGGTCTTCTGAGTGCTTTTCTCATGAAATAGTGTTGAATTTTGTCAAATGCTTTTTCTGCACCAATTGAGGTGCAGAAATGAGTATGTCCTTTAAAGATAAAATGCTTTAGAGCTAAAGTCAGTGGTATATTTTAATAAAAAAGAGAACATAGAAAAGGTTGATATACTGATAATCTGAGATGAAGGTAGAGAAAGCCCAGGGGTTAAAGGCTCCAAAGAGGCAGATAGCAAGTATTAAGGATGAGAGAATGGAGAGTTCTAGCTGCAGTGCAATGTTTAGCCAAGCTGAATAGAATGAGGGTGGGAAGAGAAATGCTTGCTTCTTAAAAAACTTGGGCAAGTTGTTTATGAATTCTATTCAGTGTACAATAAATATCAACTTATAGCAATGATACAGGAGATGGAGAAAATATAATGGAACAAGAAATGGGCTCTTCTACATGCAGGTACCTGTAAGAGATGAGTACTGCTTGAAGACATCAAAAGGTGTAGGCCCTGTCAGCAGAAAAACATCAATGATTCCACTCTCTGACATCCAATGCACATCAGTTCGAGATTTGCTCTTTTGTTTAGCATCAACTGGGCCCATCTGGAAAAGAAATGGAATGAAGGTTTGAAATATTTCCCTCTAACCTACAATGTTCATCCATATGGGAGTAACAATCTGTTCCTTTCATATATACTATAAACTTTCACTGATTATACTGCAATGACTGGTGGCAGAGAATTGCCACTATAAAACCCAGAGCTATGGCTACACTTTACTAGTTTTGTTTCTTCTGTAAGTGGGACATACAGACATGGTCCATAGCTTACCTTTACTGCAGGCTCTGTATTGATCTCCACTAGTGTTTCAGAAGAATTCAGCCAAAAAATGCCTAAAGTCCTACCCAGTTTGTGGGCCAAGAGATAAGGCACTGAACCATAAATGCCCATTTTGTTATGTATTTCATATCCATAGACATCCAGGTTATAAAGACGGTAAGCATCCTCACCACTGAAACACACAAGAAGGATTATCAATTACCATCACAGATGTATTATTAATAAGATGGCTCCATTCTCCCCTGCACTTGGGTCCTATGCATCTTTCAGGTTCAACTTTACCACTTCCCTAAAGGTTTCTGATCCAACCTGGGTGAATATGGTCCTCCTCCTTTGATTCCTTTGCATCCCTCAATTGACAATTGGTATACATAATCTCCTATTTAAGACATCTTTGCTAAATATCTCTTGTGAGTTTAGGACTGTTTCCTGTGAATCCTCTACAATAGCAAGCACAGAATAGATATTTTTGACAAATTTTGTATTTCTCTGCCACTTAAACAAAATGATAATGTCTTAACATGCGGATCCAGTGCTGAGTAGGGAAAAATTCATGGCCTGAATTGGGGTGGGGAGCACAGCTCAGGTTGATGTTAGAGCAGCACGGTTTCTGATGCACCTGTCACTATGCGGCCCTGTCACATAAACAGCATCTGAACCTGGCAAACCTGATCAGACTCTGTCTCTTTAGTTTTACTTCCAGTTAGTCATCTGCCTCTGGCATTTATTGGCCAGTAGTACTAGTTTGAAATGACCTCCCTGAGAAAATCAAAGGTGATATGAAATGCTACACTTTCCCATTCTCTGGCTCACTGTCCTTTCTTAGTAAAAGTGTTTTTTCTAGGTCAGTGTTTTTCACAGTGCATTCTCTCAGGGTTCCACAGTAAGGCCTTGAGAGGTAAGGGCAAAACCCAGGAGGGGATGTGATGAAAATTCCTCCCAACCCCTATTTCAACCACAGCAACTCCATATATTTACTTTCTTTATACTTTTAGGTTCAGCATTACAGTTTTTAGAATTATGTGATTTTTTGCGCACCTCCCCCCCCCCCAAAAAAAATTGAGAACTACTGTTCTGAGTGGAAGATTCTTTTTAAAAAAAATTTTATTTTTATTAATTTCAGAGAGGGAAGGAGAAGGAGAGAGAGATAGAAACATCGATGAGAATCATTAACCAGCTGCCTCCTGCATGCCCCCTACTGGGGATTGAGCCCGCAATCTGGGCATGTGCCCTTGACTGGAATTGAACTCGGAACCCTTCAATCTGCAGGCTGATGCTCTATTCACTCAACAAAACCAGCTAGGGTACTTCAAGGGAGATTCTTCAAGATCGATAAGCAATGCTTTTCCCATAATAATTCTTGTTTTCACTTTACCCAGTATTTTTAAGTTGGTGTGATTCTGCATGTTGTGGGATCCCATAGAGATGCTCAAATCCATGCAAGGAGAAATCCAAACCAACGGAGGCGGGACCTGTGGGGACCAGGATATTGACTGAGTTTTGCTTCTCATTAGGGCAATCAGTTAACTGTGAGTGTAGCAAGATGACTAAACTAGGGATCTAGAGATGGGAGCTTTCCCTGATCTATCAGTAAACCACGTGTGCTGACTTCTGTATTCAGGTGTTGTGAGGATACAAAAATGCAAAAGGCAAAGTTCTGGTCACTCATCACTTATGTTCACTTAGCTGTGTGCTAAATCTCTCCGTGTCCTCATTTATACTAAATCTTTTTATTGGTAACATATGGCTACAAAGTTTTAACTTTCTTTTTAATCTAAACTTTTCTAAAATATATTAGGTACTCCTTTGCTTTGGAAACCAAAGGATACTGAGCAATTTTAATCTTCGCTAGATGAAAGAGTGGGTGTCTCCTGCCTGATTACTTTTCTCACTGTGTTCAGGGACTATAATGTCAAGGGCACTAGGAGGATCTTTCCTAGCTCCTCAGAATACCCTGTGATTGTAAACACGTAAATTTCCTTTAACCAAGGGCAAAGTCTTTTTGTTAACAATTATTTTAGAGATATGGGAAAATGCAAATAATTAGGAAAGATAACATCACCTTAAATTCATTTGTAGGTTAAAATATTTGACCTCAAATGATCCTTATTTGGAGGAGTGTATGGAATGAGGGTTCTATAGAAAAGGCAAAAAAGATTATGATGCCCCCCGCCCCTTGCTTATAAATTTTGGACAAGTTGTCAGCCCTGATCATATACTAAGCCAGTGATGGCGAAACTTTTGAGCTCGGCGTGTCAGCATTTTGAAAAACCTTAACTTGACTCTGGTGCCGTGTCACATATAGAAATTTTTTGATATTTGCAACCATAGTAAAACAAAGATTTATATATATATATAAATTAAATATTTATTGTTCAGCTTCTTCGCATTTCAAATCTTTGCCTTGATTCTTGTGGTCCTCTGGTCTGCTGTTGGGAGTCTGTATAATATTCGTTATTTCAGTCCGTGTATGTTTAATTTCTAGTTGGTTCTTTATCATAACCATTAGATAAAACCAGGGTCTCATTAGATTTGTTGAGGATCTCATTAAGTTTATCAGCGGCTTCTAGACAGTTCTTGAGAGACCTTAAAAGTGTGGTTCTGAACTGAATATCCTCCATTGACAGTTTTGTCCTGTTTCTTTGTCTCTGCATTTTTTATGCTTTCTTGGTGCACCCCTAGTGGTCTTTGTGTGCAGTCCTCCTGTAGTTAAGCCTTGATTGTTGTAGTTAATACTAGGGGGATTTGACCTCCAGGCCAGCTGGCTGTGAGAATCAGCTTTGTCTGCAGTGGGAAAACTTCTATCCTCTAGGGAGGTGCTAATCTAGCCTTTGCCTGAGGCTATCTGGCAAATGGCTGTGCCCAGGGCTTGGGCGGGGTGGGTGGGTCGCTCGGGCTCGGGATCAACAGGGTAGGCCGGAGAGAGCAGTTATGGCGGCTCTCAGTTCCATCCCTAGGGGCTCTGCCTCACAGAGTCCCAGCAACCGCTGCAAACCTCGGAGAGAAAGCTGCCTTCGAGTTCCGACTGAAGCCAGACAGTCCCGCTTCTCCCGTTTGAGTCTGGGTCCCTAGAAACTCGCCCAGATGTGGAGCTCAGAATCTGAGACTCCCTCCCGATTGAAAGCACCAACTGCGCCCTCCGCCGCCAGCCAGCTCCACGCGCACTCCGTACCTGAGTATTTCACTTCGGCACTGCGCCTTCTCTGAATCTGGGTATGATATTCTCTTTCCTCCTAGTCGTAGAATTTCCACTCAGCCAGCCTCCCTGTGGTTCTGGATGATGTCTGTTCCGTCTTTTAGGTGTGTTTTGATTTGGTTGTTCAAGGCAGCAATCTCCGGCTTTAACCTATGCGGCCATCCTTATTGTTCAGATTATTACAGTTGTTCCTCTTTTTCCCCCCGCCCAGCTCTCCTCCACCCAGTTCCCACCCCACCCTCTGCCCTTACCCCTCCCACTGTCCTCATCCATAGTTGTATGATTTTTGTCCAGTCTCTTCCTGCACCCTCACACCCCTTTCCCCCCAAGAGTTGTCAGTCCACTCCCTTTCTATGCCCCTGGTTCTATTATATTCACCAGTTTACTTTGTCCATCAGATTTTTTATTCACTTGATTTTTAGATTCACTTATTGATAGATATGTATTTGCTGTTCATAATTTTTATCTTTACCTTTTTCTTCTTCCTCTTCTTAAATACCTTGCAGCATTTCATATAATACTGGTTTGGTGGTGATGAACTCCTTTAGCTTTTTCTTATCTGTGAAGTTCTTTATCTGATCTTCAATTCTGAATGATAGCTTTGCTGGATAAAGTAATCTTGGTTGTAGGTTCTTACTATTCATCACTTTGAATATTTCTTGCCAATCCCTTCTGGCCTGCATAGTTTCTGTTAAGAAATCAGCTGACAGTCATATGGGTATTCCCTTGTAGGTAACTGACTGTTTTTCTCTTGCTGCTTTTAAGATTCTCTCTTTGTCTTTTGTCCTTGGCATTTTAATTATGATGTGTCTTGGTGTGGTCCTCTTTGGATTCCTTTTGTTTGGGGTTCTCTGTGCATCCTGGGCTTGTAAGTCTATTTCTTTCACCAGGTAGGGGAAGTTTTCTGTCATTATTTCTTCAAATAGGTTTTCAATATCTTTCTCTCTCTCTTCTTCTGGCACCCCTATAATTCGGATGTTGGTACGCTTGAAGTTGTTCCAGAGGCTCCTTACACTATCTTCATATTTTTGGATTCTTTTTTCTTTTTGCTTTTCTGGTTGGGTATTTTTTGATTCTTTGTATTTCAAATCTTTGACTTGATTCTTGGGATCCTCTTTTCTGCTGTTGGATCTCTGTATATTATTCTTTATTTCAGTCAGTGTATGCTTAATTTCTAGTTGATTTTTTTTTCATATCCTCCAGGGTCTCACTAAATTTATTGGTGGTTTCTAGAAAATTCTTGAAAAACCTTATAACCGTGATTTTGAACTCTATATCCAGTAGTTTGCTTTCCTCCATTTCTGTCATGTGTGACCTGTTTCTTTGTCTCTGCATTTTTTATGCTTCCCTGTGTTGATAGAGTGGCTTTGTGTGCTAGGTGTCCTATAGGGCCCAGTAGCTCAGCCTCCCCAATTACCTAATGTAGACATTCTTGGTGCACCACTTTGTGGGCTTTGTGCACAGTCTTGTTGTAGTTAAGCCTTGATTGTTGTAGGTATCACTGGGAGGAATTGATCTCCAGGCGAATTGGCTGTGAGAATCAGCTGTGCCTACTGTGGGAGGAGAACTGTGCTGAAGACACCCTTATGGGGCAAGACTTGCTTCAGTAGGGATTTGGTACTCAATGAGTCTGCCCCCGAGTGTGTCCCTTATGGATCTGAGGAATTGTAATCTGGATGGTCCCACTCTGACCACTGGGTACACTGGCTCTTGGATCTAAGGAGGTGTTAATTTAGCCTCTGCCTGAGGCTACCCAGCAGGAGCTATGAAGAGATCTGCAGATTCCTCTTCCTTGTTTGGGATTTGGAGGTGCCCAAATGAGGCCCAGCTGTGAAGCAATGCAAGCTGCTGTGGGGCCTTGGGCCTTCTCTTGGAAGTTCTGGGTCTGTCTGGCCCAGCCGCAGTTTGTTAGGTAATTTTCAGGTGGCAAAGGGCCAGGGCATTCATATGCAAAAGCCTCTGCCGCAGCTTGGGTGGGGCAGGATCTCAGGGAATCAACAGGGTGGAGCAAACAGCTATGGCTGATCCTCAGCCCTGCCCTAAGAGGCCCCACGTCTCAGTGTCCCAGGGTAATTGCTGCAAGCACCTCTGAGAGAAAGCCGCCCTCGAGTTCCGAGTTCTGCGCGCTGCCAGACAGTCCAGTTTCTCCCCAATATGAGCCTGGGTCCCCAGAGACTTCCTGGAACTGGAGTTCAGAGCAGTCAGGGGCTTGTGACTCCCTCCCAATCAAAAAGACAGCTGCGTCCTCAGTTGCCAGCCCTTGCTGCGCACACCTCCATACCTCTGCACTTTACTTCCGCACCTCCTCTGAGTCTCAGTGTGCTTTTCTCTTTCCTTCTAGTTGTAGAATTTCCACTCAGCCAGCCTTCCTGTAGTTCTGAATGATGTCCGTTTTGTCTTTTAGTTGTATTTTTGAAGTTGTTGTGGGAGGCAGCAATTTCCGGTGTTTACCTATGCCGCCATCTTAGGTTTTTCTCAAGATATATATATATATATTTTAGGATAATTATTTCCTTTTATTTTTTTATGGGGCTGTCTCAACCTCACTGGGGCCATCTCTGCCTCACCGGGCCCGTTTGAGCCTCATCGGGCCCATTTCAGCCTCACCAGGGCTGTTTCAAACTCACCGGGGCATCTCAAGCCCACCGGGGCCGTCCCACCCCCACCGGGGCCATCCCAGCCTCGCCGGGGCTGCCTTAGCCTCACTGGGGCCGTCCCAGCCTCTCGGGGGCCGCCTCGGCCCCACGGGGGCTGACTTGGCCTCACGGAGGCCATCTCAGCAACACGAAGTTTGGCATTCTGTCCTTTGTTGGGCGGCTCCTTGCTGGACAAAATCTCCAGGTGTTCCTGGTGGCTGAATATCTGGTATGCTTGCTTGGATTTTGTTTTCTACCAAGTGCACAGACTGCCTGTCTGCCATCTCCTAGTGTCCCATGTGAGAGTGGATCTGGTGGGCCTGCCTGTGCGTTTGCTGGTACAGCGGTTCCATGTCGCCGTCCCAGCTGTGTCAGGCTCCGGCTTCTTCCAAACCTGATTCTGCTTCTTTATTGTGTCCCTTATGTATGCAAGGAGTTGAAATCTGCATTCTGCTGGGCTGGGCTACAAAAGCGCCGGTGGTTCTCTTTGTGCCACTAGCACAGCTTGGTTGGGGATGTAATTTGAGTAGGGCGGGGTCCCCGGGAATCACCAGGGCAGGGCCAAGGCAATGGCATCTCCATGTCTATTCGCCTCTCCACAACTCAGCGACTCGCATACCCGAGTGCCGGGAGCAGTTCTGCGAGACAGCCACTCTCACTCTCCGGGTTGTTGCAAGGCCATCCCGCTTCTCCCCATAGGGGTCTGGGTCCTCAGAATCCCACCCCAAACACGCTCAGTGGATTTGAGAGTCCACATCCCCTTCTGGTTGAAAAAAACCGTGCATTCAGTTGCAGCCAGCCTGGTGTGCGATTCCGTACCTTCGTTCTTGGAGCCTCTGCACAACCTATTCAGTCTCAATGCTCTTCTTTCTTTCCTTCCAGTTGTAGAGCTTCCACTGGGAAGCTTTCCCATGGTTCTGAATGACAACTGTTTCTTTTATAAGTGGTAGTCTCGATGTTGTTGTGGGAGGCAGCACGCAGAGGTCTGTACCTTACGCTGCTATCTTGGTTCTCCAAGATTTATATTTTTGATATTTATTTTATATATTTAAATGCCATTTAACAAAGAAAAATCAACCAAAAAAAGAGTTTGCATGTCACTTCTGACACGCGTGTCATAGGTTCACCATCACTGTACTAGGCTATAGATATAGATGCTAGAACAGGTATTCTCAAGGAATTAGGGAGAGTCTGCCATTCAACAGGGCAGGGAGGAGGAAGAAAGTATTTTTTCTGGCTACATAAGTCCCAAATATCTTAAAGGTATCTCCCAAAGAGACAAACTACACACACACACACACACACACACTCTCCCATCACTAAACCTAGGGAGAAATGTCACAGATGGGCATGTGATGCTCATGTGCATGATGGGGAAGCCTGGCAATGGTTGAGAACCACTGGCTTGGAATGTTGGAGCTGATGAGCTCTAGAGATTGTTTTGTCATCACTTGGCTCTCATAAAAACAGAATGTGGAATTTGCAGCCATGTGATATACTGGATAGTGCAAATAGTGTGCTGATCTAGGGCACTCCATGAGACCATAAGCTCTATGAGGCCTGTAGTTCTTTTATACCCTCCACAAAAGGCATATAATCATTATTTCTTTGTTGCAATGCATTATGGAAGAATGAGTGGCCTGGTGCACGAAATTTGTGCACTGAGGAGGAATTCCCTCAGCCCAGCCTGCACTCTCTCCAATCGAACATCCCTCTCACAATCTGGGACTGCTGGCTCCTAACCACTCACCTGCCTGCCTGTCTGATTGCCCCTAAGTGACTCTGCCTGCCTGCCTGATTGCCCCTAACTTTCCTCCCCTGCTGGCCTATTCTCACCCCCAACTGCTCTCCCCTGCTTGCCTGATCTCACCCCCAAATGCCTCTACCTGCCTGATCACCCCTAACTGCCCTCCCCTGCCAGCCTGATCTCGCCCCCAACTGCCCTCCCATGCAGGCCTGATCTTGCCCCCAACTGCCCTTCCCTGCCGGCCAATTTGGTTCTGATTGGTTGGTTTCTATGCCAGTCAGTGTCAAAAGCTCCACCTCCTAGTCAGCCATTGGCTCCTCACAGTTCACCCAGATTTGGTTCTGATTGGTTGATTTCTATGCCAGTTAGCATCTCCGGGCCTATCCCTGGGCCTGATCAGAGAGGCGGGGCTGATCAGCAGCTCCCTCCGCAGTCAGTGCTGGGGCGCCATGGCAAGCCAGCACTGACTGCAGGACTGACTTCCAGTGTTCGGTAGAGCCTTTGGTCAGTCGTTACGGACCCTGGGTTTTTATATATTAGGATAGGGGACTCAAATCTGAGATTTTTGTTCATCTTGCAGAAGTTACTTGTTTAGGTGCCAAAGCTCCAGGAACTTTTGGATAGAGATATTTAGCCATTTTGGAAATATCTGTTTTAGCACTACACCAGTTTCAATTTTACCATTAAGTTTGACATCCACAAATTTTCCAAATTTCTCCTCCCATAGGCCTAGGTCCTCTTGATTTTTCTGTTGGCACAAAAAAAGAAAGCAAATTAAGTTTATATGTTGCAAGCACATTTTATTTGGATTATTAAAAAATTAGACCAAAAAAATTAGTTCATCTCAAGACTAGTTTTGATGTCAGTATATTTAACAAATTAGATCTGTGTCCTATATAAATGTCAATAATCATCCTTATGAACAATAGCTGACATGAACATATTTTTTATTGTGGTAAAATACACATAACAAAATTTATATTAACCATTTTAAATGTATTAACCATTTTAAGTGGCATTAAATACATTCACATTGTTGTGCAACCATCATCACCATTCATCTCTAGCACTTTTACATCTTCCCAAACTAAACCTTTGTACCCATTAAATAATAACTCCCCATTTCTCCCTCCCCCTAGCTCCTGGCAACCACTATTCTACTTCTTGTCTCTATGAGCCTGACTACTCATCTAGATATCTCATGTAAGTGGCATCATACAGTATCTGTCCTTTTGTGTATGGCTTATTTCATTTAGTATAATGTCTTCAAGATTCATCCATTTGTAGCAGGTGTCAGAATTTTCTTCCTTTTTAATGGAATAATAATCCACTGTGTGTATGTACCATATTTTGTGGATGCATTCATCTGTCAACGACACCCGGATTGCCAGATTGCTTCCACCTTTTGGTTGCTGTAAATAATGCGCTATGAAGAACATAAGTATACAACTATCTGTTTGCTTACTTTCGCTTTTGGATATGTACTCATAAAAGGATCATATTGTAATTCTATATTTAATTTTTTGAGGAACTGCCACACCATTTAACATGGTTTGAAATTATGTGAAAGCACTTTGAAAAATGTGGTCTTTACATATATAAGATATTTTTTCCTTGTAAGTATGTGAGGCAAACATTTAGAATCAAACTACTTAGGTCTGTTTTGTGAGACCCTAAGAAAAGATTTTGGCTGAGATGGGCACTTTCACCCTGCTTCGTTTATCCAAACTGCTAGCTATGTTCCTATTGCTGGCTTTGGAAGTCACTGGGATGGCAACCACTCAGGTTCATAAACTCTTGATCTACAGTTATAAACTTTTTCAGCTTTACCAAAGTCTCAATTCTTCAGAAGCAAAAGCTCTTTTTAAAAAAATTATGTGTGTGTGAAATGCATTATTTCTTTTTAAAAAGTGAATCCTGCCCTGGCTGGTTTGGCTCAGTAGATAGAGCGTTGGCCCTCTAACTGAAGGGTCCCGGGTTTGGTACCAGTCAAGGACACATACCTTGGTTGCAGGCTTGATCCCTGCAGGGCCTGTGTGGGAGGCAACCAATTGATGTGTCTCTCTCATATCAACATTTCTCTCTCTCTGTCTCTCCCCCTCTCTTCCACTCTCTCTAAAAATCAATGGAAAAATATCCTCAGGTGAGGATTACAAAACATTTTTAAAAAGAGTGAGTCCTCTGCCCATTTCTAAGCTGTTTCTTCATACTTAAAGCTTCTATAAAGTGATCCTGTGTATGTTTTAAATCACACCTGAATTACTATTTTTTCTTGTGTAACACTCCTTTTACTCAGCATAATGTTTTGTTTTTTTAATAATTTTTTTCCAATTATAGCTGACATACAATTATAGTTGACATACAATGTCATATTAGTTTCAGGTGTATAACCCAATGATTAGACATTCTGTAACTTAGTGATCACACAAAAATATCTAATACCCATCTGACACCATACATAGTTATTACATTATTATTGACCAAATTCCCTATAATGTACTTTACATCCCTATGACTATTCTGTAACTACCAATTTGTACTTCTTAATTGTTTCACCTTTTTCAGCACGATCCCAAATCTCCCTCCCATCTTTGGAAAACCCAGTCCTCCAAACCCCCTCACCTCTGGCAACCACCAGTTCCCTTTCTGCGTCTATGAGTCTGTTTCAGTTTTGCTTGTTTACTTTGTTCTGTAGATTCCACATATCAGTGGAATCACATGGTATTTGTCTTTCTCTGGCTGACTCATTTCACTGAGATAATATCCTCTAGGTACATCTATGCTATTGCTAATGGTAAGATTTCACTTTTTTTATGGCTGAGTAGTATTCCATTGTATATAGGTACCACAGCTTTTTTATCCACTCATCTATTAATGGGAAATTGGGTTGCTTCCATAGCTTTATAACTATTGTAAATAATGCTGCAATGAACATAAGGGTGCATATATTCTTTCAAATTAGTGTTCTGGATTTCTTCGGATAAATTCCCAGAAGTGGAATTACTAGATCATAAGGTAAAAGCAATTTTTAATTTTCTGAGAAAACTCCATGCTGTAGTGATTTTTGCATCTATATTCATTCATCAGGGATACTGGCCTATGATTTTCTTTCTTTGTAGTATCTTTATCTGTGAGGTGTTTTTTTTTAATTTTTTTATTACTGCTTCAATATCATTTGTTGTAATTAGTCTGTTCAGATTTTCTGATTCTTCTTGATTCAGTTTTGGAAGGGTGTATGTTTCTAGGATTTTATCCATTTTGATTAGGTTATCAAGTTTATTAGCAGACTAGAGGCCCGGTGCACAAAAATTTGTGCACTCGGGGGAGAGGGGGTGTCCCTCAGCCCGGCCTGTGCCCTCTCGCAGTCTGGGACCCCTCGGGAGATAACGACCTGCTGGCTTAGGCCTGCTCCTGTGTGGCAGAGGGCAGGCCCAATCCCTAGGTGCAGCCCCTGGTCGGGCTCAGAGCAGGGCCAATTGGGGAGTTGGGGCGCCGCCCCGTCATGCACAGAGCAGGGCAGATTGGGAGGTTGTGATGCCACCCTCAGTCACGCTCAGGGTAGGGCCAATTGGGGGGTTGGGGCACTGTCCCCTGTCACACTCAAGGCAGGGTTGATGGGGAGGTTGCAGCGCCACCCCCTGTCATGCACAGAGCAGGGCCCATCAGGGGGTTGGGGCACCGCCCTCTATCACCCACAGAGCAGGGATGCTCAGGGGGTTGGGGCCCCGCTCCCTGTCACAGAGCCACAGGGTGATCAGGGGGTTTGGGCGCTGCCCCCTGTCACGCTGATCCCGGTGCCGGGAGGCATATTACCCTTTTACTATATAGGGTAGAGGCCTGGTGCATGGGTGGGGCTGGCTGGTTTGCCCTGAAGGGTTCCTGGATCAGGGTGGGGGTCCCCACTGGGGTGTCTGGCCAGTCTGGGTGAGGGGCTGAGGGCTGTTTTCAGGCTGGGAGTGACTGAAGTTCCCAACCGCTCCTTTTTTTCTTTTTTATTCTGGGCCAGCTTTACCTTGAGGCTTGGCTCCAGCTCTTAGGCCTCCGCAGCTGAAAGTAGGTTTCTGGCCTTTGCTTACAATGTTGCGAATCTGCTGGCTGAAGTATTTGTTACAATGTTTCTTAAACTGCTCGCTCAGAGGCCTGCAGCCGCAGGCGGGAATGTTGGTTTCCTCCAACGATCCTCCATCACTGAGGCAAGCAAGCCTCATGTTAGTTTCAAGCTGCCTGGCTGCCAGCCACCATCTTGGCTGACAGTTAATTTGCATATCTCGCTGATTAGCCAATGAAAAGGGTAGCAGTCGTACGTCAATTACCATGTTTCTCTTTTATTAGTGTAGATAGTTGTTCACATTTTCTTACAGTCCTTTGTATTTCTGTGGTGTCAATTTTTACTTCTCTTTTATTTGATTTTATTTATTTGGATCCTCTCTCTTTTTTTCTTTGAGTCTGGTTAAAGGTTTGTCAATTTTGTTTATCTTTTCAAAGAACCAACTCTTGGTTTCATTGATTGTTTTTTTAGTTTTTTTTTTTAGTCCCTATGTCCTTTATTTCCACTTTAATCTTTATTATTTCTTTCCTTCTACTCACTTTGGGCTTTGTTTGTTCTTCTTTTTCTAGTTTCTTTAGGTCAGTGGTCGGCAAACTCATTAGTCAACAGAGTCAAATATCAACAGTACAATGATTGAAATTTCTTTTGAGAGCCAAATTTGTTAAACTTAAACTATATAGGTAGGTACATTGCTATTAACTTAATTAGGGTACTCCTAAGGTTTAGGAAGAGTTACACTCAAGGGGCCAAAAAGCCGCATGTGGCTTGCGAGCCGAAGTTTGCCGACCACAGCTTTAGGTGTAAAGTTAGATTGTTTATTTGAATGTTTTCTTGTTTCTTAAGGTAGGCCAGTATTCTTATGTCGTTCCCTCTTAGTACGGCTTTTGCTGTGTCCCATAGGATTTGGGTTGTTGTGTGTTCATTTTCATTTGTCTCAAGGTATCCTTTGATTTCTTCCCTGATCTCATTGTTGACCCATTCATTGTTTAGTAACATGTTATTTTGCCACACCTGAACTCTCCATGTAGGGATTATTATCCTGGGATCTATGGATAAGCTTTAGAGTTGTGAACTCCCTCAAACAGGATAACAAATTATTTTGCTATAGAGATGATTCACAGCTTTCATCTGATTCTTCCAAGGGATTTCCAAGTTGTAATCGAAGGGAAGAAATATTGAAAAATTTGAGGAGGCTGCTGAGATGGGGAAGGGCACCTTCAAGTATGGGATAAACCAAAAGCTGGACATGAGCATAGTATCACCACTGATATATCCCTGTGGACATTTGAGACCAGCAAGTATTAGATGATCATCATTGATGCCCCCAAGAAACAGAGACTTCATAAAAAACATGATTCAAAATAAAAACAAAAACAAAACGAAAAAACAAACACGATTCAGGCACATCTCAGGCTGACTGTGCTGTCCTGATTGTTGCTGCTAGTGGAATTTGAAGCAGGTATCTCCAAGAATGGCAGAACTGTGAGCATGCCCTTCTGGCTTACACACTGGGTGTGAAAAACTGATGGCTGGTGTTAACAAAATGGATTCCACTGAGCTATCTTATAGCCAGAAAAGGTAAGAGGAAATTGTTAAAGAAGTTAGCACCTAATTAAGAAAACTGGCTACAACCCTGACACAGCATTTGTGCCAATTTCTGGTTGGAAGGAGACAACATGCTGGAGCCATGTGCTAATATGCTTTGGTTCAAGGGAAGGAAAGTCACTCATAAAGATGGCAATGCCAGTGGAACCGTGCTGCTTGGAGCTCTGGATTGCATCCTGCCACCAACTCGTCCAGCCCCTGTCTCTGCCCCTCTAGAATGTCTACAAAATGATGGTATTGGTACTGTTCCTGTGGGCCAGGTGGAAACTGGTGTTCTCACACGTGGCATGATGGTCACCTTTGCTCCAGTCAATGTTACAATTGAAGTCAACTCTGTTGAAATGCACCATGAAGCTTTGAGTGAAGCTTTTCCTGGGGATAATGTGAGCTTCAATGTCAAGAACATGTCTTTCAAAGATGTTTATCATGGTAATGACCCGCCAATAGAAGCAGCTGGCTTCACAGCTCAGGTGATTATCCTGAACCATCCAGGCCAAATCAGTGCTGGATATGCACCTGTGCTGAACTGTCACACAGCTCACATTGCCTGCAGATTTGCTGAGCTAAAGGAGATTGATCATCGTACTGGGAAAAAGCTGGAAGATGGCCCTAAATTTTTGAAATCTGGTGATGCTGCCATCGTTGATATGGTTCCTGGCAAGCCCATGTGTGTTGGTTGAGAGCTCCTCTGACTCTCCTTCTCTGGGCTGTTTTGCTGTTCCTGACATGAGACAAACAGTTGCTGTGGGTGTCATAAAAGCAGTGGGCAAGAAGGCAGCTGGAGCTGACAAAGTCACCAACTCTGCTCAGAAAGCTCAGAAGGCTAAATGAGTATTATCCCCAACACCTGCCACCCCGTCTTAATCAGTGGTGGAAGAACGCCTCAGAACTGTTTGTCTCTACTGGCCATTTAAGTTTAATGGTAAAAGACCGGTTAATGATTACAATACATCGTCAAAACCTTCAGAAGGAAAGGAGACTGTTTTGTGGACCATTTGTGTGTGTGTGTGTGTATGGGGGGGTAGTTTTTAAGTTATTAGTTTTTAAAATCAGTACTTTTTAATGGAAACAACTTGACCAAAAATCTGTCACAGAATTTTAAGACCCATTAAAACAAAGTTTAATGAGAAAAAAAGGAATTATTTTAAGAGTCTCAGCAGAATTGCCCCTGCCCGTTTCTCTAGCCTAGTGACACAGCACCCTTTCCTTTGCTCTTTTCTCTTGCTAAAAGTTATGTTTGTGTATGTATGTATGTATGTATTTATTTCAAATGTGCTCCTTTGTACCTAAGATTTTTGAAAATGCAATTCCTTCTATTTGGAATGTGCTTTTCCCACTTTTTTTTTTTTTTTAACTAGCTACTGTATCTGCATGCATCAATTTCAGCTTTAACATCATTTCCTTCAGGAGGTCTTTCCTGACCCTCATCCTGGTCAAGTTTCTTGTTGTAGTCTCCTAAAGCACCCTTTTGTAATGTGCTGGGCTGCATATCTGGCGCTTTGGCCAGACAGGTCATGCTGTGCTGTCTGTTCCTAAAACACATAGATAGGAAGGTACTGACATCAGGCCAGGCCTTGAGATATGGTCTCATGCCCCTTCCCAGGATGCAGGCCTTCTTTCTCAGAAGGCCTGGAAGTCTCATTCCAAATTTGGGAGACAAAGGACTGGAAAAAGTATAAATAAAGAGAGTTTCCTCCATATTGGGGGGCCCAGAATTTGAAAGACACATTTTTCTCTGGGCCTCCACAAAATTTAATAATAAAATGTAACTCCTGTGGTTGTCACTGCTATTCAGCCTCTGCTTCAGCAGGGTGCTGTAACTGTAGTCAGCTGGCCAGCTTAATAAAGGCTCTTAAATTTAAATTCTGAGTCGGTGGTCTATCTTGCTGAGTGAACCCATACCAGTAACACTCTTCATACCTGTAATTATTTAGTGCCTGTCTTTCCAAATAGATTCTAAGTTTCATAAAGACACAGGATTTGCTTTATTCACTGCTGACTCCCTTTGCCTAGCATTTTTTTGTGGCTGGCACAAAGCAGGCACTCAGGAATTACCTGTTTTATAAATTAATAAATACATGAACAAATGAATGAAAGAATCAATGAGAAGATAAGATGAGCAACAGAGACAGATGATTACATTTACAGAGAATTTATCAAATATCCATCTGTAGAAGAAGGAAAGAACAGGACACATTATATTCTACACCAGTGGTTCTCAACCTTGGCTGCACATTAGAATCTCCTGGGAATCTTTTTAAAACCCTGATTTCTGGGCCTCATCCTCCGGAAATTCTGTTTCTTTGTTATGGGGTGAGGCCACAACATTAGTAACAAAGAAAAAGAATTTCCGGAGGATGAGGCCCAGAAATGAGGATTTTAAAAAGATTCCCAGGTGATTCTAATGTGCAGCCAAAGTTGAGAGCCACTGTTCTACACAATGATGATGATGATTAAAATAATAATAAAAAAAAAGACAAATTGCTCAATCTAGATTACCTGAGAGGCGTCAATTGATGCATTCTCCTTTTCTCTGGTAGCTCTGTTGTAATACAAATAAAATTGTTTAACACATGGCAAGACTGATGGAATTTTGTTCAATTATAAAGATTTTCATTTCCAACTTTTGAAACTCTATCCACCGAGCCAAACTGGCTAGGGTATCATTTATCTTTTTAAAGAAACACTTTTGGTTTTGTTGATGTTCTCTTTTGATTTCCTTTTCAATTTCATTGATTTCTGCTCTAATTTTTAATATTATTTTTGCTTCTAGTTATTTGTATTTAATAAGCTCTTATTTTTCTAATTTCCTAAAGTGGAAGCTTAGTTTACTGATTTATATATTTTATTTATTTATTTATTTATTTATTTATTTATTTATTTATATTGAATCCATTGGGGTTACATTGGTTAATAAAATTATATAGGTTTCACTCCGGTTTGGCTCAGTGGATAGAGCGTCGGCCTGCGGACTGAAAGGTCCCAGGTTCGATTCCGGTCAAGGGCATGTACCTGGGTTGCAGGCATATCCCCAGTAGGAGATGTGCAGGAGGCAGCTGATCGATGTTTCCCTCTCATCGATGTTTCTAACTCTCTATCTCTCTCCCTTCCTCTCTGTAAAAAATCAATAAAATATATTAAAAAAATTATATAGGTTTCAGATGTATAGTTCTATAATACATCATCTGTACAGTGTATTGTGTGTTTACCACTCCAAGTCAAGGATCCTTCTATCTCCATTTATTCCCCTTTTATCTTCTACTGCCCCCAACGCCTCTTTTCTTCTGGTAGTCACCATACTATTCTCTGTCTATGAGGTGGGGTTTTTTGTTTGTTTTTTGCTTAATGCCTTCATCTTTTTCACTCAGCCCCACAACTCCTTCCTCTTTGATAGCTGTAAGTTTGTTCTCTATATCTGAATGTTTCTATTTTGTTAGTTTATTTTATTATTTAGATCCTGCACATAAGTGAAATCATATGACATTTGTCTTTCTCTGACTGGTTTGTTTCACTTAGCACAATACTCTCCAGGTCCATCCATGCTGTTGCAAAAGGTAAGACTTCCTTTTTTATGGCTGAGTTTTATTCCATTGTGTAAATATTCCACAGCTTTAAAAAAAAAAATCCAGTCTACCTTCTGATGGGCACTTGGGCTGCTTCTATATATTGGCTATTATAAATAACAAGAGGCCCGGTGCATGAAAATTCATGCACTGGGGGGGGGGGGGGGTCCTCAGCCCAGCCTACCACCTCTCACAGTCCGGGAGCCCTCAGGGGTGGGAGGCGACCTGGCAATCAGGAGAAGGCGATGCCCCATCACACCTCTGCTGCTGTCACTGCCGGCAGTGCAAGCCTCAGCTGGCCCTGGTTATCTGAGCCTTGGGCGGCCCTGGGCAGCTGGGCAGCCACCATCTGAGGCTTGCTTGCACCTCAGGCTGGCCCTGGGCAGCTGGGCAGTTGACAGCCAAAGCTTGCCTGCGCTTCAGGCCGACCCTGGGTGGCTAGGGGGCTGAGTGGACTGGGGGACTCCGGAGGTAGGCGCCCCGGCAGGGCCAAGGGGACTGGGCGCTGCCATCTTGTGGCTGTCACCATCTTTGAGGGTGTGGAGGTCAATTAGCATATCCCCTCCTTATTGGATGTGGGTGCCACCATCTTTGTGACAGCATGAGGGTCAATTAGCATATTCCCTCTTTATTAGACAGGATGCTGCAATGAACCAAGGGGTGCATATATTCTTTCAAATTAGTGTTTCAGGCTTCTTAGGATGTATTCCCAGAAGTGGAATAGCTGGGTCATAAGGCAGTTCCATTTTTAATTTTTTTGAGGTAACTCCATACTGTTTTGCTGCACCAATTTGCATTCTCACTAATAGTGTATGAGGGTTCCTTTTTTTCTGCATCCTCAGAAACGTTTGTTGTTTGTTGATTTATTGATGATAGCCATTCTAACAGGTATACAGTGATATCTCATTTTGGTTTTCATTTGCATGTCTCAGATGATTACTGATGTTGAGCATCTTTTCATATGTCTCTTGGCCATCTGTATGTTCTCTTTGGAGAAGTGTCTATTCAGGTCCTTTGCCCATTTTTTTTTTTAATATATATTTTATTGATTTTTCACAGAGAGGAAGGGAGAGAGATAGTTAGAAACATCGATGAGAGAGAAACATTGATCAGCTGCCTCCTGCACATTTCCCACTGGGGATGTGCCCGCAACCCAGGTACATGCCCTTGACCGGAATCGAACCTGGGACCTTTCAGTCCGCAGGCCGACGCTCTATCCACTGAGCCAAACCAGTTTTGGCCCATTTTTTAATTGGATTGCTTTTGTGGGTTTTTTTGTGTGTTTTTTTGGTGTTGAGATGTATGTTTTTAATAAATTTTGGTTATTAAACCCTAATCAGATGTATCTTTTCTCTTCTAATACATTCATTCAATGCTAAAAATTCCCTCTAAGCACTGCTTTTTCTACATGCCACAATTTTTAATAAGTTGTATTTTCATTTAGTTCAAAACATTTTTAATTTTTTTAGAGGTTTCTTCTTTGGCTTATGTGTTATTTAAAAGTGTGTTATTTAATCTCCAAGTATTTTGGAATTTTCCATATTTCTGCTATTTATGTCTGGTTAATTCCATTGTGATCTGAGAGCATGGTATGATTGATATTCTTTTAAAATTTTTAAGGTGTGTTTCATGACTCAAAATATGGTCTATCTTGGTAAAAATGTCCCATGTGAGCTTGAGAAGAATGTATATTCTACTGTTGTTGAATAAGAAAATCTATAGATGCCAATTATATCCAGTTGATTGATTTTGCTGTTGAATTCAACTATGTTCATACTGATTTTCTCTCTGTTGGATCGATCCATTTCTGATATAAAGGTGTTAAATGTCTAATTATAACAGTGGATTTGTCTATTTCTTCTTGCAGTTCTATCAGTTTTGCCTAATGTATTCTGATGTTTTGTTGTTAGGCACATACACACTAAGGACTGTTATGTTTTCTCAAAGAATTGACCCCTTTTATCATTACATAATGCTCTTCTTAATCCCTGCTAACTTTCCTTGTTCTTTTTTTAAAAAAATATATTTTTATTGATTTCAGAGAGGAAGGAAGAGGGAGACACAGAGAGAAAAACATCAATGATGAGAGAGAATCACTGATTGGCTGCCTCCTGCACGTCCCCTATTGGGGATTGAGCCTGCAACCTGGGCATGTGTCCCTGACAGGAATCAAACTTGGGAACCTTCAGTCCGCAAGCTGACGATCTATCCACTGAGCCAAACTGGCTAGGGCTGTGGTCAGCAAACTGAGGCTCGCGAGCCACATGTGGCTCTTTGGCCCCTTGAGTGTGGCTCTTCCTAAGCCTTAGAAGTACCCTAATTAAGTTAATAACAATGTACCTACCTATATAGTTTAAGTTTAACAAATTTGGCTCTCAAAAGAAATTTCAATCGTTGTACTGTTGACATTTGGCTCTGTTGACTAATGAGTTTGCCAACCACTGGGCTAGGGCATAACTTTCTTGTTCTGAAGTCTAATCTTTCTGAAATTAATATAACTACTTTCACTTTATTTTGATTAGTGTTAGCATGGTACATCTTTCTCCATCTCTTTACTTTTAATCATGTGTCTTTATATTTAACATTTCTCATAGATAAGTCTAGGGTAACTCATGTTATTGTAAAGGAATAAAGTGAAATTCTGATTAGTTCATATTAATATTTATCAAGTCAACAGAGTGCTTTTTTAAGAGGGTGCAGAGGGTTGAGAATGCCATTACACAGGATGTGTTAAGAGTGTTATGCTTGCAAAAGTATGGGAATCATTCTTATCATTAAGCCTGCATTCACCTGCACAGGTGAAAGATGAAAAATTTCAGAACATTATTCCATAAAATAAGGCAAACCAATTTTCTGTGTTGATATATTATAGATTTAGGCAACTGGTATTCACAATCAGGTTTTCTTATATTCTTTATGTGTCAAGTAATGTGCAAAAATACCTTTGCTCGAGAGGAATCTGCAGATGCTCAAAATACAATTGGCCCAGGGAGTTTATGCTCATCACAACCTCTTCTTTAGACACCAAGTCTACTTTGAATGGGTTAGCTGTGATATGACACTTTAGATCTCCTTTTTCATCTGCCAATATGAGATTGCCTGTATCTCCTGAGCATGAAATCAGCCTAGAAAACAAAGCAGGAATAGAAAAACCAATTATTGTAGGTTTATATGGCTCAACATATTTCTCAGTTCAAATTCATTAATTAGTAAATCAATATTTATGTGACACAGCATAGATAAGGCAATGGAGAGCCATAACTGAGAGCGTGGGCTTTGGTGTCAGAGAGCCTGGATTGAAGATAGCTCCATGCAATAGGTATATAACTTTGGACAAGTTAATCTTTCTACTTCACAGTTTCCTCATCTGTAATGTAAAAATAATAAAAGCAAGAATAAATAGATCCAGTCAAGATAAACGTGGTACTTGCATACTCCCATGACATAAAAAATACAACTACAGAACAACTAACACTCAGAGCCACCTGAAATCAAACTGAATGGAGTCCTACAGCTAAGGGTATAGAGAAGAAGCCACAGAGAGACTGGTGGGAGGAATGGAGATGTGGAATGTGCTGATCCCACACCTACATGTGGTGGACAAAAATCAGGAGGGATATCTTGGCTACTCCCTGAGGAGTGAGTGGTTCCAGTCCCACACTAGGCTCCCGAGTCCAGGGTTCCAGTGCCAGGAAGAGAAATCCCCATAATTTCTGATTGTTAAGAATCAGCCAGGATTGTGGCTCAGTGAGACAGAGAGCTTCTGGAGTCCCAGTTAGTTCTTAAAGGTCCAGAACACAGACTTACTCAGACTCACCCTGAGTTCCAGCACTGGGGCTGTAGTTTGAAAGGCACAGGGTCATATGGAGAGGAACTGAAGTGTCTGGCATCAGGGTGAGAGTTGGAGAGGCAGCTTTCTCCCAGACAGAAGTGCTGGCAGAGTTTATTGTTCCTCTTCTAAGCCCTTCCCCCAGACAGTTGGCAGGCGGGGGCTATATCTAAGTTTCCATCAACCTGGCTATCACTGTTCTTCCTGACCTGGTGATTCCCAGAGACCCCATCACACCAACTTGCAAGTCCAGCCAAGGTGTTTCCAGTGGCTTTTCCACATGAAAGACCTGTCTTGGCTCATGCTTCAGACTTTCCTAAAAATTCTCAAACAAGCAGCATCCAGCCTCGGCGTATTCTGTACCTCTCTCCAAGTGGCCTCAGGCTTGCAATAGTGGCCTTGGTTCACAACTTGGCCTCTCCTGAGCATCTCAGAACAAGTAGCAGCCATGTGCAGATTGCTTTGTAGCTCATGCTGGGTAGCCCCAGGCAGATATTGGCTTATACTCCCCTCGGGAGTTTGACCGCCCGCTATGATGTGTGCTGACCACCAGGGGGTGGTGTGGAATGAAGGAACGCCCTGGCTGCCAGCTGGCAGCCGGGGGAAGGAAGGCCCCAATCGGCCCTGATCGCCTGCCAGGCCTAGGGACCCTACCCGTGCACAAATTTTGTGCACTGGGCCTCTAATACTACATAACTATATGGCCAATGGAACTTCCATCTCAGCTAGAATCAGGAAGTTGGGTAATCAGAAGTCACTGTGGCAACTGGTTGGGCTCCAGGATCATGCCACTTAGCTGCAATCCAGAGATCAGGAAACCACTGCATTAGCCAGTGTAGCTTTAGAGCCATTCTATATCTTCCAAATCCATACCAGCAAAATGGGAAACTCAGTTCTGAAATCAAGATACTGTAAATGCATCTGATTGATGGAACCTGCCTGACATCTGAAACTAGCTACATGGGAATGTGGGAATGTGGGAAATGTGGGAATGTGGGAAATGGAGAGATGTAGTTTTTAGCTCTCTAGTTACTGCAATAGCCAAAGGCTTTCTACAAATGATTGGAATAGAAGCAGAACCAATATACCATATTTACTACATAAAGCTGATATCACCCTGACCCCCAAATATAGCAAAGACAGCACAGAAAAAGAAAACTACCACTTTGACAAGGATTTAATATCAAAAATATATAAAGAACTCATACAACTTAATACCCAAACTAATTAAAAAATGGGCAGAGGACTGAACAAACACTTCTCCCAAGAAGACAACATACAAATTAATGGTCAACAGACATATGAAAAGATGCTTAACTTGACTTGCTATTAGAAAAGTGCAAATCAAAACTACAATGAATATCACCTCACAACTGTTATATTGATTATTATCAACAAGATAAATAATAACAAGTGTTGGAGGGGTTATGAAGAAAAAGGAACCCTCATTCACTGCAGTGGGAATGTAAACTTAGGGCCACTATAGAAAACAGCATGGAGGGTCTTCAAAAAATTAAGAATATAGTTACCATATGACCCAGCAACTCCTCTTCTGGGTCTACCCAAAAATTTGAAAATACTTATTCAAAAAAATATATGCAACCTATGTTCACTGAAGCACTATATTCATGATGGCCAAGACATGCAAACACTGAAGTGTCCTTTGGTAGATGATTAGATAAAGAAGATAGAGTACATATATACAATGGAATACTACTCAGCCATAAGAAAAGATGAAATACTGCCATTTGTGACAACATGGATGGATCTTGAGAATATCAAGCTAAGCAAAATAATGATTTCATTCATGTGGAATATAAAACTGAAAGTTACAAGTAGACAAACAAGATAAACAAACAAAAACTTATCACCACAGACAACAATATGGTGGTTTCCAGAGGGAAGGGGAAAAAGGGTAGTAAGGATTAAGGGAGTCAAACATATGGTGATAGAAGAAGATTTGACTTTGGGTGGTGGGCACACAGTGAAATATACAGATGATATATCATAGAATTGTACACTTGAAACCCATATAATCTTATTAACCCCAATAATGTCAATGTCACCCCAATAAATTAAAAAAAGAATATACACACAAGAAAACTACAGACCAATTTTACTTATGAGCACAGATATAAAAATGTTAAATGATCTACTAGTAAAATGATTCCTTTAGGATAGTAAAACATAATGTAGTATGGCCATGTGGAGATGTGTGTGTGTGTGTGTGTGTGTCTTACATATACAATCATTTGCCCAACTGAAAAGCCTTGAGAACAGTTTCTTTTTAATTCCCATTTCCTAAATATTGGCATATAGTAGTGGCTTAATGAATAGATGTATTTTAAATTTATGATGGTTCTATCATAACTGAATTAATTTCTCCTTATAACCTACTGATCTTTTATTTTCATTGAAATAATAAAAGTTATTTTTCATGGAAAAATAATCTACATAAACTATGATAATGTAGTGAAAATTAAAGCATCTGGCATAATCTTATATTCCTTTAGGGGAATAATATGAAAAAATAACAGAAGTCAACAGGCAGAACCAAGTTGAGATATCACTGGAAAGTGTGCTGAGAAGTGATAAAGATTCTGCAGGTATATGAAAATGCTTTAATCCCCAAAGATTTTATTTCACCTAGAGACTGTTAATTAATCTCTGCTCTAAATCAATTAGATGTTACACTTCTAAGACTACCCTTAATTGAAAGTGAGTCAATCTAACTGTAAGCATGGGAGTTTGGCTAGTGTATTAGATCTCTGGAGCCCTGTGATAATCAGGGTGAGTAAATGAAATAGCTCTTCTTCTATTTGCTCCCAAAAGCCTGGCAGATCAACTGTTTGCTTTGTGAGGAAAGAAGGGATCAAAAGCTCCGGCTCTATCCTTTAATAAGTGTTGATGAGTCAAATGGTAGATGAGAAAACAGAATGGGTAATTTACAAAATGGAAACTAACTCTGCAAGTGATTGTGGATTTGGATAGACAAACTATGAGGTGTACACAAAATCTACTACTCAAAGTATGATAAAATAACCCAGTGAGGGTGTACTCAAGATATTTCGATCCTTGGCTTACCTTACAGTACTTGGTTTGCTTGTGATGACATCTGGGACTTCATACCTGGGCTTCAGGGGAGTTTCTTCATTGATTTTAAGCCTGAAAATATTTCCCTCTATACCAAAAACTTCAGCCAAAAGAGGAACCTGGGCACAGACATATGAGATTAATTTCCATAGGTTAACCCAGTGATGATCAGTTCTACAGTCAAATGACAATAATTAGAAAACTATGTTTAAATTATTACAGGCCAAGCAAACTGGAGAATGGCAATCATGAAGAAATAAAGCTCCCCAATCTATGTATGTACTTGCTTGGCTATACCTGTGGGAGACAAGAAACACCTTCTATGTATTGTATGGCTAGGAAAACATAATTGTCTGGACCAGGACCTTTAAGAGTATAAATTATTAGACTATAAATTATTAGACTATAAATTATTAGACTATGGTCTCTATTAATTATTACACTGGATTACACATATAAACTGAAACTCCTCTTGCAAAATTAGGACATATGACCACTGTATCTCTGACAAACTATAGATGTCTAGAGAATAAGAGTCTGATGTTAAAACTAGAGTAACTGGATTCCAGCTGAATGAAAGATGAAGAGTAACAAGCCATAGAATAGAATAGAATAGAATAGAATAGAATAGAATAGAATAGAATAGAATAGAATAGAATAGAATAGGATAGAGAGTAAAACAGTGGTCATTGGGGCTCTCTAGTATAGATATATGAGGCTTGTTACATTAAAATCAAGGTTCTTCCTGTACATCTGAGCGTATGGCCTTGGAAACTTTCTCAAGAGGCTGGGATAGTCTCTGCTTTCTTAAGAGGCTTGGATTTTCTCAGCTTTATTAAGAGGCTTGGCAACTTAGGTAAAATTCTGCTTACAATGGGAGATGGAAGCAACATAGAATTAGAAAGCGAATACAGGATTTGAAAAATAAGACACAAAATAACAAAACCCAAGAGAGTAGAAGGGGCTTCATTAAGGTTACAAAATGAGGCATTTAGATCAGAGAAATATTTTAAGACTGTTTTTTTCAACTGCTGTGCCATGACACACTGGTGGATTGCAAATCCTTCATTAAGTGTGATGGCAAATTCGGTTATTACTGGGGACATTGTTACTGTTTGTAAAATGAAAGGCTAAGCTGGGTAGGTTGTGTGACATAGTATAGAGCAGATGCAGTGTGCAAGTAAGAGATAGGAAGTAGGACAATATCAAAGCAGCACCAAAAAAAGCGATGTTACTGGAACCTCACTTTGGGGAATATAGAAAAGTAGTCAGGCACTTAAACAGTGACATGACACTGAAGAGTGACCAGGTAAACAGTGCAGTGGCTGCTTTTACAGACATTTTAAAGACAGGGTTATGTTGTAGTAGTAATCATATTGTAATTATTTGCCCCAGATTTATTGAAATGTAATTATATATATATATGCCTAATATGCAAATTGTCCCCTTGGGAGTTCGACTGGGAGTTCGATCCCTCACTATGACGTGCGCTGACCACCAAGGGGCGGCACGGATTGAAGGAAGGCCCCGGCCAGCAGCCAGGGAAGGGAGGTCCTGGCCCAGCAGCCAGAAAGAAGGCCCCAGTCGGCAGCTAGAAGGCCCCAATCTGCCCTGATCGCTGGCCAGGCCTACGGACCCTACCTGTGCCCAAATTTCATCCACCGGGCCTCTAGTTGGTATAAGTCTTATACCAACTAGAGTCTGATAAAACTTATCACATTGTATAAGTTTAATGTGTACAATGTGTTGATACACTTATATACTGCAAAATGATTATCACCATAGCCTTAGTTAACATTGCATCATGTCTCATAATTATCATCTTTTTGTCGTGAGAATATTTAAGATCTACTTTTAGAAACTTTCAAGTATATAATAGAGTATTATTAACTATAATCACTATACTGTACATTAGGTCTCTAGAAGTTATTTACCTTAGAGCTGAAAGTCTGTAGTCTTTGACCAATATACCCTCTTCCCCCTGACCTCCATCATACTGTAATTATTGATTAGGTGTTTAAAGTTCTTTTATATATTTGAATTAGTGTGCTGTCAGAATTCTAAATTTGAAAATGTATCCAAATATAAAGCTAAAATCCTGTTAGATTACACATTCTTTCCCAAATTAGACATATATTTCTATTGCCCTCCCAAATTCAACTAACATTTGTTATCTAATATTGTGATGTGCTGTTTGTTGTGAAAAAGATGGCTGTACTCTTAGGAAGATGGTAATTTAGAGACAAAACATACATAGTAAACATAAAGCATTTTATGCCAAGCTAGAAGGACAAAGAATGTGCTGTGGGAGAACAAATAAGGAGAATATTAATGATGATTCTAAGGAGAGGGGTTCTGGGAAATCTCTCCGGAGGAAGACGGACTTGAGCAGGGCCTTCAGAGACTTTGGGAGGCAAAAATGGGGGGAAAAAATGTTAAGCAGAGGGTATATGGGTTGTCTGTCTATATATGATTAACAAATTGTGTCTAATTTATGCACTCAGAGATCCTACTATTTTAGTGAAATCGCTTTTAAAAAATTGTTTTTTAAAACCAAAGACTGGTCTGTATGTTTTGTTCTTGAAGCTGCATCCTAGGGAAGAATCTGAATTATATGAGAGGAGGTAGCAATAACCCTGCTTTTACACAATAACCTTATGCAACCAAACTTACAAAGCCCATTTTGTTGTCTTTTTAACTTAATTAAGCAAGCCAATTTTTCCAATTAGGTAACTCTTTTTAAGGCCAATATCTAGATTCATTCTTATCTTTTACCACCAACATAGCTTCATGTTCCAAGCACATAATTTCCTTAGTATACATTTGCTCCTATGATCTGTTTCATGCTGTTTTTAGTGGCTTAATTTTTTTTTTTTAAACAGCAGTGGACGCTCAGAAGTTCAATAAGAAAAGCTATTTAGGTTGAAGATAGCGGGAAGTAGCTCACAACCCCGACCTTTAAGCCCCCGCCCCTCTCTGCATGGAGTGTGAGACACCTCCATGGAAGCCTCACGGCTCTGTGGGTGACAGTTTATGAACCACTTCCCTGGGCTTCTTAACTGCCAGTTATTGCCCAATTCTTCCACCAAAACCTTGCTCTGTCAAGAAGTCTGGCCCTAGTCAGTTTGGCTCAGTGGATGGAGCGTTGGCCTGTGGATTGAAGGGTCCTGGGTTTGATTCGGTCAGGGCACATGCCTGGGTTGTGGGTTCAATCCCCAGTGTGGGGCATGCAGGAGGCAGCCGATCAATGATTCTCTCTCATTGTTGATGTTTCTCTCTCTTCTCTCTCTCTCTTGCTCTCTCTCTCTCTCTCTCCCTCCCTCCCTCCCTCTTCCTTCCTCTCTGAAATCAATAAAAATATATAGTTTTTAAAAAGTCTGGACATGAATGTTTTATTCTATCTAAAACATTAAGAATTTCTAGATATTCCTGTTCTCTAGGGACCTGTCTGGACATTTATTAAACAATAATATACAAATAAATTATCCATTCTCTTCCTCTTATTAGTGATGATTGGAAATGACAATGAAAAATATGTTAAGATAACATATTTAAGTTAGATCACTTCAATTAAGATTTAGTGTTAATACTTAGATAATAGTAGCAGTTACACTCAAATTGCAGCAAGATGGATTTATGTAAAATAAGTAAAGAAATATATAACATTTTAAATGAGGTCAGACAGCAGGGGTTTACACCTTTAAAAAATTTAAGATGTGTAAATGTCCACCTACACAGAGAAGATGAGATAAATCCTCAGAGAAAGGAATGTATTTTGGAGGTTCCTTTTAGTAAAAGTCTCTATTTGTTTTTTTCATAAACCTTTATTCAGAGGTTTACCTCTCATAGTTTGGTAAAGAGTATTAATTCCCTTTTTCTATTTGATTTATCCCATACTCAATGCAAAACCTGGTCTGTCATCCATAAGTCTAGTTTTTTTGGCCATATGGGCAAAAATATCAGACAGGTTGTAAAAATCATGGCAGTAGAAACAGTCTTGACTATGTATTCTAGTGGCTTGATCATAATTATATTAAAACAAAACTTTTTTGCCCTAGCTGGTTTGGCTCAGTGGATAGAGTGTCAGCCTTTGGACTGAAGGTTCCCAGGTTTAATTCCGGTGAAGGGCACATGCCTGGGTTGCAGGCTCGATCCTCGGTAGGGGGCATGCAGGAGGCAGCTAATCAATGATTCTCTCTCATCATTGATGTTTCTATCTCTCCCTCTTCCTTCCTCTCTGAAATCAATAAAAATATATTTTTAAAAAACCAAAAAACTTTTTGTTCACCCAGAACTGGGAATCACAACTACTAGAGACTGTGACTGAGTTAACAAATGCCCCTAAAACACACATTTAAATGGCAGTGGGTATTAAAAAGGGAAATTATGACCTCATCACGTTATCCCTGATGGACAGAGTTCTTGTTTTTCCTCTGGCACCAGGTCTCTCTACTATACTGTATGGAACAGTTAACCTAAAAGGCCTAGAAGAGTGAGCAAAAACCTCTCTCAGCAATAACCTCTTGATCAAGACCTTTAATTAAATTGCTGTAGGGAACCAACTGTCCCTTTCATAGTTGCAGCCAGTTGGTTTATTGCAAGCACCGATTCTCTATGGAGAATGTTAGCAAGTTCATGCTGGGCTAATGCCCATTTTCCAAGTACAATTAACCTGTCCAGGTGTGCTTCTGATTGTTTGGCCAGTTTCCAAATTAGCTGCCTGTTCCTGGCCATTTCTGCAGAAACAGTGTTGGTTAAGTGGTAGTTGTGCCTCATCTGCTGAGGAGGTAGCTGGTTAGGCAAAGTCCTATTTTCATCAGGCTTAGATGAAGAGGCAAGGGGTTACTTCATGGAGGTGCTCAGATATATCCCTTCATCCTTGGAGAAGCTGCTAGAAGAGTTGTCTCTGTTGAAAACTTGCAAACAGGCTGCAAAAGATAGTAAATGTGTCATGAGAAAGCATCAAAATTAGCAATATGAAGTAGGTAAAAGACAAGATATAGCTTTTTAGTTAGACTCAGAAGACAGCATAAATTTCCCTGCTCTGACGTCATAAGACTAGGTCTTCTCTCTTTTTCAATCCCGGTCAAATGTTCACTGAAGGTAAATAACTGAAACCACTACAGCAAAAAACAGTTCTAAAAAAAGCTGTCAACATTTTATTGATAACTCCTTTTTTTTTTTAGATTTTCTTCTGTAAGCTTCTTTTTTTTTTTTTTAATATATTTTATTGATTTTTTACAGAGAGGAAGGGAGAGAGACAGAGAGTCAGAAACATCGATGAGAGAGAAACATCGATCAGCTGCCTCCCGCACATCTCCCACCGGGGATGTGCCCGCAACCCAGGCACATGCCCTTGACTGGAATCGAACCCGGGACCCCTCAGTCCGCAGGCCGACGCTCTATCCACTGAGCCAAACCGGCCTCGGTCTCTGTAAGCTTCTTTATTAAATATCTACCTTATTATTCTGTCATCAGAAATAGGCAAGATACTACACGGGGACCCTACTGAGAAAATATATGCATTTGAACCTGTAACCATTTCTTCTTCAAAGCCTAGATGTCCAGAGCATGACCTGGAGATAATACACAGGGTAATACTTCAGCTTGTATTATAACACTAGAAGCTGGTGCACGAAACTCATGCATGGGTAGGGTCCCTAGGCCTGGCCGGCAATCAGGGTTGATTGGGGCCTTCTGGCTGGCGGCAGGGGCCTCCCTTCCCTGGCTGCCAGCTGGGGCCTTCCTTCATTCCACGCTGCCCCCTGGTGGTCAGCGCACATCATAGTGAGTGATAGAACTAGTCTCCCGGTCAAACTCCTGTGGGGACACTTTGCATATTAGCCTTTTATATACATAGATTACTGTGTCTCAGGAACATCATGTTTGCTATGACTGAATTGTGTGTCCCCCCAAATTCATGTATTGAAGCTCTAACCTTCGGTGTGATGGTATTTGGAGATGGGGCCTTTGGGAGGTGATAAGGCTTAGATGAGGGCATAAGGGTGCGGTCATGATGGGATTAGTGCCCTTACAAGAAGGGACCAGAAAGTTAGCTCTCCCTCCATAATGTAAATATACAGCAAGAAGGTGACAATCTATAAACCAGGGATAGAATCCTCAACAGACACCTAGATTTTGGATTCCCCAGACTCCAGAACTGTGAGAAATAGATGTCTTTTCTTTTAAAACATCCACTCTATGGTATTTTGTTATTGTAGCCTGAGCTGAACAACACTTAAGATAATGTTGAATGAAGCCTGGTTGTTTCCTGGTTGCTTATTAAAAGGCAGATTGGGGGTTGGGTATTGGGAAGAAGGATTTCAAAAATTAACAACAGATCTTGCTAACAAGGTTACTGCTTTAAGAGTTTAAAGGTGTTGGGGAGGCAGGCACTAAGAGTGCTGGTTTTGTCAGAATCTGTCTCATCAGTGAAATCTGAGAACTGCAGCTGTGAGCTGAATAGGATCCTCTTGCACTTTGGGCTCTATTTCTCTGAACCTCAAATAAAAAGCTGTTATTCTGAACAAGTGGATGTATGCAGCTTGTTTTAAATCTCCAGACTACACCCATACCATAGGCTAATGTGAAATCACCATAAAACACCAATCGCATCCCAGAAACAAGCTCTAATAGAGACTCCTTGACTATGCAGTACGTGAGATACAAGGCTCAGAAAACTTTAGAGATTACTGTCTGGATGTTTTTTTGTCCCTATCAAACTGACAGAGGGCATAAGGTGTTAAATCCCTATCAGTCATCTCATTAAAATGGAGTTCAGCTCAGAATTTCAGGGTGACCTCCCAAAACATATACATTTGCATGCATTTGCCTGAGATCAGGTATGTAGGGTATATAGATTCCCTAGGTGGCCCTGATATTTCCAATACCTGAAAATGAGGTCTGTTTCAAGGGGTCCTCGAAGTTCTCAGTCTTGGGAGCCATGCTGCTGACATCTGGATAACTCGTCTATGCTTGCTGGGCTTCTCAGTTTGACCCTTCTGAGCCATGTGCTGTCTTATGCTGAGATCCTGTGGGTCCTCCTGGACTGTGGTTTCTTTTCCATTGAAGGCATCCAGATCTGGTGGGTTCTGGTTCTAGCACCTGATCTGAACAGCATTATCCCTCACATTTTCAGGATCCAAAGAGAGGTATGTGGAGAGAAAGTGATTTATAGTCTGAAAAAGGCCGTATGTGGGGAATCTACCACTAACAGCGTGGGCACCAAGCTGTATTGAGAATTTTCATTTTGGCCCACCCTGGTATACAGGGTGCTTTTGCCTCATTTACTTTGCCTCAGTGTGTGTCATCACGACACTGGATTGTTCAGGTGGTGCTCAATATACTAAGCCTCCCCAAGGATGAAAAGGATGGCATCTACAACTCTCTAGGGTTAGACACACTGGGGACAGGAAGGAAAATGAACAATGACGGGGAAAATGAGACAGGAAAGGTACCTGACTTTTGGTAGGAGGCCTAATGCCTCCTGGAAGGTCTCTGGTGGACTCCTTGCATTTCCTGGAGCCAACTGCCTCTGCTGACCCTGAATACAGGTGTTTGGCTGGATGGCAGGCAATTAGACCACACACAAATGTCAGGTGGCTCTCTAGGAAAGAAAGAAAGTGCTGCCCCATGTTTTCCCATGAACAGCTATCAAATTAGGCTACAAAAGGATGTATAGTTTGGAAGACTTCAATCAGCAGTAGGGGATCTATAACTTCAGGGATATCATGAGCTGAGAACTCAAAGGGGACAAATTCCTCCAGAAAAAAATGGGTGGTATACGAAGCAGCACTCAATTTTGGAGAAAGGCTAACCATCCCATCTATGTAGTTAAAAGAGATAAACTAAGTGTACTGCCACCATAACTACATCGTCAAGTGAACAGAAGTTGGGGACAGGGAACAGGGATAGAGAACACAGAACTGTTGATATGATTCCAGTCTCTACTTTGAATTCAGGCAAGAAAGCTATGTCAGACCAACTGGCATGGTTCAGTGGTTGAGAGTCTACCTATGAACCAGGAGGAGGTCATAGTTCCATTCCCAGTCACGGCACATGCCCAGGTTGTAGGCTCGATCCCCAGTAGGGGGTGTGTAGAGGCAGCTGATTCACGATTCTCTCTCATCATTGATTTTCTCTCTCTCTCTCCCTCTCCCTTCCTCTCTGAAATCAATAAAAATATATTTAAAAAAGAAAAAAAAGAAAGCTATGTTAGAAAATTCCACACCTATGAAATAAGCTAAAATCTTTAACACTTCTTAAGGAAGGTAGCCTTCCCCATTGTGTAATTACTCCTTCTATCTGAGAATAAGTTGGGGCCCTAAATTAAAGGCCTTACAAATATTACAGAGAACCCGGTTTTGCGGGTTAGTTTTTGTTCTATCTTCTCAGAGAAGATTCCTCAGTGTGGTACTATAGAACCAGAGCTATGGTAGTTGCCAGGAGACCTCTCACAGCTTTGCAGTGGAAATGGGGATTTCGTCTCCATCTGCTTCTCAGAACTGGTATTTTTTAGTGAGTGGGTGGAGTTACTGTCCAACCAATTAGGGACCTAGACAACATGATTTTAACTATGTCTTTCAGTTGTATGAGTTACCATTTAAGCCAGATTTGTCTGGGAAGCCTTAGAACAGCGGTTCTCAACGTATGGCAGTCGAATGACCCTTTCACAGGGGTCGCCTAAGACCATCCTGCATATCAGATATTTACATTATGATTCATAACAGTAGCAACATTACAGTTATGAAGTAGCAAAGAAAATAAATTTTATGGTTGGGTCACAACATGAGGAACTGTATTTAAAGGGCCAGAAGGTTGAGAACCACTGCCTTAGAAGTTTAGGATGCCTTTCAAAGATAGCAGAGGATCTGGAAACGAGGGTCAAGTTGGGAGCACCAGGTATTTGTGCATAGTCACACTTCCTAGTCCAGCCCATAGCACTTCTTCTATGTCAAGCCCATCTGTATGGCCCATCTGAAGTAGTTTGGTGACTTGACAGGTGAGGAAAAGAACTTAGAATATAATACTGCTCTAATCTTTTAGTATATAATAACTAAGGTGATCTGCCAGTGAAGCAGCTCAGGAGATAGGACATTTGTGGCTAAGCTTTTTCAACTGCAGTCCCTTGCTCCTCTTGCCTACCCACAATTTGAGGTTTGGACATTCACTGAATCTGTACCATACTCAGGCTGCATGGTCAACTGTATGTTGTGTAATAGTCATAGAAAGAGCTTGGTCACTTGATAGAGTCCACAGATGCAGGTGAAAATCCTGGTTAGAAGCTGTCACTAGTAAAGATTCTGGTTACTAGCTGTGACTTTGAGCAAGTGACTTTTTAGACTTCAATTTCCTTATCTGAAAATTGGGGATAATATGATAAGCCTTTGAAATGTAATATGAAGACTACTTAAGAGGAAATAACATTTGTAAAACATCTAGGAAACCATCTGATATACAGGCAACCTATACTCTTGATATTCATATTACTTTTAAAGTAATATTACTTAGACATGAAAAAGTTTATAGTACTTCCCTAACGAAGTTTATTTTTAAAACATACATAGTTTTAATTAGCCTTTGTGGAAATTTACTTCATTCAACCCAAATAAAAGTAGAAATAAATAATTCTTTGTAGAAAATACTTGTATCTCACCTTAGTTGCTTGATTGATGATTTGGAACCTGGTGCTGTCTTTGCCAGTTGTGACTGAGTCTAGTAATGCCTGATAGGTGGACTTCTTGGAGAGCTGCTGTTTCTGACGCCTACAGATGTGAAGTGTACAGATGCCTGAGAATTATTTGTGACTGTCAACGTTCAATAGACTATATTACCAGGGACAAGTCATTAAAATTTACTATGATAGTAAGTGAATTAGGCACAGACAGTAATAGTATTCCAATAAAGTACTAACAGGAGTACTTTGTTATTAGAGTGCTAATAAAATTAGTAGTAACAAGAAAAATACTAATAAAAGTGTTTATGACATAACACTACTAAAAGATGGTCCTTTGTCCCCTTTACTGAGAAGGTAGGGCAGTTTTCATAGATGACTTTTATTAGCTTATTAATTTCACTCCCTCTTTCCATGAAATGTATACTTTAATAGAAACTCAATAATTTCTCATAGAAATCAACATAATCTAGTGGCTTAACAAAGTAATCAGGAGTTCACTATACAGTTCCCTCTAAGGTACTTGTTCAAATTAAAATGATAGAATTTTCTTCCTCAAGAGTAGTGTGAATAAATTAGAAAGTTGTAATATATGATACAATTTTTGGTGATTTCAATTTCAGGATCACACAAGGCTCTGGGGAAACAGGCAATATTATATAGTGATGGTGGAAGTACAAAATGATACAGTCCTATGGAGGGATATCTGGTAATAACTAAAATTTCAAATACATTTACTCTTTGGCCCAGTAATCCCACTCCAGGAAATTTATCTTATAAATACGCTTGCATGTATAGGAAATGACATATGCATAGATTTTCATTGTGGCAGAGCTAGTATATCAAAACAGCCCCAAAGTCTACCAATACGAGAAAAACTGAATAAATTATAGTACATTTACCCAAATGGAATACTATATAGCTGTAAAAAGAGAGGACAATCCCCATATACTCATGCAAAGCTTTTCAGAATAAACTATGAAGCAGGAAAAAAGAGGTAGATACACAATAGTAGATAGAAAACTACTTGGTATAAGAAGGATGGTGATATAAGAAGATATGCAGTCACAAAAATTACTGGAAGGATAAATAAGAAATTAATCTGGTTATAAGGACAAGATGTTGAATTGGGTGTAAGGGAACAGGAATGAACATAATTTTTCAATATATATATTTTTATATTATTTGATTTTTGAACCATGTAAATGTATTATCTATTAAAAGACAACGTTTTAACATCATTTAAAAACGCTTTGACTTTTAAAATAACCTATTTACTGAAAATTTAAATACTACAGTAGTCATCTGTATTACTTTCAATAATAAAGATAAAAATACTACAGCAGTAGGTATATAAAGTTAAAGGCAAATGTCTGGGATAAATTCCTTAATCACCAAATTTCCTAATTAGTTCTTTCCTTATAAAGCCTATCAGTTCTCAAAATTTATTAAATATCAGTTTTGAAATAATGTCAGAAATATTTCAATCTAAGGAATTAATTTCCTCTCCTTACCTGTAGAAAGCAATCTTGCTGCAGTTTTTGAAAATGTTTTTATCCACAGCTTCATCTTCAACACTAAATAAATAGATATTTTTAAGACAGTTATTTTACATAGGGTTTGAGAATCCATTATTTGTACCTCTCTAACTATAGTATGATCATGAGAAGTAAACCTCTGCAATGCAAAATTGTGTCATGGCCATCACATAACACAATAACCTGTGCTATAGACAGGATCCTTTTAGACATCATCCGTAGTAAAGAACAAAACATGACGTTCGGGATTACTCTGAAATTAGTAGAAAAAGAGCACTGTCACTTATGAGGAAGGGTTCTTTTAAAATAATGAGTGAAAAATGGTCATGGAAGGAGGCTTGGCTTGGGGTTGTGAACACACAAGACAATATACAGTTGATGTATTATATAACTGTACCCCTGAAACCTATATAATTTAACAGATATCACCCCAATAAATTAAAGTTATAAAATAATTAGTGAAGGCTATGAATACAACAATAAAATCTGAAGGAGCAAAAACAAACAAAAAAACCCAAATCAAACAAAAACCAATCCATCCATTTACTTATTCAACAAAATATTTTCAAATATTCTTACTGAATGCTGGGTTCTGAGGAAGATACTAAAGACTGTCCATGATTTCTGTGAGAGCCTAACCAACAATCACAAATCAACCTGACAAATGCTACAATAGAGTTATGTGCAAGGTGCTAGAGTAAGAAGGGAAACAGGTGTAGAAGAAAAATCTTCAGCTTTTTAAGATGATGATGACAATCTAGGTGTCAGTGTTTTTTAAGACCAACTTTCTAGAAAAGCTGGTTCTGGACTAGAACATGAACAAAATGTATATATATTGCTAATTGAGATTATGTATTTAACATATGCCCATTAACAACTACAAGGTATAAAGGGGGGAAAACATCATGCAGAGATGATCAAAGCTGTGATTGAACACCAATTTCAAAATATGAAAACAAGTCCAGACAGACATACTTGGCCATACAAAAAAATGATTTATCATGGAAGTAATCAAATCCCTCAGTCTTCGTTACTGTTTCTTTTAATTAAGTGTGCAAAGATTAAGAAATTGGCAGCCTCCTGTTTCCAGCTTTTTTTTTTTTTAATATATTTTATTGATTTTTTACAGAGAGGAAGGGAGAGAGATAGAGTTAGAAACATCGATGAGAGAGAAACATCAATCAGCTGCCTCCTGCACATCTCCCACTGGGGATATGCCCGCAACCAAGGTACATGCTCTTGACCGGAATCGAACCTGGGACCTTTCAGTCCGCAGGCCGACGCTCCATCCACTGAGCCAAACCGGTTTCGGCAGTTCCCAGCTTTAAAGAATGACATGGGAAGAAGTGGGTACAGCCGAACTTTGTAAGCAACATGCTTGAAATTCATGGGTTAGAATTCTGATCACAACTCTTCCAGGTTTGTTAACCATCCTGAAAATATTTTATGAAGGTCTAGCTATTAATATCAACTAATCCCCGGGGAAGTGAGAAAAAACCGACAAAGAGTAAATGCACACATACAAAGCATGCAGATAAGAAGTGCAATCAAACAATAAAAACGTCAAAGCCAGAACGTTGCTTGCAGGCCTCCCAGGGCCATGGAGTCAGTCCCTGCAGGACCGCTGAGTCTTTACCTGATTTCCTCTTTTTCGGAAACTTCCATGGTTCCCAAGTCACTTCACAGGCTCCCGGCTCTCGGTCCGAGTCCCTGGCGACCTTTTCGGAACGAGGACAGCCCTCGTTCTAAACCATCACCAGCACTTCCCCGTCGTCAAGTGTCTGGGAAGGGGAGTCCCCTCCAAATACGTAAGGAGTGACAACCCGACTCTTCTTCCTGGAATTCCCAGGCCCCGCCAAGCGTTTCTCTAGGGACTTATTTTATTGGGCAAATTTTTTCTTGGTAATGAGTGGCCGATGAGAAACTGCTGTCGTCAGAAACCGAAACTGCCTTTGCAGCAGAGGGGGCGTGTACGCCGACTTCTAGCGGATGAAAATGTTCAGAGCATGAGCCAGGAAGGACCTAGATGGCCGGCCCTGCCTGACTGCGGCGAGGCTTCTGCAGGTCTAGCTCAGCGCCGGTCGCGCCATTTACAGAAAACCGACCCACTCCCTCCCCGCCTTACATTCTGAGTGGGAAGTGCCGGCCAGGTCTTTGCTGGGGCTTTATGTTCTCCACCCAGACCCTGCACTTAGCGTCACACTTTTCAGGGCTAGAAGGGGCTTTTAAAAAGAGGTTATACATATATTATACTCTCCAGTTTAGGAATCGCTTATGCTGCACCACCGCCAAATTCCAGTCATTAAAACTCCAGACACCGATAACGCACTGCTAGACCCTAACCAGGCAGCCAGATGACGGCGGCTTCCCGGACTTCTGGCCCCGAAGTCCTTTGACTTAGACGGGATAAGGGGCAGGAGCGAATAGGAGGAGGAGAGCCAAACACTCATGGGGTGTTGGCCTCGTCCCCAAACCTGTGCAGGGCTGGGCGAGAGCAGAGCCGCCTGAGGGGGGCGGCTTTTGGAGACCATCCGAACTCACCAAGGTGACCAGGGAGGGGGAAATGACAGAACGACGCCTGCGCAGTTCCCCCAAAGCCTCGCACCGAGCGGTGACGACTCAGGAGGGAGGGGCCGCTGCGTCGCCAAATTAACGAACCTCGCGAGGGCGCGAGGACCCGGATGATCCGGCCCGCCCCCTCCCCCCTCCCCAAGCAGAGCCGGAAGAGGGCGGGACGAGCCGGAAGGAGGTGAAATGCTGTCGGTAGACACTCCAAGGCTGTGAAGATGGCGGCGGCTGCGTGGCTTCAGGTGCTGCCTGTCATTCTTCTTCTGGGGGCTCCACCGTCCCCATGGGCGTTTTGGGGCGCAGGGCCGGTACCCGTCGCTGCTGCCGACCGGTCCAAGTGGCACATTCCAGTACCGTCGGTGAGTGTTCCGAAGCCAAGGAGCCCCGAGGAGCGAGGGGTGGGGCTACGGCGGCCCAAGGGGTCCATGAAGGCTCTGCGAAAGTCCGCTTCCAAAGGGGTGGGATCGCCGGGAGTGTCCTTGCGGTTGCTTCGCTGGGACCCACCTCCCAGGAGCGGAAAGCCGCGAGTTTCTGTGGGTGGATGAGCGGGAGTGTCGGGGCCACGCCGGGAGCGGGGAGCGGTTTCGTAGCCAAGTCAGAGAACTTTGGGTGCCTGGCCTGAGACAGGTACCCGCGATGTACAGGGCTGGAGTGGTTTCTCTTCCAGGTGAAGTTTTCCAGAATTCAGGGACCCCGGGTTGGGGAAGAGGGAAAGGTAAACAGGCGTCTTTCTTTCCTCCCCTCTGCACGTTTTTGTTGCTGGATAACTCTACGCACGAAGTTGGATGATTTCGTTGGAACCTTAGAATGATTATTCTAAGTGTTGCCGTGTGATTAGGAACCCTAGGCATTAGCAAAATGTATTCTAATCCTAGAACGGCTAAAGTGGAAGACATAGCATTCTAAAATTTGATATGGTAAGGCTGGTCTTGCTTGTGGACCATTAGCTCGGTAGGTTTACCCTTTCTGTCTGTCCCCTTCCCCCTTTTTAAGCTCCATTGGCATGAGAGCCATCGTCCTGTGAGCAGGTAGCAATCAGATGCAGGCAGGACATGCGGAATAGTGTGAGCACTGGCTGAAACCACCGCGGCCTTTTTGTTGCATTCTGCTCCGCTCACGGGTTGAAATGCCCCAAACCTACTTGAACTTTTATGTGGCAAGCACGATAGCTTTTGTTCATTTGGTGGAGAACTTTAGGTTCTCAATTTTAGGTGTTTACTTGTTACTAAAATGAGTTACATCTGGCTATCTTCTCATAGCATAGTTTGTGTTTTTTTTTTTAAATGATTGGTTATTTTGGCCAGTGATGAGTGGGTAAAGGGGATGAGCTGAAGACGGAGTACCTCCTGTGACGATTTAGTTTGGGATTTCTTGCAGCCTTCCTTCTAGAGTACCTGCCTCATAGCCTGAGGAGCTGGGCAGCGGGGAGGGTCGTGTCTGTACCAAATTTCAAAATCCTGCAGTTTGGATATCGTGGGATTTTATTATAAGGGAGGCTATAGTTGCCTTTTTTTTTGTTTGATAAGAAAATGAGCTTGAACATTTGATAAATTTAGGTTTTTATACTATTTAGTTTCTGCCTTGGGAATTGTTCTCATGCTAATTACCTTTCTCCTTTATCTTTGCAGGGAAAAAATTATTTTAGTTTTGGAAAGATCCTCTTCAAAAATACCACTATCTTCCTGAAATGTGAGTTTTTGCATTTCATGAAGTTTTTGTTTGAGTTTTTGAGTGATCTTTAAACTTTTAAATTACCTATTTTCTACCTCTGTTGGCTTATTCTCAACATAAGTTCTGAAATTTCATAGTCCACTGTCTAGGCTTTAACATATGTGGTATAACTAAGGTCCTTTCACTGAATAATCTTCAGAATATTTACTTGTGTGAACTTCCTTTTCTCGTTTTCTTGGTGTTTCCTGTATACAGTTGGCCCTTGAAAAATGAGGGGGTCAAGGGCTCCGATTCCCCACACAGTAAAAAATCCATGTATAACTTTTGACTCCCCCAAAACTTAAGTTGTTCTTCTGTATCTGTGGGGGATAGATTGGTTCCAGGACCCCCACAGATACTAAAATCAAAGGATTCTCAAGTCTCCTATATAAAATGGCATAAATCAGCCCTCTGCATCCCTGGGCTCCTAACTGCTGATGAAAGCAATACGGGTATTTATTGGGGGGGAAAAAGGCATGTATAAGTGGACCCATGCAGTTCAGACCATGTTGTTCAAGGGTCAGCTGTATAGTTAGACAAATTGGGTTTGTTGATTGCCTGCATGGTGTTTTAATCTGTTCTGAGTTATAGAGACAATACCGATTTTGCTTTTGTGTGCCTGATGGATGTTTACTGAACATATGACGTAGGTTTGTCAGATCACTGGCTGTGAAAGAATATGCATAGTGTATCTTTTGTTTGCAAAAGGAGTATTTTACCACTTGGATCTTTGCAAGAGGAAACTCAAAGATATTCTTTATTAGGAAATAGGGGTTATGTAGAACAAAACCAGTCTGTCCAGTTTAAAATCCACTGAATCCAAAATATCCCATTGTGCATTAAAGAAAAGCTTCCTTTTATTTCTGAAACTGGCTTTATTTCAGAGAACATAGGCAGCTCTATTTCAAGATCAAGGATAAAAATCTAAGTCATCCACGTATATTTCTGTGCATAGCTCTCTCCATGAAGTGCAAACTTGGTTTGATGATTTTATCCTTTTAATAATTTAGTAAGTAGTTATTAAAAACTTACTATGTGCCAGGCACTGTTTGAGACAGCAGGGAAGTGATAGAAAAGGATCTTTCTCTAGTTGAGTTTACTGGGGTTGAAGGAGGACTATATAATCACCTGATAAATGACTTAAATTTGATTTAAATCAAATCTACTCTGACACACTGTTCTTTCTTACGAGGTTGGTTTACTAGATTAGAGTAGCTTTTAGGGGTAGCAGTGTTTTATGTTTTGTCTGACAGGCTGTGTTGCAGTTTGGCTAGTGACTGAGGCTGTGAAAGAATTCGCAATTAGAAGAAGAGATGCAGAGAGGAAAATTTTTTTACTTCAAAGGAGCAAAGGGCCAAGTATTGCTAGTCAGTACAAGGCTGGGAACCAAAGGTTGCTTGCTCTTTTAAGCAGTGGCTATTGCAAAGAAGGGAGGGAGGCTTCTGTTGAAGTTGAGCAGATACCAGGGCGGGCTGTCTTGAAAAGTTACTTTGCTTTCCAGGAGACAGTCCCACAGATGTCCTAAGGAGGTGTCTTATCAGTATTTTTCCCATGCCTGTAAAACATGCTTAGAACAAAAGTCAAGAGTTCAAAAGGCTTGTTTGAAGGGGAGTAGGGAAAGGAACTTTTCTACTAACTAGAGACTACTTTGGTATGAATTATTCCTGTGTTGATAAAATAGCAGGGAGGAGGAGGGGGATGCAAGGATGTAGCCTTGGGAGTAGCTTATCTTGTCCTGTAGTTTGAACAGAAGGGCTGTTTGAATCAGAGGAGCCAATAATCTTGTGGTTTAATTACCAGGTGCTTCTCAAATTGTGGAAGGCCAGAGCAAAGAAAAGGAAAGGACTTTTTCTGTCTTTACAGCCTGTATGCTATTCTTTACTTTTATTATGTACAGTCTTTTCTCACCTGTTTTTTTATCTAGTGGTGTTTTGCCAAGTTACACAAGCTACATATTTTGAAGCTACATACATTTCATTGTTTTTGGAGGATTTGCAGCTCCTTAAAATTTACATTACCTTTCACTTCTGTGCTTTCTCATATTTACCATGTCTCTGATCTTATACTTTTGTGGGTGTGTTATATAACTTTCCATGACACTGGCAGGACCATTTTCATGATCTCTTAAAGCCATCCCATCAAAGTTCTAACATAAATAGTAGTATTTTTACAGCAAAGTTTTCTTGCAAATCTCCTCTTTAGGGACACGTCTCTTTTTTTAAACTTTATTCTTTATTGATTTAATTTATTTTATTGATGTCAGAGAGAGGAAGGGAGAGGGAGAGAGACAGAAGCATCAGTGATGACAGAGAATCATAGATCAGCTGCCTCCTGCATGCCCCCTACTGGGTATAGAGCCCACAACCAGGCGGGTACCCTGTCCTGGTTCATGGTCGATGCTCACCCACTGAGCCACACCAATTGGGTTAGGGGTACTTCTTACCGGCTTTTATTTAATTAATCCTGCCTCTGTATGGTTCTTCTGAGTAGTTCATAGCAAGCTAGCAATATCCTTTTACGTTCCCATAAATTCTGTTCAGCACATCAGATTTTAATTGAACCTTGTAAAAGTGTGTCATTTAAACATTAATTTGAAAAACCAATTTAAAACAAAAAAAGTAAAAGATTATAACTTTAGGTATGCTGCTTTTGTAAGAACCAAAATAGGTTCCTAGGTGCAGTCATGTTTATTTGTCATGTTTGCATAAAGTTGGAATCTCTAGTATATTTTCCTTTCTATAGCAAGAAGCAAAGTAAAAGGTAATGTTGACCCTCCTCCTTCCCCCCCCAGACAGGGAATCACTTCCAAATCTTCCAATGCCTTGGTCCACTAGAATATTGTGTTCCAGACTAAGTTAATGAGGCGTTTATGATTTCGTAAGGTTCCTTGAGGTTTCTCTTAAGGTGGGTTTTGAAAAGAATAATACTTTTGTATTTTTGCTTTTGCTATTTTCTGCCTTCCCCCGCCAGGTTTGCTTTTTATTCATAGTTCTTCCTACCCAATCTTCGTATCTTTCAAGGTTTAAACCATGAATTTTCTCCTTGGTGGAACTATTTTGAATATTGCCTTGTGATATCTCTAATGTTGTTATTCCTTCTCTCTCCAACTAGAATGGAGTCTTTTTAAGGGTTTTCCTAATTTTTCCCTCCTATTTCCATCTTTGGCCTATCACAGTGCCATGTAGCATTGTATTTAAGTGCTCTGCTCAATAAATATTTGAATGATAATAGAAGACTGGTTTTAACTTAGAACTGCTTTATTGTTTCCAGATTTTTCCCTACAGAAATCCAGGTTTTAAAGCAGTGGTTCTCAACCTTCTGGCCCTTTAAATACAGTTCCTCATGTTGTGACCTAACCATAAAATTATTTTTGTTGCTATTTCATAACTGTAATGTTGCTACTGTTATGAATCGTAATGTAAATATCTGATATGCAGGATGGTTTTAGGCGACCCCTGTGAAAGGGTTGTTCGACCACCAAAGGGGTCGCGACCCACAGGTTGAGAAACATTGTTTTAAAGCATAAAAATAGATACAGTTTCAAAGTTTAAAAAATGCTTAACTGCTTTTTCTTTTTGGGGTAACTTAATTTCATATGAAGAATATCCTGTTGTTTTTGCATATATTACTTCATTACCTTCTGCTCAGAGAAGAGATGGCCTATGAACATCTCATTTTAGCAGAAAATAAATGGGGTGGTGGGGTTTATCTTTTATTCACAAAGATTTTTCTTTTATAGTTGATGGAGAACCTTGTGATGTATCTTTGAATATAACCTGGTATCTGAAAAGTGCTGATTGTTACAATGAAATCTACAACTTCAAGGTAAGGAACATAAAATTACAGACTTTTCTTGGACTTTAGAGATGATCAGGCCCTAATCCAAGAGAGGAAGGAGTGTCATGAAGCCATGGAGGAGAAAAACAAACTAGAGTCCATGCTTCCCAAGTTGCAGACGTAGTTAATTGCCAGCAGTTCTCAAACTTTCTAGTCTCAGAATTCTGTAACAATTTAAATATTGTGTAGACTCCAAAACGCCTTTGTTCATATTGTATTTATATCAAAAATTAAAACTATGCTCACTTCGGCAGCATATATACTAAAATTAAAACGGTGTAGTGAAGATAGCATGGCCCCTGTGGAAGGATGACATGCAAATTGGTGAAGTGTTCCATATTTAAAAAAAAAAAAAAAAAAAAACTGAGAAAATAGAGAAATATTTATTCATAATAATAAATATTTATTCAGCAATAATAAACTCACTGCATGTTAATATAAAAAAGTTTTAATAAAAAACTAAAAAAAAACACACCAGAAGAGTGGTATTATTTTGTATATTTGCAAATCTCTTTATTTAATGTCTGGGATAGTAGAAGACAGCTGGAATCTTGTATCCTTTATTCAGTCTGTTTCAATGTTATTTTGGTAGAAGTCTGTGCACAAACTGTAGGCTCACACAGATATGTAGTTGGAAAAGCGGAATAATATTTTTTAAATGTTTTCAGTTAATTGTGGATATTGTTCTTTGATTCAATACTCAAATGTAGCAAGTGGAATTTCATAAAGGTTAGTGGTAATGTGGAATCTGAAACCATGTCAGTGAACTTTTTTTTTTTTTACTCTGTTATAGTAAATTAACTTGGTGTGTTTTTACTTTGAATGGACTTTTACTCCACCATCTTTGATTTTGTAACATCATTCATTGGTCATTTAGAAAATACTGGTTGGTAAAATTATATAAACTTTCCAAATATTTACTCATTTTACAATTAACTTGAAATTATTTTTATAAGTATCACCCTTCAGTTTCATCAGAACCTCCTTAAGTATTAGAAGTTGTTAAGCTTATGGTGAGGCAAATAGCAGGTTTCCCAAAATTTCAGTTTTTACTTGAAAATTTAAATTTTATCATTGGCAATGAATACTGTCAGTTTTCTTCCTTGAAGTGACAGCTTCCCTTTGCCCATTTTCAAGAGAATATCTTCCAACTAACCAAGTCTGAATAACTAGTTTGTCAGTCATTGTTTCAAGTAAATGAAAGAAGTAGACAGTTTAGCTTGTAAGTTAAAACAATTGCAAAGTGCTTTATCTTGACATAATCATTTATAGTATTTTGCACATTCCCTATTTTGTCTCATAGAATATTAAAAAGGCATTGTACTCAGAGGTTCAGATTTAAGCCCTGGTTGGGTAACTCAGTTGGTTAGAACATTGTCTCAGTAAACCAAGGTTGTGGATCAATCCCTGGTCAGAGCACATATAAGAATCAAAGAATGAATGCATGGATGGGTGGAATAACAAATCGATGTTTCCCCTCTCTCTCTCTCTCTTTCTCTCTCTCCTCCTCCTTCTCTCTCTCCCAATTCCTCTCTCTCTCAAGTCAATAAATAATTTTTTTTAAAGTTCAGATTTAATAAATTTAATAATGATTACTGCTTCATCAAGGACATTCTTACATAAAACTAGCTTTTTTAAAAAAAACTGCAACTTTGCCCTGGCTGTTTTGGCTCAGTGGATAGGGCGTGGGCCTGTGGACTGAAGGGTCCCGGGTTAGATTCCGATCATGGGCACGTGGCCAGGTTGCGGACTCGATCCCCAGTGTGGGGCGTGCAGGAGGCAGTCAATCAATGATTCTCTCTCATCGTTGATGTTTCAATCTCTCCCTCGCCCTTCCTCTCTGAAATCAATAAAATATATAAAAAATAAAAATTAAAAAATGCAAGTTTGTGACTATGAAGAGTACAATGAGTACTAGTACAGGTAGGTGCCATTGCCTTGGTTCCTGATAAGGGGCAGCAGTTTTATTCATCATTACTTTTGCACTATTAGCAGAAGGCAAATAACATGATAATGATGGCAAGCAAGTAACATATGATGATGAGAAAGAAGAGGAGGAGGAGGAAGGAGGGGAGGGAATAGTTTTGACCTCATAGACCTCATAAACGAAAGGAGCCTTGGACCATACTTTCAGAATTACCATTGTACACTGAACTTGAGCATTGAAGATTTATGGCTCCAGATTGAATTTTTTAGGCCTTTTTCATTCTTTCTTTATTTTATTTTATTACATTTCTCCTACTATTCTTGAGGTTTCTTTTCAAAGATAATCTCACTGGTCTTAAAAATATCTACCATTCAGTCAGTTTTTCAAACCATAAACATTTTAAATCTCTGCCTAATATTAGGGTTTAAATTATCTTTTTGTGGTGTTAATTGTTTTTTGCATTTGTTATACAACATTGGATAGGATTAATAGGAGGAGGACTAAAGCACTGAAGAATTTAGAGAGATGATAATATCAGAATATAATTTGAGCCCTAACCAGTTTGGTTCAGTGGATAGAGCGCCGGCCTGCAGACTGAAGGTCCCCAGGTTCGATTCCGGCCAAGGGCATGTACCTTGGTTGCGGGCACATCCCCAATAGGGGGTGTGCAGGAGGCAGCTGATCGATGTTTCTCTCTCATCGATGTTTCTAACTCTCTATCCTTCTCTCCTCCTCTCTGTAAAAAATCGATAATAATAAAAAATATATAATTTGAAATATTGTTCGATGATCTTTTTCTCCTAATCACTAATGCATTTACAGTTAAAAACTTCATATATTTGAAACTTCTGATAAAATTGGTCAAGAGCTTAGCAGACCCAGTCTTCATAGGTAGTATAAGTTAAGAATGTAAAAATTATTTTGGGTTGTCACGGGACAAAATTATGGAAATGACAAGCAGATAGAGATGTGATATTGGACCTTAGGAAAAAGAGGGCAAGGTTAGGCATATAGATATCAGAAAAATACACAGAACTGATTAGTGAAGCCAGAAAAATAGAGTTTTTTCAGAGTATCAGCAGTGGACTATTAATGGCTACAACAATTTTGTGCTCTATCTTAGCTTATGAGCACAAGTATATCTTTTCATTGGTGGTATTAATTTAGTCAAGTAACTCTTGTAAACATATACATGTATTTTTGAGGTGATGAATGTTAACCAAATTTATTGTGACATTTATTTATATATATATTTATATTTTTATATGTATATACACACACACACACACACACACACCAGTATACACATACATGCGCGCGTGTGCGGGGGGAAAGGATTCACAGCTATCAAAGTTGAAGAAACCCATGTACTTATTTTACCTCACATCCCTCTGTTATCTCCATATTTGTTAGCTGTATTATTTTTATGGTACCCTCCTCCCCTTTCCTCCCCCTTTCCATTCTGTTTACCTTTTCTTTTTTTCACCTTATTGGCCTGGCTAGAATCTCCAATGTGGTTTTGAGTAATAGTAGTAAGAGTGGATATCCTTGTCTTGTTCCTGATATTAAGGAAGAAGCAGTCAGTCTTTTACTGTTACGTATGATGTTAGCTATAGCTTTTTGGTAGATGGCCTTTATCAAGTTGATGAAGTTCCATTTTATTCCTAGTTTGCTAAGAGTTTTAATCATGAATGGATGTTGACTTTTGACAAGTGATTTTTCTGCATTTATTGAGATTGTAAAAATCATATAAGTATATTTTCTTGTAACAAAACCCTCTGCAGTGGTTCTCAACCTTTCTAATGCCGCGATCCTTTATACAGTTCCTCATGTTGTGGTGACCCCCAACCGTAAAGTTATTTTTGTTGCTACTTCATAACTGTAATTTTGCTACTGTTATGAATCGTAATGTAAATATCTGATATGCTATATGTGTTTTCCAATGGTGGCGACCCACATGTTGAGAACCGCTGCCTAGAGTCTGTTTCCCAGTTTTACTAGAATTTTTAGAGGAACTACTCTTTCTTTAGAGTCTAACACTATTAGAGTCTAGGATACTATTATATAGAGTCTTTATTTGCTGTTAATTTAGGTGCTGTTAATTTTTAAAATAATAACCCCCAAACTATATTTGTATAATAGGTGATCTATATGTTTTAAATATCTTACTTGTGAAAGTAAGTTAAATACTTTGTATTTTTTTATTTTTCCAGACAGGAGAAATGGAGAAATATTTGGAAGACCTTAGGGAAAAAAAGGGCTTGTCTGGGAAATATCAAACATCATCAAAATTGTTCCAGAACTGTAGTGAACTCTTTAAGGCACAGGTAATGTTTGGTAGTAGTTGGAGGGAAATAGAAAAGATGAAAAAATGTAATGCCGGTATTTTTGGTGATATCTATTTCCTGCTCCTCAGTTCGATCTTCTGACAGAAATAAGTTAGAAGCATGTTTTGATTGGTGCATAGCCAGTCACTTAAATAATTTCTTATCATAAAAAAGGATGTACTTTATTTGTGTGTAAAAAGCAAACCCCAATTTTTTTTTTATATTGGTAAAGATACATAACATAAAATTTGCCATTGTAATAATTTTAAGTGCACCATTCACATTGTTTCGCAATTATAACCACTAGTCATATTCAGAACTTTTTAGTCTTCCTGAATGACACTTTATAACCATTAAACAATAACACCTACACACATGTTCCTGGTAACTATTCTACTCCCTGTATCCGTGAATTTGACTACTCTAGATACCTTACAGAAGTAGAATTATAACAATATTTGTTTGGCTCCTTGCACTTAACGAAGTGTTTTCAAGGTTTATCCATATAGAATGTATCAGAATTTCTTTCCTTTTTAAGGCTGAATAATGTTTCCTTGTACATATATAACACATCTTGTTTATCCATTGATGGACATTTGAAATCCACAATTTTTAATTATTTTGTCATCTCAGCTAATTGGTATATCCCCAGAAAAGTCAGCATTTTTCGATTTTACTGCTACAGACCTGAAGTGAAAGGGTTGAATTTTACAGATAAAAGTGGGATTTATATTATAAAATTATCTTCTCTTAGAAATAGGATTAGACACAAATTTTTAAACAAAAATATATCTTTTAATCAAAAATTATATATCTTATAGGTGTTAAAAATAGTTACTATAACTATAGCCTTTGCTTTGTGTTTACTGAATTTAAATATTGCTTCAGAATACTTAGCGAATTTCCTTGAAGAGGCAAGGAAGTTCCTGGAGAGCTAGGTTTTCTGTCTAGTTACTAGAAGTAGATTATTGATAAGGCTTTAATGAATAATTAGTAATAAGCAAATGAAGTAATTGATAATGGAACTGTAAAGATTGAGTTCTTATTATAACTTGGATTTTATGGACTTGGAGGAAAAAGAACATATCTTGTAGTGGTGGAAGAATGGTAGAAAAAGAAAACTAGGAACAATGTGATATTGAGTAGGGGGTTTTCTGTTTGTTCTCCAAATTTATCCCCCCATCTCCCCCAGGCTAGGAGAATCATTCGGAATGCCTTTGCTGGAATTCATTGGGAAAGCTACCTATTGTATACTGTTGCCCGAAGTTTCTTAATTTTAGATTTGCTATCATCTTTCCAGGGTGTTGGCATATACCCCTATTGGTAAGGTTTCCTCTCCTCAGTCTAATGCAGTGGTTCTCAACCTTCTGGCCCTTTAAATACAGTTCCTCATGTTGTGACCCAACCATAAAATTTATTTTCGTTGCTACTTCATAACTGTAATGTTGCTACTGTTATGAATCGTAATGTAAATATCTGATATGCAGGATGGTCTTAGGCGACCCCTGTGAAAGGGTCGTTCGACCGCCAAAGGGGTCGCGACCCACAGGTTGAGAACCGCTGGTCTAATGTAACAGTTGAAATACGTGCTATTTACTCAGGCAGGAAAATGCCTCACCTGCTGATAACTGGTAAGAAAGGTAAATGTTATAATTAGAGTAGGTTTTTTATAGCTAGGGAGTGTGTGGCGGTGGAAGGAGCAGTGGACCAAAGAATTAGGAACCTTAGGTTCAAATCCAAAGCTTTGTAGCTTTGAGCCACATTTTCCTTATCTGCAGAATGATGGGAAACTATAAGATCCCTCCATCCAAAGCATATATCTTTTATTTAAGGTTTGGCATTCTTAAATAATCTATAATTCTTATAGCAGAATTGAGTGGCCAGTTTGCTTTGGTAGTATTTTTAATTCCCAGCAGGGTTTTATTCACTCGTTTGTGGTTAATTGAAAATCTTTTGTTTGTCAATGTCATCTATACTAATAAACGGGTAATATGCTAATTAGGGTGGACGTCTTTCAGATGACCTTCTGGATGTTTTTCCAGACAAAGCTGCAGCGGCTGCAAAGGGCCAACGCTCAGGCTAGCAGTGGCAGCAGCAGTGGGGTAATGGGGGCGGCACCTTCCCCTGATCCGCCAGGTCGCCTCCTGCAGAGGGAGGCCAGACTGCAGCTTAGGCTGGGGGCCAAGGCAGAGGAGGTTGGGGCGATCAAGCCGGCAGGGGGTCAGGGTAGGGGCGATCAGGCTGGCAGGCAGAGGCAGTTAGGGGCAATCAGGCAGGCAGGCAGTGGGGTTAGGGGCAATAAGGCAGGTAGGCAGAGGGGTTAGGGGTGATCAGGCAGGCAGGCAGGCAGGCGAGTGGTTAGGAGCCAGGGGTCCTGGATTGCAGAGGGTGTAGGCCAGGCTGAGGGACTACCCCCCCACCCCCCGCGAATTTCATGCACCGAGCCTCTAGTCCTATATAATAATCCTATCTAATAATAGACAAACATGGTAATTAACCGTAACTTTGCTACCCTTCCCATTGGCTAATCAGGGCAAAATGGAAATTAACTGCCAACCAAGATGGCGGCTGGCAGCCAAGCAGCTGAAGCGAACAGGAGGCTTGCTTGCTCCAGTGATGGAGGAAGCCAAGGTTCCCCACCTGCCGCTGCTGGCCTCTGAGCTGCACTGTAAGAAACAATGTTGCAATTATAGAAGCTAAACAAGCTCCAGAAACCTGCTTTCAGCCAGCCGGGCTTCAGAGCTGGAGTTGCAACAGTGTTTCAATTATAGAAGCCAAACAAACCCAGATACCTGCTTTCAGCAGCCAAGGTCTCAAGCTGGAGCCAAGCCTCAGAGCTAAAGCGGCTCTCAGCTCCAGTGACAGCCATAGAAGGTAAATAAATCCCAGAATAAAAAAAAAAAAAAGAAAAAAAGGAGAGATTGGGATCTTCAGTCACCCGCCAGCCTGAAAACGGCCCTCAGCCCCTCACCCATACTGGCCAGGCACCCCAGTGGGGACCCCCAACCTGAAGGGGGTGCGACCAGCTGCAAACAGCCATCAGCCCCTCATCCAGGCTGGCCAGGCACCCAGGTGGGACCCCCACCCTGATCCGGGACACCCTTCAGGGCAAACCAGCCGGCCCACACCCGTGCACCAGGCCTCTATCCTATATAGTAAAAGGGTAATATGCAAACTGACCCTAACAGCAGAAGGACTGGGAATGACTGGTCACTATGACACACACTGACCACCAGGGGGCAGACGCTCAATGCAGGAGCTGCCCCCTGGTGGTCAGGGTGCTCTCACATGGGAGGAGCTCTGTCAGCCACAAGCCAGGCTGATGGCTGCCAGTACAGCGGTGGTGGTGGGAGCCTCTCCTGCCTCCTCAGCAGTGCTAAGGATGTCTGGCTGCAGTTTAGGCCTGCTCCCCGCTGGCAAGTAGACATCCCCTGAGGGCTGCCGGGCTGCCAGAGGGATGTCTGATTGCCATCTTAGGCCCAATCCCCTGGGGAGTGGGCCTAAGCCAGCAGGTGGTCATCCCCTGAGGGGTCCCAGACTGCAAGAGGGCACAGGCCGGGCTGAGGGATACCCCCCCCCCCCCCCCCCGTGAGTGCACAAATTTTTGCGCACTGGGCCTCTAGTTCTATATAATAAAAGGGTAATATGCAAATAGACTGAATGACAGAACAACCGAACAACCAATCAAAGCATAATATGCTAATGATATGCTAAGGCTGCTAACCTGCTCGCTATGACATGCACTGACCACCAGGGGGCAGACAGTTGACCATTCGCTATGAGGTGCACTGACCACCAGGGGGCAGATGCTCTGACTGGTAGATTTGCTTGCTGCTGGCATCCGGCCGATTGGGAATGAGCCACATGGGCCAGACATGCCCTGGAGCCCTCCCAGGCCCGATTGTGCACTGGTGGGGTCCCTCAGCCTGGCCTGTGCTCTCTCGCAATCCGGGACCCCTCAGGGGATGTCGGAGAGCCAGTTTCAGCCTGAACCTCCAGGCCACTCCCCTTGGGAGGGCATCAGACGCAGGGCTCATGGCTTGTGAGTGCTGCTGTGGCAGCGTGAGCTTCTCCCGATTGGGACTGATTGGGTGTGAGTCCACAGCAGGCACAGTAGGGCTGGGTTGAGCGGGAGTGGCAGGTAGGAGCTGCAGGCAGCATTCGACTGTGGGTTTCGGCCCGATCCCTGCAGGCCGCTCAAAGGGACGCAACCCATGCACAAATTCGTGCACCGGGTCTCTAGTGTTATTATATTTCCTGTTTTAATGTGTTTTGCTTTAACCATTTTTATGGCTTTAGAAATACACTTTTATTATATATCTTTAATTTTAGCTTTATATTTCTCTCATAGAGCTTTTCTGGGGATTCTGTGCATCGATTGCCTCTTTTAGGAGAAAAGCAGGAGGTAATTGTTTTCCTTGTTAAATATTTCTAGGAGTAAAGTAAAATTTTTGAATTAATTTTCTTTTTTTTTAATGTTTAAAGGCTAAGGAGAACGGAACAAATCTTACCTTTACTGGAGAAAAAGTCGTAAGTATAGTAGGGAATTCAGCTTTCTTATTTTTGTGTATTTTGAATTATCTTGTATGCTAACATTTAAAAAGAAATAAGACTGGAAACTGTACACCGAAATGTTGATAATGGTTTTCCCTGGATGGTGATATGAGTGATTTTTATTTTTTTCTTTGTGTTTTCTGTATTTTTCATATTTTCTGCAATCATTTTGTATTGTTTTTGTAATTACTATCCCATACATATATTCAGCTTTGCTTTTAAAAATAAAGGCAAAGGTGACAGGCAAAAGAATATATTTGAGATCCAGGAAGAATTGCAATCCTGGGAATCACTGATTGTGGCAGAAACCCAGAAAATGTTCTGATTAGGAGGTAAAAAGGGGTATTTATGAGAAAGGGAGGTGGGAAATGATATGAATTGAAGCAAGGAATTCCTGTTGATGTTAATAAGTCAAGGAAGGAATTTCTATTAGTGCAAATAAGCTAAATTATTCTTCATTCTACGTCAGTGGTTCTCAACCTTCCTAATGCCGTGACCCTTTAATACAGTTCCTCATGTTGTGGTGACCCCCAATTTCATTGTTACAAATTGAACATAATTAAAGCATAGTGATTAATCACAAAAACAATATGTAATTATATATGTGTTTTCTGATGGTCTTAGGAGACCCCTGTGAAAGGGTTGTTCGACCCCCAAAGGTGTCGCGATCCACAGGTTGAGAACCTCTGCTCTACATGGTGGTGCTAATTCTAAAGAATGTCTTTAGTTTTTAGTCTGGTAGTCTGGCACTCTGCCTTTCTGTTAGCTTTGCAAACAGTCGTTTAGAATACAGTGTGGATTTGGCCCATTCCAAAGATTTGAGGAGTAAGATGTGCAAGGCAATTGCCCTGGGGTGGCAGCTCTAGCTTCATTTTGAAGTGGTTCTGGTTATATTATTTTTCACAAATATTGCTTGTAAATAGGAAGAAACTTTTAAGAAAGAATCTTCAACTCCACCTAAAATTATCTTATAATAGAATATAACTGGAAGAGATATTGAAAAAGTGAGATAGGTTGAAGTCTATAAATATGCTTAAAAATTTAATAATTCACAATAACTAATTCATCAAAACTTTGCCAGTTAAAAATATAGAAGAAATAATATAGTTACCCATGTTGGGTCATGCTTTTTACAAAACTGATTAAAGCTTTTAATTTTTAACAACTTTAGTAAGACATATACATATCTCAGAATTTACTCTTTTAAAACATACAATTCAGTGGTTTTTAGTATATTAACAACCACCAGTTATTATCTAGTTCCAGAACTTCTTCATCACCCCAAAAAGTAACGGCATAGCCGTTAGCCCCAGCCCTAGGCAACCACTATTCTTCTGTCTTTAAGGATTTGCCTGTTCTGTTCATTTCATGTAAATGTAATCATGCAATTTTTGGCCTAATGTCTGACTTCTGTCACAATTTAAAACTGCCTTGACTTTTACTTTTTTGTTGTGCAGAGCCTGAAGATCAGCCAGAGGTGAGTGAGTAGGGTCTTCTCAGGTCTCTCTCAGTCATGTGTGCAGTCTCACACATACATGCATGACCCTGCATGTACTCCTCGCCTTCTAGATTTCCAGGGATAGCTTAGAACTCTTCAAAACGCCTATGGACATCTTATTTCCAATTTTTCTTTTTAAGTTTTTAGTCTCTTGATGGCCTCACCCAGTAACACTGGCGGGGCAGCTAGGATCTTTCACACTTGCTAAGTGTTTTTGAGAGTGCCCTGAGTATAGGGTCCTTCCCACTGAGTGAGGCCATATAAATGTTAAGCCCTGGGAATGGAGCTTTTCAGCACCTTGCAGAGACCTCTGGGTTTTATGGGGCCTCCAAACTTGTTTTTCCCCCCAGTGGTTGCCAAACTTCTATTTTTCACAGTTGTTATAGCTGTGAGCATTTTGATTTCAAGGACCTTGGAATGGGCATAGGATTAGGGTGAACAAAAACACCACAAGCTTGCTTTTTCTCCTGGATTCAGCTACTTTTCTTACTGAGATTATTCTTCAGTTATTTATTTTTCTTCAGGAAACAGTTGTAGAATTTCCAGAGTTCCAAAAAAGTTAATTTTGATAGTTTTTGCCCATATTCTTGTCGCTTTTATGGGTGAGTGTATTTTCAGAGTCCTTATTTTGCCATTCTAGAAGTATCTCCACCCTCCCTCCCCCTATTATAATTGTACAGAATTTTAACCTAAAAATAAGTAGGCATGGCAGACTTCATTACTTTTTTTTTTTAAGCGGAGACTGTCCATTGGATTTTTTCTTATTGCTCATATGTATATATTTAGTACTATAAAAATTTTAGAAAATATACATAAATGAAAAGAAAATAATCATTTGTAATACTACCACACACTGAGACTATAAATATATTTATCTTGTCTTTTGTCTTTGTGCATGTTTATATCTAATTTATTTAAAAATAGGAATCTTACAATATGTATTACTATAACTTTTTTAGCTTAGCAATATAACTTGGACATCTTTCCAGTTCAGTAAATATTTATGGCATCATTATTTAAATGCCTGAATGGTATTTTATTGTTATGAATACATTGCAATTTGTTAACAGATCCTGGACACTTGTGTTTCATTTTCTTGTAATTTTAAACAGCACTGCAGTGAATATTTTTGTAGATATATTAGTCTTTAGATTTAACAATTTCTTGTTGGTGAACATTTTGCTTCTATAACTTGTGCCCTGGCCGGTGTTCCTAAATGGTTAAAGCATTGGCCCATGCATCAAAGTATGGCAGGTTTGATTCTCAGTTAAGGGCTTGTACCTGGGTTGCAGGTTCCATCCCTGGTGTGGCGGGAGGCAACCAATCGCTGTATCTCTCCCACATATTTTTCTTTCTTCCCACCCTCACTCCCCATTTGCACTCTCTCTAAAAATTAATGGAAAAATATCCTTGGGTGAGGATTTAACAATAACAACAAAATCCTTTGTAATTTCATTTTCTAGCCGTTTCCTGTGATTACACAGCACATACGCATATTAATAAAGATGAGATTATATTTTATATATTGCTATGTAATTTTTTCTTTTTACTTGACAAATTAGTACATTTAGCACTATTTCACCTTTTTATGTCCGTGTGCTATTTCACTTTATTGGGATTTTTATAATTAACATCCAGCTGATGTGCATTGGGTTGTTTCCAGATTTTCACTGTTATGGATAAGGTCACATTCATAATGTCTAGTTATAGCCTTTTTTTTTTTTTTTAATTCCTCACCTGAGGATATTTTTCCATTGATTTTTTTTTTCCAGAGTGGGAGAGAGAGGGAGAGACATAGAGAAAAATGTCAGTGTGAGAGAAACACATGGATTGGTTGCTTCCTGTATATGCCTCACAAGGGCCCCGGCCAGGGAGGAGCCCACAACGTAGGTACGTACCCTTGACCGGAATTGAACTCAGGACTCTTTGGTCTGCAGTCCGACGCTCTATCCACTCAGCCAAACTGGCTAAGGCTGTCTACTTATATCTTTGTGCACATTTATAATATTTCTTTGGGCTAAATTCCTGGAGGTGGAATTGTTGGGTCCAAGTTCCTGTATGATTTTTAAATTCTTTTTTTATGTTTTGCCGAAGTGCTCTGGAGAGAAACATTGTAGAAATTTGTTGTTAAAAGAAAATCAGACGAGTTTCCCTATTTCCTAACAAACTGGCTATTTTAATTTAAAGCATTTTATGCAGTTTGTTGGGTTAATTTATTTAAATTGTACTTTTAAAAAATGGTTGTTAAAACTGAACATTTATTTATATGCATATTAGCTATTTGTAAATTGTGTTTTATTCAGTGACCTTCTGTATATATACTTTTAAGTTCTACTCAAGGCTTGAGTTCTATCTTAGTGAGTAAAGATTGGTGAAAGATGACTCTGAATATCACAAGTAATACTTAGAAATATTTATTCAGATTATAGTAAAAAAGAAGTGAAAGGATTATCTGCCTTTTGATTATTCTTTCTAAAAATTGAACTTAAGGGAGTATCTTATAATCCTATTTAAGGGATACAAGTTCAGTACCTCTACTCTGATAAAACATTGTTTTTTAGAGGAAAGGGCCTCTCTCACTGTTCCTTCACTTAAGAAAAGATTTAATATTCGATTAGCTCACTTTTCTGGTTTGATTTCAGCAGCAATGTAATATACTTACCATAATATTTTTTTCAATTAATAGACTTACTTTTAGAGCAGTTCACAGCAAAACTGAGCAAAAAGCAGAGAGTTTGCACATACCCCCTCCACAAATGCACACTCAGAATCCCCCCCCCCCCGCCCCTTCCACCATCCTGGTACATCCTATCTAATAAAAGAGAAACATGGTAATTAGCCGTACCTCCGCTACCCTTCCCATTGGCTAATCAGGGCGATATGCAAATTAACTGCCAGCCAAGATGGCGGCCGGCAGCCAGGCAGCTCGAAGCGAACATGAGGCTTGCTTGCTTCAGTGACGAAGGAAGCCAAAGTTCCCCGCCCGCCTTGCCGGCCTCTAGCTTGCATTTTGAAACATTGTTAGAAATATAGAAGCTAAACAAAACCCCAGATACCTGCTTTCAGCAGCCGAGGCCTAAGAGCTGGAGCCAAGCCTCAGAGCTAAAGCTGGCCCAGAATAAAAAAAAGAAAAGAAAAAAAGGAGCAGTTGGGAGCTTCTGTCACCCCCAGCCTGAAAACAGCCCTCAGCCCCTCACCCAGACTGGCCAGGCACCCCAGTGGGGACCCCCACCCTGAAGGGGGTGTGACCAGCTGCAAACAGCCATCATCCGCTCACCCAGGCTGGCCAGGCACCCAAGCGGGACCCACACCCTGATCCAGGACACCCTTCAGGGGAAACCAGCCAGCCCCCACCCGTGCACCAGGCCTCGATCCTATATAGTAAAAGGGTAATATGCCTCCCGGCACCGGGACCAGCGTGACAGGGGGCAGCGCCCAAACCCCCTGATCGCCCTGCGGCTCTGTGTGTGACTGGGGGCGGGGCCACAACCTCCCTATCCGCCCTGCTCTGTGACACGGGAAGGCTCCCCAAACCCCTGATCAACCCTGCTCTGTGCCTGATATGGGGGAGCTCCCCAACCCCCTGATCGCCCTGTGGCTCTCTGTGTGACAGGGTGTGGCACCCCAACTCCCTGATCGGCCCTGCCCTGTGTGTGACAGGGTGCAGCGCCCCAACCCCCTGATCCGCCCTGCTCTGTGTGTGACAGGGGGCAGTGCCCTAACTCCCTTATCGGCCCTACTCTGTGAGTGACGGGGGAGCTCCTCAACCCCCTGATCTGCCCTGCTCTGTGCGTGACGGGATGGCGCCGCAACCTCCCCATCGACACTGCCTTGAGTGTGACAGGGGCGGCGCCCCAACCCCCAATCGGCCCTACCCTGAGCGTGACTGAAGGTGGCATCGCAACCTCCCGATCCGCCCTGCTCTGTGCAAGACGGGGTGGCGCCCCAACTCCCCAGTCAGCCCTGCTCTGAGCCCGACCAGGGGCTGCACCTAGGGATTGGGCCTGCCCTCTACCACCTGGGAGCAGGCCTAAGCCAGCAGTTCGTTATCTCCTGAGGGGTCCCAGACTGCGAGAGGGCACAGGCCGGGCTGAGGGACCCCCTCTCCCGCCCCCCCAGTGCACAAATTTTTGTGCACCGGGCCTCTAGTTTATTTATAATTGTTGAACCAACACTGATACACCATTGTCAACCAAAGCCCATGGTTTAGTACATTAGGGTTAGTTCTTTGTGTTATACATTGTTTGGGTTTTAACCAATGTGTAATGACAGATATGCACTGTTATATTATCATACAGAATAGTTTCATTGCCCTGAAAATCCCTATGCCCCACCTATTCATCCCCCGCCTTCTCCTAAGCCCCTGGTAATTACTGATTTCTTTTACTATCTTCATAGTTTTGCATTTTCCAGAATGTTAATTAATTGGAATCATAATATACAGCTTTTCAGGTTGGCTTCTTTCACTTAATAATATGCATTTAAGGTTCCCAATGCCTTCTTGTGGCTTTATAGTTTATTTCTTTTTAATGCTAAATATTCCAATGTCTATTATCCACTCTGAGGGGTTTCATAGATCAATGAAGCTTACCCGTTGGTCTCTGGATAGAAGTTCTCTGGCTGTACCACAGTTTATGTATCCATTCACCTATTGAAGGACACCTATTGTAAGAACTATTAATGGTACCTATTTGATAGGGTTATTGTGGGTATTAAATAATATAATAAATAAGTGTCTGCCATATGAATGTTATTTTTACAGTGTCAAAATATCTATCATTCAAAATTAAATGTAAACTTCGTCAAATTTTTCAGTCCCTTTTGAAATTTGTAAGAGGTAGTTTTTAAAAAATACATTTTATTGATTTTTTACAGAGAGAAAGGGGGTGGGATAGAGAGTTAGAAACATCAATCAGCTGCCTCCTGCATCCCCCTCCCTCCACTGGGGATGTCCCCACAACCAAGGTACATGCCCTTGACCGGAATCGAACCTGGGACCCTTCAGTCCGCAGGCAGACGCTCTATCCGCTGAGCCAAACCAGTCAGGGCTGTAAGAGGTAGTTTTAAGATATATGAAATTAATAGCAGAGCAGCGTATTACACCAAAGTTGTATTGGTTAATGAGCAAGTAAATTCTATAAAGGTTTATTAGTTAATTATGGGTAAATAGGAAGTGATATACTTACAACTTTGTAGCTATAAAGTTTTCTCACAAACTGCTCCTGAATGTTGTCAGAAGAGGACCATCGGACAGGAATAAATGTATGATTCATCATGGCATTTATGTTAACTGACTAAGATAATCTAGAAAATGTGTAGCTGAAAAATCATTTAATCTGCTTTGTGTGACACTTTGGATTTGTATATGGACTATAATTTTAAACTCTTGTTTAGCCTTTTCTTGAGTTGTAGGATAACTTGAGCATTTGAGAAAAGCTGTGATTCCACAGGAAAATGCATAAATGTAAAAAATCTATTATCTACTCTAAGGGGTTTCATTGAGCAATGAAGCTTACCCATTGGTCTCTGGCTAGAAATTCCTTTTAAGACCATCCGGTAATAAATTTCAAGTCTAAGTAGCAATATGAGAAAAGCAGACATTTGTTTTCTGTGTTCATCTCCTTTATCTTTGAGTCTTGGTCTTGTGTTTTGAAGGTCCGTACTCTAGAATGTATAGCAACAAATCCTTTGAAGACTTTTTCCTAGGGCTATGCACAAACTAACTGGCGTGCTTCCTTAAGTAATAAGTTCCATAAACATGGAGGCTGTAACTCCACTTCCTGGACTTTGTGGGTCAGTGACTCTTGCTTTCCACATAGACCAGCCAAGATTAAATTTCATGTAAATGTGAGACCCGATCAGCAGAAGTTCTGGTAGTCTTGGAAAGACCATGAGCAAAGGGAATTAGATTCAGGAAGTGGTGTTTATAATTCACTAAGTCACTGATGTCATCATTGGTGTTATTTTTTTAGGTGATTTATATAATCTTAGTTTGTTCAGGATGTTTATGTTTAAAAATACAACCTAGTGTCCTAGCATGGCTTACTTAAACAAAGATTCAATTTAGTGGTTTTAGTTGAGGTTTTCCTTGTAGAAAAATAGGTAAGTAAAACGTGTGATTTTTGTGTATAACAAGATAGAAGATGTCCTGCCTTTTCGTAATTTATAATCTAACCTATTTTGTTATATGTACAATAGGCCTGTTTGTTTTGTTGTGTCTACTGTTTTAATGAATGAACATGAAGGACTCAACCATGTTTCTGGGTACATTCTGAAATAATTTTCATACTGGATTATTAACTTATGCTCTTAATTCTTAAGACTTGAAGTTTTAGTACCTTTTTTCTTTCTAGGCAATGCATGATCCATTGAAAACTTGGCAAGATGCACCATACATTTTTATTGTACATATTGGCATTTCCTTCTCAAAGGAATCATCAAAAGAAAATTCACTAAGTAATCTTTTTACCAGTAAGTACATTTCATTTCTTTTTACCATTTGCATTATTATCTAGTTGTGCCATGTATGGTGAGTCATGTGTAATTGCTTTCAGGGAGGGAATAATTAATTAAGAAAGTTTATTCTTACATAGAAAAATTGAGGGAGAGAAATTGACATTTTTCTGTACTCAAGATGTACCAGATACAGTCTTAGGCACTTCATATATGCTTTCTTATTATATACTAGAGGCCTGGTGCACAAAATTTGTGCACGGGTACAGTTCCTAGGCCTGCCTGGCAATCGAAGAGCTAATATCTGGCATGGAAGGGCAGGTCCCAGCAGCACCTGGGCACCCAGGTCTCCACGCGTCCCCCTCTGCCTAAGTCATTGGCTCCCCACCCTGCTCCCTCAGTGCATGTGGCTGGGCGGTGGCCCCACCCTCCGCTGCCGCCACTGGTCGCCGTCTGCGGGGCGATCAGCAGGGCAATCGGGCCCCACTCACACCCGCCTTGGCTTGGCGCCACCCACTCACCTGCTCCACCATCCTGTCGCAGTCCAACTCTTGTTAGGGCCCATCGAGGCTGGCAGCGCCTCCACTGCTGCCCGCTGCCAGTGCTGCATCGCTGACGCCCTCCATGTTCTGTGCCGCCCCCTGGTGGTCAGCACATGTCATAGTGAGCGGTCGAACTCCAGGTCGAATTCCTGGTTGAGGGGACAATTTGCATGTTAGGCTTTTATTATATAGGATGATAGATTCTAGATTTCATTTTCTTTCATTTGATTCTCCAGCTTTTTAAATTTTTAATTAGTATCATGTTCTTGGTACTTGGTTAGTAAGCTACTGCAAAATTCCAGAAAGAGATGACTTGTCAAAACTTGGTTACCAAGTCAAAACCTGGCAATATAAAAATTAATGGACTTCGGTAATTATTTAATGTCTCAATATTTTTTCTTTTTTTAAAATTTATTTTTCAATTACAGTTGAGATACAAAATCATAATATTACTATGGTGTACACCTGGAACTAATGTAATTTTGTATGTCAACTGTCTCAATTTTTCTTGATGGTCTCCTTTCCATTCTTGCTGCCCAGTTCATAGAAGTCATCTCTTTCTGGAATTTTGCAGTAGCTTACTAACTGTTCTAATTTCTTATAATTTTTTTGTTTTGTTTTGTTTCTTCCTTCTCTGCGGTTTCCTTTCCTCCTCTGCTTTCCCAAGGAGAATATTGAAGAGAAACAATTATGGTGGCCATCCTTATCTTACAATATTGGCACATATCACCATTAAATATCATGTTAGCTGTAGATTTAAAAAAATGTATTCTTTATTTGGTTAAGGCTATCCCTTCCTATTCCAAAAATAAGTATATTTTTGTTAGTATTAAGAATGAATGCTCAGTTTTATCAGATGCTTTGATTGTATTAAAGTGATCATATAGATTTCCTCATTTAATCTGTTCATGTGATGCATTATATTAACTGGTTTTCTAATGTTAAACTGTTGTTGAATTTCTGAGATGCCATTATTTGGTCTTTACACACACACACACACACACATACACATACACACACATGTTTTCTAGCTTACGTTCTTTTTTTGTTTTATCCATCTGTTGTTTGGAGCTAAGAAGAAACTTTAAAGCATAGACCAAACTACGTTATGTGAAAGTTTCTAAAACAGTTTTATCATTTTTCTTCCCTTCGTTAAAACCTTTGAAGTCTCCCTATTGCCTATAAAATGCCCACATTTATAAGCAAGGTTTCTAAAACTATAAGTTGTCCCATTTTACTTTTCGTTGCCTTGTATCAAAACACTATGATATGGTACTATTCATTGTCTCAGTCTTTAAATATATTATGCATTTTTACACCTGTCTTTGTTATTTCTTCTGCCCGGATGGCTTTTTACTTTATCCTGGAAAATACAAATTTCATTCTTCTGGGTCTGTCTCAGAGGACAGTTCTCTGTGTTGCTTTTCAACTAACTCTCTCTTCCCTCTAGATGGTAATCCACTAGGATGGCAGAAAACATCTTACACATCTGACCATCCCCTATTTTCCATAGTGTGTATCATATAGTAAGTGCTTAAGTTCTATTTTAGCATAGAGCAGGGGTTAGTCAACTTTTTCTTAAAGGGTCAGATAGTAAATGTTTTCTCTCCTATAACTACCTAACTTTGCCATTGTGTGAATGCAGCCGTAGAGAATATGTAAGTGAATGGATATGACTGTTTTGTATTAAAATTTTATTTACAAAAAGTGGATGGCCAGATTTGGTCCATGTGCTGTATTTTACTGACCTTCTGTCATAGTGTAAGCAAAGAATGTGACAAATATTCACTAATTATTTTATTTGCTTTTTTATTAAATTAAGGTATAGATTTAAAAACCAGTTCTCCTATGACATTTTTATGATTTCTATTATAGGATGCTCCTTTTGTTCATAAAAGTATTAGATCCGATTTATTTTTAATTCTCACCCAAAGACATGCTTAGAAAGAGCGTTCATGGGGTTGTGGGGGAAGGGGGAAGAACACCGATGTGAGAGAGAAATACTGATTGATCGCTTTCCATATGCTCCTCAGCTGGGGATCAAACCCAACACCTACGTATGTGCCCTGACCAGGAATCAAACCAGCAACCTTTTGGTGCACAGGCCTGATTCATTTTTAATAATGGCATGTCCTTTCTGCCTGATAAAAATTATAGTGGGGCCCAGCTGGCGTGGTTCAGTGGTTGAGTGTCGACCCATGAACCAGGAATTTACAGTTTGATTCCTGGTCAGGGCACATGTCCAGGTTTTGGGCTTGATCCCCCAGTGGGTGTGCAGGAGGCAGCCAATCAATGATTCTCTGTCATCATTGATGTTTCTCTCTCTCTCTCTCTCTCCCTCTCCCTTCCTCTCTGAAACCAATAAAAACATTTAAAAAAATGAGTGGGATATTTTTGTTGAATAGGCATTTATTAGTGTGTTTCTGGAGATAGATACTACTTTTTACTTGTTAATCAAATATAAAATTTATCCAAATAGTTTTTCCATTACAATTTAAAAGTAGTCATAGGTTTGTTTCTGTAAATCAAATCTGTCTTTCAGATACTTGTTAGCTTCATTTGTTCTGCTTCATTAAACACTGTTGTTATTAAGCACCTTCTAGAAATGATACATTAATGTAGCAAAGTCATATAAAACTGAAGTAGGTAAAATAAGAAGCAATATGAAAATATAGGTAAGGAGAGAGAGCAGATAGAGGGAGTCAGAATGAAGGAATAAAGTCCTGTAATTTTTAAAACATATTAGTGCTGTGTTGTAAGAAAAGTATATATGAAGTATGTTTGGAATTTAGAGGAGATGGGGAAGTTCCAGTTGGGCAGCTCACAGAAGGTTTGTGGAGGAAGTACATTCAACCTAGTCTTTAAAGGATGTGAGTATGGGAACAAAGGGCTTTTCCCTTAAGATATTGACTGTAGCAGAGGCATGGAGACCCTAAGCAGGACATAGCACAAACCATGAGAACACTTAGTGAATTTCAAAGTGCTCTACACATGTAATATTCGCCAGAATTGAAATGGTTAAAAGTAAATGACCCACTGGAATTTTCATTAATTTTTATCAGACAAATATCAGATAATGTTTTTGTTTAAATCCTGAATTGTTCACATTAACTCTGAGGACTGTGTTTTGGCAGTGACTGTTGAATTGAAGGGCCCCTATGAATACCTCACACTTGAAGAATATCCTTTGATGATTGTAAGTGAATTTATATTCTTTAACTTGAACATTAAATGAGTTTAACTTGAAAGAGTATCCATGTTTTGTGGCAATTTTCCTTTTTAAAGAATTGTTCCTGAACAGTTCACAAAATAGTGCTTGTACTTTGGCACTTTTTACTAGAATGTGACCTTGTGAGTGTCAGTGAACCCCTTTGTACCTCATTTTCTTATCTGTAAATGAAGGGGTGGTGGTGTGTGGAATTGTAGAGTTGGAAAATACCTCAAAGATTGTTTCAAATCTCACGTCTTCTCAAGGATCCAAAGCAGGGCACTTCTTACAACCCTGTAGTTTCTGATCCCACTTAAAGTAATTAAATGATGAAGTTTCATCCTTTTTAGTGTGTGTGTGTGTGTGTCTATGGGAATATCCTTAATGTACTTTTTAGATTTCCTTTGTTCAATTTTTCTTCTTCTTCTTTTCCCTTTTATATTTTCCCACTTGGTCGTGTTTCATTTCCTTGCCATACCTTTTTTTCTTCAGTGTTCTCTTCATTTATATAATTTTACATTGTGAGCTGAAAAAGCTCAATTAATACAGATAAGCAGTCACTTGATAACAAGCCCTTAGGTAGTCTCCCTCTGTTCAAGAGGAGATAATTATTTTGTGTATGAGTATCAAAATTCAAAGAAATAAAATAATGATCTTTCAAGTAGAAGGTATGATATGCATTTTTTTTGTATCTTGTTAAGAGTGTGTATTGATGCTAAAGTGGCCCTTGGCCTTAATCCTCTTTTTTATCTCTTATCCACTTCTATGACAGTTTTTCATGGTGATGTGTATTGTGTATGTCCTGTTTGGTGTTCTGTGGCTGGCATGGTCTGCCTGCTACTGGAGAGATCTCCTGAGAATTCAGTTTTGGATTGGAGCTGTCATCTTCCTGGGAATGCTTGAGAAAGCTGTCTTCTATGCAGAATTTCAGAACATCCGTTACAAAGGAGAATCTGGTATGTAACCAAAAAATGCCAATTTGTGAATGATCAGCAGGTGAGACGTGACAGTTTTTCCTAAGGTTAGCAGTTATTAAGTAGGTTTAACTTTTCAGTTATTTAATTATTAGAATAACTTTGATTGTGACTTTTGTTTTTAATATTATAACTTGCAGGTTCAGTGATTTAGGAGTAATTTTACTAAAATATATTCACAAAAGTAGTGACTTTTGGGAAAGACTGTTAACATCATTGAATTTCATTGCCATTGATTTTTAAGGCACCATTATTATATACATCTAAGAAACTACTGTGAATTTAATTTTAAGATACCATTGATTATAAGAGACATTTTGATTTTAAAGATTTAAAATGGGGGCAGGGATACATCTAAGAATTGGTGAAATATAGTAGTACCAAGAAAATAAGAGGGTGCTTATAGTTTAGTAAGGTGAACAGATGACAGAAACTGTTTTGTACTGAAGTTTTTTATGATAGCTTCAGTTCTCTCTCTTCAGATCATTTAATTATTGATAATTATTGTTACAAGTTACACTAATTAAATATTTCCCTGGTCTTTGAAAGGGCCTGAAAAATAGTAGATGTGAAAACGAATTGAAAGCTGTGTGTGTTGTACTTTTCTATGGATAGCTATATTTCACACTTTTTAAAAATGGAGAGACTATTTACTAGTTGCTATGAACTGTTCAAGTAGGGTAAAATATTCTGCTGAGGTTTTAGTGAAGTGAGGGGTAAGGAGGGAAGGTAAATTGAACACAGCCAGATTGCTATTCACATGAATAAGATTATGTCAGTTTATGTATTTGTAAAAATTGAAGAAGTATTTTTTTTTAGTAGAACTAATACCAGTGCTTATTCTGAAGAGTGTTAGAGGTCTATATCGTTCTAGAATTGCACCTTTTCTCAAACCTAGATTTACAGCACTTTTCCCCCCTTCTTTCTCATAGTCCAAGGTGCCTTGATCCTTGCAGAGCTGCTTTCAGCAGTTAAACGTTCACTGGCTCGAATCCTGGTCATTATAGTCAGTCTGGGATATGGCATAGTCAAGTAAGTATTCACTTCCTGTATGGAAAAGTGAAATGAAACACTGATTAAATTGAAACAGTATTGCAGCTTCCCAGTATAGTAGTCCTGTAACAGTTGATAAAAAAAATAGTTCTGAAATAAGAAAAGGTATCTGAAATTTTGTAGATTTGTAGACGTTGGAAAAATGTTAGTTTCATCTCACAGCTGAGAGTTCAAGGAGTAGGAAAGCCTGCAATTGTAGCAAATGACATTGAAACACCAAACTTTTAGAGTAAACTTATAGTGACTTTACTCTTCCAAAATATTTTGTAAATCAGATTTTTTATGGGAAGAGCATTCTTGCTGTAACAATCTGGAAAATATTTGTTGAAAAAAAATGTATTTATTAAGTGCCGTAGCGTTGTTCTAGGCCCTGGGGATACAGCAAATAAACAGAAGACTTGGAGCTTACATTGGGGGAAAATGGATAAAATCAGTGAGTAAATATGTAATATGTCAGTGATAAGTGCTAGGGAGCAGATAAAGCAGGCAGAAGGTATAGAGGACAGGAGGTAGGGCTTGCAAGTGTTAAATAGGGTGGTCAAGGATGGCTTCATTTACTGACATTTAGGCAAAGATCTCAAGTTGGTGAAGGAACTATATGTATCTCCAGAGGAAGAGATGCTAAAATGTGGTCAGATTCTGTATATATTTTGAAGGTAGAGCCAGTGGACTTTGCTGACAGATCAAATGTGTGATGTGAAAGAGAGAGCAATCAAGAATGATGCCAACTATTTTGGTGTGAACAAATGGAAGGATGCAATTGACATTTACTGAGTTCAGGAAGATCTTAGGTGGGTTAAGTTTAGAGTGGGTGCAAGATTAGGAGTTCAGAGTTTAGTTAGATATACAAATGAGGGAAGTAAGGGGGAGAGAGATGAATTTGCAAGTTGCTGGGGTCCAACCCCAGCAGGTCCAGGGGTCCCCAAAGGTGTGGACGGAGTCGGCGAAGAAGGAAGGACACGGAGACAGCGTTCAGTTGATTAGCAGCCTAGCCAGGATCTCTAGCCAGGATCTCCAGCCAAGTTCTGGTCTGGATCTCCAGCGAAGTTCTGGTTAGGATCTCCAGCCAGGTTCTGTGTCCATGTTCTCTTGCTAGGTTCTCCAGGTTCTCCAGCCAGGTTCAGTCACCAGGTTCTAGTCAGGTTCTCTTGCCAATTTCTGTAGTCAGGTTCAGTCCAGGATCTTTTGCCATGTTCTCCCCAGCGAAGTTCTTCTGTCTCTAGAGAACGTTCTGTGTAGGTTCTGTGCCTCCTGGTTCTGTCTTCTAAGCTCTGTATTCTAAGTTCTGAGTCTTGCTGTCTTGTTACATCTGTATTTATACCAGTTGATTCAATCCTATCAATCTCTATTACAAAGGTTAGGGCGTTTCTTATCTCCATTCCAGGGAGTAAAGATTATGTAGCTTAAGCATGATTGTTCGTAGTTAAAGTGATTAATTACCCGCCTGGCACTTAGTTGAGGGGTTTTATTCCCTCCCTAACTTCAGGGGAAAATCCCTACCTGGGGAAACAACCTTTCTCAGAGACCTTGGTTAAAACACATAGTGCCAAGAAGGTGAGCAAACATATTAAGAACAGTATGCCATGTATGCCAGGTCCTTTGAAACAGCAAGGATGGACCGGCTCCCGGCAAATTCCCCCTTTTTTGTTTTTTAAAAACGCATTAAAAAGAAAAAACCCCAAATGCTCTCTTGTATAGAGCAAGTCATCAGGATGTAGATGTTATTTAGCCATGAGATGGGATGTGATCACCAAGGTATAAGTGTGTTTAGAGGAGAGGTTAAAGGATTGAGTCCTTGAACATTTTCTGTTATTTAGAAGTCAGTGAGGCAAAGTAGAATTAGAGGAAATTGAGGAGGATGACCAAAACTGTGGGAGGCAAGCCTGAAGACTTTCAAGGAAAGAGTGAATAATTTTGTCAGAGAGGATTGAGACTTGACCATTGGATTTAACTACATGCAAGAATAGTTTTGGTCCAGTGGTAGGACTTAGCGTGAGCTTGGTTGGAGTAACTTCAAGCAAGAATAGAACAGGAGTTGGAGTTAGCCAGGTATAGACAGTTATCTCAAGGAGTTTTGTTTTAAGTGGGCTAAAGAAATGGGAGATTTTCACTTTTAAAACTCATTCATATAAATGAGACTAGAGGAATGGGGGAATTACATTTTTAAATTTATTTAACAAACTAGAGGCCTGGTGCACAAAAATTTGTGCACTTGGGTGGGTCCCTCAGCCTGGCGTGTGCCCTCAGGGACCCCTTCCCCTGGCTGCTGGCACCAATTTTCCTCCAGTGCCCGGAACCCAGGCCTTCGCTCTTCGCTCACTGCTTGGGCCCCGGGGGCAGGGCCGGCGCAGCGGGCTTCCCTCTTCGCTTGCCACGCCGGCCTTCGCTTGCTGCTCCTGCCCGGGGCCGGTGGGCTTCGCTCCGTCGCTTGGCGCCTACATATGCAAATTAGCTGCCATCTTTATTGGTGGTTAATTTGCATATTGCACTGATTAGCCAGTGGGAGGCGCTGCGAAGGTACGGTCAATTACCATGTTTGTCTATTATTAGATAGGATATTTCAATGCCTCCCATATGCCAAGACTTATCCTAGGTTTTTAAGATACAATATTGTGGAGAAAAATCGCAGCCCATTTAGAGCTTTGCTAGTGTGTAATGCACTAGTCAATAACCCAGGGATCTTGTTAAAATACAGATTCTGATTCAGTAGCATTTTGAATATCAAGGATCTTCCTTCAAGCAGAAGCTGCTTAAAAGATTTTTTGGATTTTGTTGGATTTTGAGCTCTATAATGTACTATTTATCTAGTGAGCTTCAATAGGGTATTTGATTATGTTAAGAAGTTGTTTAAATTTTTCTGTTTGAAAATGTTGTTATGATTTCTTTTCTTTAAAAAATTATCTGTTTAAAAACATACTGAAAAGTAGACAAATAAAAGATAGGATGTCTAGAATTTGTTTCAAGATAATATGAGAGGATGGGAAGTGGATGGGTAGTGCATTGAGCAGGATTGGCTGTAGGTTGGAGGCTATTAGGACTGGATAATGGATATATAGGGGTTTATTATACTGTTGAATATGTTTCAGAATTCTCTATAATAAAATATGTATTTTTAAAAATGCTGCAGTGCCCTGGCCAATGTGGCTCTTGGGCATCATCCCATGCACCAAAGGGTTGCTGATTCAGTTCCTGGTCAGGGACATGACTGGGTTTTGGGCTTGATGCGGGGGTGGGGGGAGGAGAATAATTGATGATTTATTCTCTCCCTCTCCCTTCCTCTCTAAAAATCAGTAAGAAAAAAATTTTTAAATGTAGAATTAAGGGGGTCTAGTCTAAAATTTATTATTCAGTATCTTGTTTTAAGAGCATAAGCTCTGAGTTTTTCTCTCATGTGGCTTATCTCAACTAAGTTGTTGTCCTATATTAATCAACATGAGTTTGTCTCAGGGTTTGTCACATTTGTACTCAACTTTATCTCTTTGCTTTCTCTGTAGGCCTCGCCTTGGAGTCACTCTTCACAAGGTTGTTGTAGCAGGAGCCCTATATCTCTTGTTCTCTGGCATGGAAGGGGTCCTCAGAGTTACTGGGGTCAGTACTGCTTAATCTACGTTTTTGTGGTCAGTTCAGACATAACTGTTTTTGTTTTGAGAAGGTGAATTGGGAATATCTGTGGGCTTCTTTACTATTTTCTCTAAGTCACCTTTGGGCTCTGATTTTTAAAATGTATATGTAATTCACTTTTTCTTTTTAATCTATATTAGAGCTTTAAATTCAATGTGTGACCAGAATGAATGCTTTCCCACCCATCCCCAAATTACTACTTGTTTAGTTCTTCCGGACAGTGGTTCCATTCTTGTATAAGTGGCAAACCTTGTAATCATGCACTTGCTGGTAATATAATTTTTGTTTTAAAGTGACAGTGCTTTTTGCTTAGCCAGCACTTGAGTTACAAAGGTTTTCTTAACATGTAACTACGTTTCACATAATTCTTGAGAATTACATAATTATGCCCTTTTAGGGGAGGAAACCAAAGCACTGAGAGAGATAAGTGATAAGGAAATTTATGTTAGAGCTGGATTAATGTGAAGAAGTGGGCCTCCCTATGTCATTGCTTTACTTTCTTATTTAAAAATCACTCTATAAACCCCACATTTCCCTCAAACTGGGCTCAGTTTAGTTTTGCTATAAATTGCTTTTAAATAAAACACTTTTGAATGCAAATTAGATGTTCAAATCACACTGTCCTCTATGTAATTTTCTTAGGCTTTTAGCAACTTTAACCCTCTGTCAATTGCGTTTTCTTTCTTCTGCTGCTGTAGTATTTTGCTTATATCTTGGCTTTGATAGTTAACCTGGCCTTGTCAACAATTGATGCCTGTATTATTTTATGGATATCCTTTTAATAATACCCTGGTAATTGGGTAATTAGGGTTATTTAAATAGCATGTTTTATATATATATATATATATATATATATATATATATATATATATATTTACACACACACATATATGTGTGTGTGTGTGTGTGTGTGCGCACGTGTGAGAAAACAAGCAGCATAGTTTGGGGGACAAATATTTGTATTAATATCTTATTTTGAGGTGAGCTCTTTTTTGTAAAATTACATTATATTACAATTCAGGAAATCAATAATTCTTAGTATGTTAATGATGCAATACTTTTAAATATGAGAAGGGCCTTTTAAGACTTGCAGCCAAAATAAAAATGATAGGAAATGATAAGATGGATGGAGACTGTATCACCATAACGTTTTTGGTGTGGTCATTTAAAGTGGATTTTAGCATGCTAGGAGCTTGTTGGAGGTTAGCCGCATGTTTTATTGTATTGAGATTGTATTTGACAGTTTTCATGAAATACACTTTTATATTCTGCATGATGGTTTGTCAGAGGGGCACAATGATGTGGGTGCCAAGTGTTATTCCTATTTCTTTTCTTTCAGCTCAGATGCAAAACCATTCCATGTGATTATATAAATGCCGAATTGTGTGCTGGTCTCTTCTCTGTGCATCTCTAGACTCTCTTTTTATCACCTCTCTTTCTTTGTCTGCAGGCCCAGACTGATCTTGCTTCCTTGGCCTTTATCCCCTTGGCTTTCCTAGACACTGCCCTGTGCTGGTGGATATCCTTCTCATTGGCTTGTATGATGGCGGTCCATTTTCTCCCCTTGAATATGGGTTTCCATCGATCTTTCTGCAAAGGGTTTTTACCGGTTTTGTTGATTACTTCTTAATCTGGGGATTAGGCTATTTCTGTTTATAAACCTGAGAGCTCAGGTAAGCAGTTTTGTGTGTGTTTTTAATTTTGAAAAGTGCTGGTAACTGTGGGCGGAACATAAAGATAAAAGCTCTGGTTTTTGTTTTTATTTTTAAATGAGCATTTTTACCTCGATTTTGGACTTATTTGTGCACTCCAATTAGTGTTACAATCACTGACTACTCTGCTTCTGCTCTTTCTTTCAGCCTCTAGGAATTATTAAATGCTTTGAAATGATGAAAAGATTTTAATTCTTAAAATGTGATTTCAGGAACTACATAAGATGGTTTGACTCTCTTAAAATTCTATGTAGGTTTAGCAGATTATAACCCTTATAGCAGGGGTCCTCAAACTACGGCCCGCAGGCCACATGCAAATACAAATATTGTATTTGTTCCCGTTTTGTTTTTTTACTTCAAAATAAGATATGTGCAGTGTGCATAGGAATTTGTTCATAGTTTTTTTTTAAACTATAGTCCGGCCCACCAATGGTCTGAGGGACAGTGAACTGGTCCCCTGTTTAAAAAGTTTGAGGACTCCTGCCTTATAGGGTAAGTGTTTTGTACCTTTATTCAAAAGTTGACTTGGCATTGTCTGAAGACTTCTGCTGTAAAATAAATGTTGATTAATTTACAGGCAAAGTTAACCAGTAGATAACAAACATATTTACATTTGAATAATCTTTTTCTCCTGCTGCTTAAAATTAGACATTTGTTTATTAGGGACTTGACCTGTTAAAGGAAGGATTCAAGTTTTTGGACTTTAATCTTTTTGGGGGTTTTAAAAATTTGTTTTGGTTGTGGTATATTCAGTCCTATATGTAATTGTGCGATATTATTGTCTTGCTAGACTGTGACTGTTATAAAAAACTGAATGTAAACCAAATTGTAATTTTGTGAATTTGAGTGGATTGTCATATATCAAAAATGTTTGAAATTGAGTGTCTTGGGTTTAAATAGCCAAATGTTTTCTAGGTCAGTATCTTTCAGGTGTGCCTTTGTAAGCCTCTATGAATATTGGCAAGAATGGAGAGAGGCGTGGAGAGAGGGACTGGACCATACGATAATGTAACCAACCCAATGGATAGGGAGCAGCTAAGTCACTGTCACAGGGCAGACTAAGGTCCAACTCATGTATTTTAATATTTGCTGATTCTCAAAGTTGGACATGAGAGCAGATATTGTCTTTGGTAGTCATCACTTCCCCTCCTGTCTTTCTGCGGCAACTTCTGCTTGGGAATAATACCCTGCAAATAGAAAGTTGCTGATTTTAGAGCCTTTTGCCTGGGATTTTCAGCCAATTATAATTGTATGGTTCTATTAATTCAGAATTGAACAGGCAGCTGATGGCACAGGGTACTGACTATAGAACTCTGAGAGGTTATTGGCATGAGTGTATTCATGACCCTAGACTGGATTCGCTAAGACGTAGAAAACAGAGCTACCTACCTTAAAGGAAGAGAGATTTTACTAATTTTCATTTCATTTGTCTGTTACTTGTCTGATACTCATTTTCATTCATTTTTCTTCCATTTGTCTTTGTTTTTCATCTTTGTTTCTCTAAAAAGCTTATTCTGGTCTTTCTCCTTTTTTATATTTTTTATTTTTTGCATTTTTATTTTATTCTGATTCTGTATTCTCTTCAGTATCTCATTAAAAATGAAGACTTTCTTAGTCACCATGGTGAGGCTTGGGGTGTTTGTGACATTGAGAATAAGAGAGCTGTAAGGCCTCTGGGATATCCAAAGCTCTATCAATATGACCCCAGATTCTCAAAGAAACTTGAGGATTAATTTACTAGCTTATTGTTTTATTTGAATGTTGATTTCCTTGACCTGCAAACACATATTTATTAGCCTGACTCAAACAATGAAGCTATTAAAACTTCGGAGGAACATTGTAAAACTCTCGCTGTACCGACATTTCACCAACACCCTCATCATGGCAGTGGCAGGTAAGTGGGAGCTTCTTCTTGCTGTTTAAATGCCATCCTTTTAAAACAGATATTCTGAACCTGAGAGGCCATAGGTGGGCTCTCTAAAATTATCTAGAAGGTTTTGTACATTTCACTTGGGGGAAGGATCTTTGTCTTTTAGCTTTTGTCAAGTTCTCGGGGATCTTTGGTTCAAAAAAGATTGCGAACCACTTATTTTAAGTATAATAGCTAAAAATCAATTATATATAATTTCAGTTCTTGTATATCTCTCTCCTATCTCCGTTCTTTTTCGGAGGCATTTTTTTTTTTCTTGAGGCAAGTTAGTTTGAGTGCCATATAGCATCTAGATTCCTTTTAGAAAACATTAATACTGGCTTATTTGGCTTTATTAAATACCTGTGGGGTTTATTGCTGTTATTTGGCTTTTACATATGTCATAGCATCCATAAAATACAGACATTAGGTAGGCCATAGCCAAAGTAGGTTAATTTAATTTGCCTGCCTTTTGCCCCTTGTACCAGGAATGGGAGGTCTCGCCTATGATTGGAACCAACAACTCTGTCTTGCAGTAATTTTATCAACCTTTTTTCCCCTCCTGACCAGCCAAAGAAAAGCTGGCATTATTATACTAAGGATGAAGGAAGGAAAAAAAAACTATATTGTTGGTAATGCTGGGAAATACCATGTTTTCAATACCTTCTTTTCCAATTTATGAGGATTACTGAAGTAACCAGATAGTAAAATTAGCCTTTAAGTACAGAAAGGGTTGACAAGTGTGTGGGTCTTGCTTATAGTAGTTGTAAAGGAAATTTGCATTGAATAAATTTGTTAAAATCACTTGATAAAAAATGCTTGTGATATTTTGGGTGTTAGGAATGTGTGGGATTTCACTTAACCCAGAGAATGTAATTGGGGATATAAACCAGTATTCATATTCTGACTAGATTTTTCATTTCCTGTTAGCATCTATTGTGTTTATCATCTGGACAACCATGAAGTTCAGGATAGTGACTTGTCAATCGGTGAGTTATAAATACCTGCATTTATGAATAGTGTACTGTTTTATATGCAGATAGCCATGTTGATGACAATGGTAAGGTTCACACCCTACAAGAAATTAGGGCTAGGACTCTACCCTGAGTGTTAGAATGCTTCTCTTCTCCTATGTATTTTATATTACTATGGCTTTTGGTATGGTAGGATTTTTTGTTTGTTTTGTTTTAGGGGCGGGGGATCTAATTATCCCAATGGTGGGAAAAATTTTTATAAGTGAAAAACCACAGTCTGTCATAACCCAATCTTATCTTAACTAAAAATTCTCAAGAAATTCAGAATCCTAAACATTAAGTGTATATGAAGAATGCTAATCTGAGTAGAAGTCATGCTCCTAAGATCTGAGTACAAAGATTGTGGCCAATTTCTTTGGCGGTGCAAAGCCTCCATTTTGGTAAAAATAAATTAATTAATATGAAAATTATAAAAAGTAGCAATCTAATAAAAACCCTTCCCCAAAGATTCTCAGAGCTCTAATGAAGCACTCACAAGTGCTCTACAGTTGGTGCCTTTTTATTCTTTGTATTTTTTAAATATGTTTTTATTGATTTTTAGAGAGAGTAAGGGAAGTGGATAGATAGAAACATCGATGAGAAACATCATCGATTGGCTGCCTCCTGCACGCCCCCCACCGGGGTTCAAGTCCGCAACCCCGGCGTGTGCCTTGACCAGGAATCAAACCGGTGACCTCCTGGTTCCTGGGTCAACACTCAACTGCTGAGCCATACCAGCAGGGCTGGTTGGTGCCTTTTGAAAAGAAAAGTACTGATTGATTTTAGAGAGAGGGGAACATCAATTTGTTGTTCCACTTATTTATTTATGCATTTATTGGTTGATTCTTGTATGTGCCCTGACTGGGGATTGAGCCTGCAACCTTAGCTAGCTAGTTGGTGCCTTTTTTCTAACAATAGTAAATACTACAAGGGAAGAAACTATGTTTCTTCACTTTTGTATTCCACTCACTTAGCACAGTGCCTAGCACGTAGCAGGCTCTTAGTAAATGTAAGTTGAATTAATAAATAAGTGATCCTTGTTCTATGCCATAGGGCTTCTGAACAAAGGGATAAGATAATGTAATATGTGTTATATTTTTTTCTCTTCGGTAGGATTGGCGGGAGCTGTGGGTGGACGATGCCATCTGGCGGTTGCTGTTCTCCATGATCCTCTTTGTCATTATGGTTCTCTGGCGACCATCTGCAAACAACCAGAGGTTCTTGGACACTTCTTATTTACGCTGCTAGCCATTGAATGACGGTGTTATCAAATAAGGGTGGTGCAGTGGGTGTCAGTGTCAGGGTCATGTCATATAATGGAAGGAGGAGCACTCACTGGGCCAGACTGGAATCAGGAGAATTAAGTTCCTTTCTCAGCTCTTCTATTAATTTGCATTGTGATTTTTTGGCATGCTGCCTCTTTTCACCAATCAGAGCTTTAATTTCCTCTTTGTATAATGTGGGGGAATTGAACCAATTGATCTGAGGTCCCTTTCATTTCTGACAGCTGATAATAGATGTATTTGAATGGGAAAATAAGGAAGGTAGATAGATTTGACACTGGTAATGAGAGTTGTACCTGCCTAATGTTCAGAAGGAAAGAACAGTTTCTATAGTCAGTAGCCTAGCCCACTTTGTAACAATAGAGAGGGTAAATGAAAACTTATGTGAATGACTGTAATTAAAAATCCACGTGTGAATTTGCTTTGCCCATCTATAGGCAAATCTCAATTATTTAGGAATTGGCTGTCTTAATTTTGTGACTCTATGCCTTTATTTCCCTTCTCCCCCCCTCCCCCCCACTTTTGTGCGTGTAGACAGTTAAAAGTGTAGATTACACAACTACCACCAAAGAAGGAAAAGGATTGAGATGCTATAACTAACCAGCTAATTTTGTAATTAGACATACCAGTAAAATATACAGAAAGAAAACAAATGACATTCTTTTATCCCAGGAAAATAGTCTTGTCTTTTCACACTGTACTCTTAATATTTGTGTTCCTTGAAAAAAGTTGAAAAAGAATGGTGTGAAAGAAAATGCTGTTCAGAAAGAGCCTAGACATCCTGGTGACCATCCTTTACATTGATCTATTCCTCTGTTCACATGCTAGCTATATCTATGGATGAGATGGGCAAAAGTAGGTTAATAGTTATAAAAAAAAAAAGTTTACTTTTTATTTATTTTTTTATTGATTTGGGGGAGAGAGAGAGAGAGAGAGAGAGAGAGAGAGAGAGAAACATTGATGTGAGAAACATCGATTGGTTGCCTCCTGTACACACCCTGACCTGGGGTCAAACCCACGACCTAGATGTGCCCTGACTAGGAATTGAACCCATGACCTTTTGGTGCATGGGACATTACTCCAACTGAGTCATACTGGCCAAGGCACAGTTTATTCTTGTATTATTATTTATTAACTAGAGACCCAGTGCACGAATTCATGCATGAGTGGGGTCGGGCCGGGCTGGCGGGATGGAGGGGCTGCGGGTGATTGGCCAGCTGGCCCCACCCCCATGTATTGGGGCCGATCGGGGCCTGGATCAGGCTGGTTGACTGTTACAATGCACGTCATAGCCACAGGCCGTTCTGGTTGTTCTGCTGTTCTGGTCGCTGGGCTTTTATATATATACTAGAGGCCTGGTGCATGACATTCGTGCACTGGGGGTGGGGGGGGGGAGGATTCCCTCAGCCCGGCCTGCACTCTCTCGCAGTTTGGGATCCCTTGGGGGATGTCTGCCTGCTGGCTTAGGCTCGCTCCCCATGGAGCCAGGTGTGAGCCTGGCTCAGGGCTTCTGGCTGAGTGGGGGAGCATATTGACCACCAGGGAGTAGCTCCTGCATTGAGCGTCTGCCCCCTACTGGTAAGTGCGCATCATCATAGTGACCAGTCATTCCCCAATCAGTCAGTTTGCTTATTAGCCTTTTATTATACAGGATAGATATTATAACTGTAAACCTACTTTTCCCCACCCCTGTATAAAATTAGTCCCTTCAGTCATTAAAAGATTTTTTGCTTTACCTCTCTTCTTCCTTTCTGTCTTATCTCTTTAAAAATATTGTGCCTACTCCCTATAACTCCAATGTTACCAGCCTAATGTGATGTGTCCTTCCACATTTTACTCGTTTAAATATGGGCTCTTCTTTTACTCAGTAGTGGAAATGCCTTTCCAAGACAACTGCTTTAAATTAAACTTAATTATTTTCATGTATGGCATAATTTTACATGGTACAGATGTAGTACAGTTAATTTACTCATTTCTGTATTGATGGGCATTTGGACTATTTCCATTTGGGGTGGCCACCCGTATGTTTAGAAGGACTTAAGGGACTCAGTATTTTCTTGTATTTAGAACAGAGTGGTTTTTTTACAGAAAAATGATGTGATCAGTAAGGGAAAAAGACACAGGTGGAGTCTAGAAAAATTCGTATTTTCTTTCCTTTCTCTGAGGAAGTATATCAAACGTGCTCTTTTCCTCAGCAACAAAAAGTGCAGTAGCAGTGTTTCTGTTCAGGGAAGCCCATTAGAGACTCAGCACTCAGGTTTTTATTGGGACTTGACACATAAACACCCTCTGCTTAATATGTACCAAAATTCCAGGTTCCCAGAAGGTAAGCAAAGCTTATTATAGGTTGAATTATAGAGGTAATCTAGGCACAGTGATCCACCCTTACCCAGTTATGAAACAGGTCCAGTGCCAGGTTCCCAGACACCAGCCATGGGCATCCAGGTAAGTAGGCTCTCTAAAGGCCTGCTTTGTTACCTCTTACGCATAGGGGTCATTAAAAATAGGAATAAGGTACAGTGATGTTTTAAATATCCTTGTACATCAATTCTTAAACACTTCAGTATTCCTTTGCCTAAATTTTTCTCCATCATACTTATAACTATTAACTGTACCCAGAGTTTATTGGTTAACTTTAAACTTTTTAATGGTGTTCTTGGTTATAGAAAAACTTGAAACTAGGGAGTCAAATTTGTCAGTTTTCCCCCTCAGGGATTGTATATTTTGTGTCTTAAGACATCCTTTCCTAGCTTGAGGTGAAGTCATAGTTATTTTATAATTTTTTACAAATTTTATAATTGAGATTCCATTTATCAAGAATTATTTGATTATAGGTTTTCTGTTCTCTTCAGTTGCTCTGATCCTGCATCAGTAGCACACCTAAGTAGTATCTGGAGGGCCAAACCATGCTCCCTCAATCTCCTTTTTTTAAATGTCCTTTGCTATTGGATCTTTTGCTCCTCAATAAAATACACCTTGATTGTTTAATTCTAGGAAAACCTTGTTGGATTTTTATTGGAATTTAATTGAATTAATGGATTAATTAGGGAAATCTTTTTAATCCATCTTTGATTATGGTATATGTCCATTTTTTTTAGTTCTTTCAATGCTTCAGTTACGTTTTATAATTTTATTTAAATGTTTTTGAAAGTTTTTATGGCTCTAGGATACATACTTTAAAAATAATACCAATGACTTTCCCGAATATGTTGGAAGGCTTTGGGCTTTTGTATATTTATCATATCCATCCTCCCTCCTACATTACTTTGTTAGTGCTGATAATTTTTAGGTTTTCTCGGTAGATTGGTTATTAGCTAAACTAATGATAATGTTATTTCTTTCCAAATAATCTTGCTTAATTTCTGATTTTTGTGTTGGCTAGGCTATTGAATTGAGGCAGTGAGAGTGAGACTCCTCATCTTACCACTTTAAAATAAGTGCTTCCAGGTCATCATTAACTTTGAAAGCTACTGTGAAATTTTGTTAGTTAACCTTTAACATGTTACAGGTGTTCCCTATTATTCCTAGTTTATAGAGTTTTCTCTTTTAATCACAGAAGGGAGATTTAAAGACAAGGTAAATGAAAGTAACAGGCAATAGTAAGTACAGAGCAAGTTCAAAGATAAAGCATTCTAGGAATGACCTGTCTGCTGAGTCTCTTGGAAACTGTAGGAAAGATATCTGAGATGTATCTGATTAGGCCTTCATCTTCCCACTTCCACACTTGGAAACAGATTTTAAATTACCTGAAACACACAAGATCAGAACTTCCATCTCAGCTACCTCATTGAAGGCTGAGATTTTAAATTACACGAGAATTTACTTACCTCTGGATGATAAATGAACATTTTTTAAATGCTTACTGTGTGTCAGATATTACTTTAAGTACTTTTTAAAGTGACTTATTTACTTTTCAAAGAACACCTCTGAGTAATGTTCTGTTATCCCCATTTACAGATGGGAAAACGGGAGGTGCACAGAGAGAATAAAGAATAAGTAACTTGATTAAAGTCATGGGTAGCATGTAGCTGAGCCTGCATTTATACACTGAGTGGCCAGGTTATTATGACCACCCCATCAGTACTTCATTTACACTTCCAAAAATACTGAATATTGAAAACTTCCTAAGCAAAACTCTCAAGGTTTTATTATTATTATTATTTACATAACTAATTCACTTCATTGTACTGATGGGGTGGTCAAAATAATCTGGCCGGTCATAATAATCTGGCCACTCAGTGTAAATATGGTACTGTCCTGCTTCTCCCTTGCTAATACAGGCTTTCTGAAGGGGAAGAATTATTTTATTATTCAGTTAACTGATTTTATGAATGACTGTAATTGGGAGCTTCAATAATCAGTCCTGTAAAATCCAGATACTGGAGCAACTGTTGTAGTTTTCTCATTTTTTTCCTTATGTTCTTCCTTTGTTCTCTCAGGTTTGCCTTTTCACCTTTGTCTGAGGAAGAAGAAGAGGATGAACAAAAGGAACCCATGCTGAAAGAAAGTTTTGGTAGTGATAAAATTTACCTTTTATTTGTGCTTTAAATATTCTTTTCTGGTTTTTAGAAATGGAGTAAAGTTGACCCTGAACAACATAAGGGTTAGAGGTGCTGATTCCCCATGGAAAATTCATGTGTAACTTTTGACTCCCCCAAAACTTTACTACTAATAGCCTACTGTTGACTGGAAGGAAGCCTTACTGATAACATAAAGTCATTTAATACATATTTTATATATTATATGTATTAAATGCTAGTCTTACAATAAAGGAAGCTAGAGAAAAGACAGTATTATTAAAAACATAGGAAAAAAACACATTTACTGTGTTTATTGAAAAAATTTCACATATAAGTGAATCCACACAGTTCAAACATGCTTACATTTTTAGTATCAAAATAAAATACTTTGATGTAATTACATTGTTTACTATTTTACAGCTGTGTGGGGGTGAAGTTAGGGAGAAGCAAAAATAAGGGCATGAATCTTAGGATGAAGCTATGGTAAATTCTGTAAATAATTGGTTATTAAGTGTTCAGTTAACTTACCAGAGATAAGCTGAAAATTTGGCTTTGAATTTCCCAGCATAAATGTAAAGATAGAGAAGCATCTATTGTATAAGTCAAGGTCAGTAAGCTTAAAATAAAGCTCTGAATTCATTTTTGTGATCATTGCTAGATATTGACATAATTAGCCAATCTCCTTTTTTTTCCTTCTACAGAAGGGATGAAAATGAGAAGTACCAAACAAGAACCAAATGGAAATAGTAAAGTAAACAAAGCAGTAAGTGTGACTTCTTTTCTTTCCTCTGCCCTGCCCTCCAGCCTGTGGTGGAGCGCAGTAGTATGTGCAGGCCTTAATGACTTTCTTCACCTGGGCTGTACTTAAGCTTGCTTTATAAATTTTTTAATGTCTATTACATTTACTTTTTTTTTTAAATCCTCATCTGAGGATATTTTTTTCATTGCTTTTTAGAGAGAGGGGAAGGGAGGGAGAGGGGGAGAAAGAGAAACATAAACATTGATGTGAGAGAGACACACAGACTGGTTGCCTCCCATACACGCTGTGGGGGGTGTACCCGCAACCCAGGTACATGCCCTTGACAGGGAATTGAACTGGTGACCTTTCATTGTGTGGGCTGATGCTCTTACCTCTGAGCCACACCATTCAGGACAACATTTACATTATTAAAAACAGAGACAGCAAGTGATTCTATCTAGGATAGAATCTTGAACTAGGTGGTTTGCTTATGACCTGAAAAGGTACCAGATCAGTCTCTTGGTTTTGTTTAATGGTTTTTATCAGTAAAGTCATAGCCTCATTAATAACCTAAAGTTTTTTCTGTAGTAAACTTTAGAGTTTTTAGTCAGCATGTGTGTGTGTGTGTGATTTGTTAATCCTCACCCAAGGATGTTTTCCCATTGATATTTAGGGAGAGTGGAAGGGAAGGGGAGAGACAGACAGAAACATTGATGTGAGAGAGACATAGTGATTGGTTGCCTCCCACACAACCAGGGCTGGGGATTGAGCGTGCAATGGAGGTACATGCCTTTGGCCAGAATTGAACTCGGGACCCTTCAGTCTGCTGGCCGACACTCTGTCCACTGAGCCAAACTGGCTAGGGCAGATTTTCATTTTTTAGAACTGCATTTACTCTACATCAAGGACTTTATCTCATTTTTAAGAAGCAAAGCTTACATGAAATGAAAGCTAGGTATTAGACCCTTGGGCAGAAATCATTTAAGGATATAGAACATCATTTTACATTTTGGTGATAAAGTTTTTAAGTTATTTGACTTTACTGTTAGCAGTCCCATTTGTTATGTCAATATACTACTTCAGAGTAACAAAAGATTAAATTTAAAGATTTTGAGACCTTTAGATTCTTGTCTAAGATGTATTATTTTATGCTAACAACTGGTACTTGTATGTTCCCAGCAGGAAGATGATTTGAAGTGGGTAGAAGAAAACGTGCCTTCTTCTGTGACAGATGTGTAAGTTTTTGAATCATTACTAAAAGAATCCTATTTCACAGGTAGTACTGAGGGCCAGGGTACACTAATGAGAATGTTTGTAGTTAACTTTTCAAAAGAATAATTAAAAACATTAAAAAGATGTTTAAGAATAAAGATTAGGAATGATATACGTACAAACAAAAGTAATTGAGATTATTCAGTCAGATGACATTTTGTTTAGAAAGTTTAAGGTATAGATGTTTCCAAAATCAGTGGGATAATTCTTTTGGAATATTTTTTTCTTTTTCATAAAGATTACCGTCTACATTCAATAATATTTTGTACTAGTTTCAGGTGTACAGCACAGTGGTTAGACAATCATATACTTCACAGAGTGCTTCTCTCCATATTTCTAGTACTCACCTGGCACTGTACATAGTTTTATTACAATATTATTGACTATATTCCCTATGCTGTACTTTATACTGTGACTATTTTTTAACTACCAATTTGTACTTCTTAATCTCTTCATCTTTTTCACCCATTCCCTCAACCTCCATCCATCTGGCAACCATCAGTCTGTTCCTGTATCTATGAATCTGTTTCAATTTTGTTTGTTTATTTATTTTTGGAATTTTTGACTTCTTTTCCATAGCTATAATTTCATTTTTTTTAAAACATTTATTTGTTTATTTTTTAATGTACTTTTATTGATTTCAGAGAGGAAGGGAGAGGGAGAGAGAGATAGAAACATCAGTGATGAAAGAGAATCATTGATCAGCTGCCTCTTGCACACTCTGCACTGGGGATTGAGCCTGCAACCCGGGCATGTGCTCAGACTGGGAATCGAACTGTGACCTCCTGGTTCATAGGTCAGTGCTCAACCACTGAGCCACGCTGGCTGGGTATAGCTTTAATTTTATTAAACATTGGTTCTATTACAATACAGAACGTGTTTTTGTTTTTTAATACAATTTTAGTAATTTTGATTCTTGTTTTTTATTTGTTCCCCCCCAAATAGCCATTAATAAGATACAAATATTATACACTTAACAAAAAAAATGCTTTATATTGCATTCATTATTCCATTGTCCTTTTTGAACCTCATTTGGCTTTATTTTACATTATTCTATTTGGTGTTTTTCTCTCTGCAGAGCACTTCCAGCCCTTCTTGATTCAGACGAGGTTAGTAATCAGATCATGTGCAAAAAAATATGGGTCTATTGACTTTATAGGGAGTCATAAGTTCTTTGTTCAGGGAGATTTTATTTGACTCAGTAAGAGTATCATTGAACAGGATGAGAACAGAAATACTAACATTAGAACTCAAATATTCAGGAGGGTTTACTTTCTGTATATGTCCTCCTTTTCCAAAGTTTTATGGTCAGACTTGAGAATGTCTTTAATTTGGGTAGCAAATAACCATACTGTCCCACTTTCTACTTCCTTTGTCTTTAAGAAATTCAGTTTTTAAAAAAAAAAAAAAAAAAAAAAAAAGAAATTCAGTTTTAACCCTTACATAATCTAGGAAAAAATAATAAAAGGATTGAGAAAGGAATATCATAGACCAAAGCAACATATAAGTTATTTTAAGTTACCTATTATTCATTATTGTCTATGCAACTATCTCCTTCATATATTAAGGATTATAATTAGTACCTCTGATGTTTATTTTTTAAAATATATTTTCATTAATTTCAGAAAGGAAGGGAGAGGGAGAGATAGAAACATCAATGATAAGAGAGAATCATTGATCAGCTGCCTCCTGCACGCTCCCTACAAAGGATGGAGCCTGCAACCTGGCCATGTGCACTGACTGGGAATCGAACTGTGACCTCCTGGTTAATAGGTCCATGCTCAACTACTGAGCCATACCAGCCGGGCTTATGTTGATTTTTAATCTTAATATGCTTCCATACAATTCATCTGAAAGGCTTCACAATAATTGCCTGAGTTAATGGGAACTAGTTCTGGACATGTTCTGAATATTGGGTTACCGTTAGAGTCTTTTGGTTTCAGAAAGCCTTTTGAGCACAACAAAAAATTATGGTCAAGAACAAATAAAATGACCATCTTAACGAGTCTCAAATGCAAAGTGTTAACTATATTTCCATTCTTGGGCAACAGATCTCTAGAACTTTTTATCAATGTAATTTTAGTGAGTATAATTTCTTTATAAGGATATACCATAGTTTGTTTGTACAATTCTGTATTTTTGAACACTTAATTTTTTCTAGTATTTTATTATAATTTTGAGTGTTGCATTAGAAATTCTTGTGACTAAATCTTTGCCTGCATCCCTGACTATTTCTAATTCAGTTAAATTCCTGAATTAGAGGAGGTACACATTTTTATTAAAGCTTAATCTTAAGTAAATTGTTGTTTTATCATCTTATTTGACTCTAAAACACGCAATTCCTTTTGATTTGTGGTTTGATGTACAGAGGCCTAGAGATTTTGATTTGGTTAATCTTGTGTGGGGCCTGGACGTGTCTATCTTTCAAAATCTTCATAAATGATAGGAATCATCTCTCCTAAGTATTTAATGAACATAAACAAGTACTTGCAGGAATGCCTGTGTGCCTCATCTATATAGAAGATATTTGGAATGTAGGCCATTTAAATTAATGTATTTTGAACAAACCTTTTTATTTTTTTTCTCTAGGAACGAATGATCACACACTTTGAAAGATCCAAAATGGAGTAAAGAGTGGGAAGATGAGCAGTTGAAGATGCTAGTATCTGGGAAGAGATCATCTTCTGTCAATCCTCTGCACTGCTCCATGGATTAAAGGAGGCAATGACATCCTGATCTGTTCCTTGATCTTTGTGCTTTGGAGCTGGCGAGAGGTGTCAGGACTAGAACATCTTATTGAATGATGTTCGTAGGATGAAAAAATTCTGCAAGTTTCTTATTTACAACATTGATGCCCCATTCCCTCCCACACCCTCACATGGATGTTGATGCAACTTATGTGTGTTCTTCCTGAACCTTCTATGATGTTTAAATTGTTTAATCTGTCAAACTAAAAAGTTCAACATCTTTTAAAAAATGTGACATCACCAACATAACATGTAATCTCCAGGAGCAACTGCCTGCGATTTTTATTTATTTAGGGAGTTACATAGGTGATGGGGAAATTGTTAATTATCTTTCCATTTCCTGGGAAGCCAAGGTTACATCTTGAAGAGGTAGTTTTGAGGAAAAAAAGTCCTTATGACTTGAGCCATGGTTCTACCAATAATTAAAAGAAAGAAAGAAAAAAAAGAGCGAGGGAGAGAAAGAAACTGTTACAGTGTAATTCAGATAATTTTAAAAAGCAAAATCAAGTGCAATTTTGTTTACAAATGGTATATATTAAAGATTTTTCTATTTCAGATGTACTTTAGAGAAAAATATTAGCTTAACTCTTTTGACATCTGCTATTGTGACACATCCCATTGCTGGCAATGTGGTGCACACTCCAGAACTTTTAACTACTGTTTTGTAAGCCTCAAGGCGACATTGCAGACTCCAGACATTGCTTTGTTTGCCTTCATTCACTGGGTGTTGCACTAGATGCAGAGAGGCACGCCATCTAAGTGCTTGTGAATGAGCACCCTGTTAAAAACTCTAATTCTTCAGAAGCAGGAGCTAATACAAAGGAAACAGGTCCTTCTGGTTTAAGTTTTGCTGCATGAAGTAGTATGGAGACCCTGGACTGCTGCTCATTCTTTGGGGTAAACGGTTCTTGTATCTGGTGTTGGTTTAGAGACTGTTTATAAGAGACATCACAAGGTGATGGGATTCATTTGAAGCACTCTATTTCTGTTCTAATGGTTTTGTCTACTTTTGCCTTCCAAGAGTTTTGTTCTACATAGAAAGTTCATGCCGTTTTTTAATATAAAAAATTTTAACAAAATTAATGTGTGTTTTCTGTGTCTTTTTTTTTTTTTACTTTATCTAAAACCCTTCTTTCTCCCAAACTCTCATGGGAATTTTCCTTCCATGATTTTTATTCTATATCGCCTTCCTATCTGTTGAAACCTATAACCACATTACCACAATCTTCACTAATTAATACTATAGTAAAAGTGTTTACATTTATGTAACATTTCTCTACAGCTGTTTGTGATGTGTGTGTGCGTGTTTTTAAAATATATTTTTATTGATTTCAGAGAAGGGAGAGGGGAGAGAGATAGAAACATCAGTGATGCCCTAGCCGGCTTGGCTCAGTGGATAGAGCGTCAGCCTGCGGACTGAAGGGTCCCGGGTTCGATTCCGGTCAAGGGCACATGCCTGGGTTTCGGGCTCGATCCCAGTAGGGGGCGTGCAGGAGGCAGCCGATCAATGATTCTCTCTCATCGTTGATGTTTCTATCTCTCTCTCCTCTCTTCCTCTGTGAAATCAATAAAGAAATATATTTTAAAAAAAAAATCAGTGATGAGAGAGTCACTGATTGGCTGTCTCCTGCACTCCCCCTACTGGGGATCGAATCCGAAACCTCGGCATTTGCCCTTTACCAGAATTAAACCTGGGACCCTTCAGTCCACAGGCTGACATTCTATCCGCTGAGCCAAATTGGCTAGGGCTGTGTTTTTTTGTGTGTGTATTTTTTTAAAATCACTAAGGCAATACCTCTAAGGAACCATATGAGAAATTGAGTATATTCTTAGATTAACCCATTACAAAGGGCTGATATAATTGTCATGCTTCTGTTCTTCCATACTAAAACTTAGCAAGTGAATAATAGTCATAATAGGATAGTCGGTCAAATGTGTTTTGAGGCTGGTTAGATGCCGACTTGAGACCAGGAAAAAAACCCCACAAAACTATTGTGTTAAGCAGTTTATAGATGTAGCCTGGGACCTGATAATTCTTTTTCTATGGCTGCTTATGTGATTGTATATAGTGTGTCATTTTTTTAAGAAGGCGTTCAGAAGGAATTTATAGTATTACACTGACTTGTTACCTTATAGTTTGCATTGTTTATTTTAGTCTTAGCCCTTGGTCCTGGAACTACAGGTATTATTAGGCTTCCTTCCAGTAGAGCAGCTGGCAATGCTAAATTTTCAAGGAGTTCAGTTTCTATGGTAAAAATCAGACAACATACGGTTTGTTTAGCATTTTTTTTTCTTACTAGAAAATATTTGATTATCAGAAATAGCATTTGATAAAGATCAGACAGTATTCCTAGTTTTACAGTGAAGAAACTGAGATTGTGTAAAATTAAAATGACCAGGCCATCTTTAACTCATCATAGACTCACCCTTTTTTTCTTTTACATTTTTGCTTTAAACCAAATGCTTAATTTTATGACATACCTGCTGTTTTCTTTGTTGTAAATTGCTAGATACTGGTCATTGCAGTGCTTCTCAAACTTTCAAGTGCATGGGCTCACCTTGGGAATCTATTAGACCACTGGGCACCCCCCCCTCCATCCTGCCACTCTTCAGAGTTTCTGATTGAGTAGGGCGGGAATGAAGCCTGAGACTGCATTTCTAACAAGTTCCCAAATGCTGCCAGTCTAGGGACCACCCTTTGAGAACCACTTGCTTGGAACACCTTTAAAATGTAAGGGTAAGGCTGTGATTATAATGCTAATACTAAAACTATCATTTATTGAGTCAAGCATTGCTAAGAGCTCACAGCGCTAGGCAGGTACATAAAGTCATCGTTTTGCACATTAAGGAAATTTAAGTCCTTGGGAGATTAAATTTTTTAAATGTCACAGCCAGTTTCCTAAATGGCAGATCTCCGTCCCAGGTCTGACGCCAAAGCCCGAATTCTATACTTCCTAATCCTGTACTTCCACCACCACACTATACTTCCTAACACAGTTCTAAGATTCCATAATTTTCCCCCTTTTTAAGCCCATGGCTACTCCATAATGGAGGAGCTCTAGGCCTAGGGTGAAAGGGGAACCCAAGCATTGGCGCTTTCCTTGAAGGTGATTTAAGAGCTAGGGCGGAAGGGGCGGGCTCCGGCTGCGGAAGGGGTGGGCTTAGGCCAGCAGGAAGTCCGGTGTTGGTGATGTCTCTGCTGCTGAAAGGCCTGTAGTTGGGGTCTCCGGCCAGGTTCTGCTCGGCCCTTTCCTCAGCGCGGTTCTGCTCACGGCCCGGCCCGGCCCTCTCAGAGCGAGGCTGTCCCGGCGACTCTGCTCGCCGCCATGCACGACGCCTTCGAGCCGGTGCCGATCCTAGAAAAGCTGCCTCTGCAGATCGACTGTCTGGCAGCCTGGGGTGAGTCGGAGGACCGAGGGCCGAGGCGGGGGCCCCGGCAGCGCGGGAGCGGCACGGACCCCTCACAAGCCGGGGGAAGTGGACGGGCGTCTGGCGGTGCGGGCTCCGGCCGGACGCGGTCCGAAAGGGAACTGCGATGAAGGCGAGCAGAGCATTGTAGACAGCGAGGGCTCTTAGGACCATCCGCTGGGATCCAAGCATTTTAGGGACGTGCCGCCGGCACTTGCTCTTGGTGCAGAGTTGGAGGTTGAGATTTCCTTAATTGTGCTCAGCTTTGGCTTATTTCGATTCCCAAAAAGTCTTTAGTGTGGAGGCACAAGCAGTGGGAAGCTTTCAGCCTGCCAGGAACTTGAGCTTATCTGATGATTGTGTTGTACTGGTTTGGGGGGGAACAAGAGGGGTGTGTGGGGGGATGAAGAGGAGGGGGATTGGAACAAGTTAACGCCATATGCCATTTTCCCCTTAGTGATCATTCATTGTTCACTTCTCATCATTGTAGGTAACTCACGTTGTTATTTAAACTCTTAATCTAACCCAGCGATTTTAAGCCAGTGTGCCACAAGAATTTGTAAAGTACTCACTACCTGACTATTTAGTCAAGGGCACTGACCTCTTTCCCCTTAGATTGTAAAAAATAAAATAAAAAATGAGAACAGCCAGCACAACAATAGCCGTCCGGAGTGAATGAGTGTTAAAAATTGTACATTTTTGGTCAGATCAGCAAAAAAAACAACAACAGTTTTTGGTGTGCTGCAGAATTTTAGTAATTAGTTTGTGTGCCATGAGATGAAGAGGGTTGAAAATCACCAATCTAGTCAAATGGTTCATTGCCTTATATTCAAGTGCCCAAGTTACCTTAACTCTGTAGGTAGAACAACATCATTCCAGGCTGTCCTGAAATTTAACCCATAAAAACTGGCATAAGCCTCTTGGGAGTGGCCAGTACAGAAAATAGGGCCAGACAGCTCTTATCTCTAATATACTGTGGAATAAAAAAGGTTTCAGCGGTCTAAACTTGGACTCTTAACTATGAACATTATGACTGGTTGTGTCTAACAGCCCCCAAAGACCAAACTGAAATAATTTCAGTTTTTCCTGTTCATGTCCAGGTAAGAAATCAAGGACTATAAAAAGGTAGCTCAGAACCCTTAATCAGATCTTATACTGAGGGCCTGGTAGGAATCTCAGTGGTGGCTGGCATTTTATGCATCATCTTATGGACAGCACCACCCAGTCAGCCTTGCCCGTGATGGGCCTGGTGGAGTCTTGGTGGTGGCTGGCATCTTATGCATCATCTGTGGACAGTACCACCCAGTCAGCTTTGCAGAGTTCTTCACAACCTCTTCAGTAGGGTGCGTTCACTACAGATTTTCATGTTAATGTACACCCCTCCTGCCTTAGCAGCCCTGGGCCTCTTTAAGATCGCATCTCCATAGTAAGCAGTCCTCGTCCTTTGGGTTAAGGAGAGAATCCTGCTTCCTCCAGATATCTCAAGAAGGCCTCCATTTTCTGTCATTAAGTGCTCTCAGTAAGAATTTAAAACTTTAAAAATGAAAGACCTGACACTGCACAAAGGGTTTCATCCCCCTATTTCTTCATCAGATATGTATTAAGTACCTACTTACACCCGTCTCTCTGCTGGGGACAGGAATAAGGATGAATAAGACACAGTGCAGTGCTTCTGGGACACACAGTGGGGGACAAAGACAGAAAGCAGATTATGGTACGAGATAACTGATAACAGAGTCATATGCTGCCTATTAGGAAAACATGGAGGAGGGCTACCCAACCCTGCCTAGGACTTGCGCTTCTGAAAAGGATGGGTGTAGTTGGTTACCACACTCTACTTCACTTGTCACAATTTGATTCAGATACCCTGTGGAACTAGTAGTAAACATATCTCAGCCTCTCTCACCAACAACACTTTGTCACAGTAAAGATTCCCTCCCTGTACCTGTGCTTTTCAGGAAGACAGGCTTGAAATGGTAGGTAGCTTTGGACCTGCCTTGATCTTCCACGGAACAGGAGATATGCCTGTTGCCTACTAGGATGTTGTGGTAGGTTTTGGGGCTACAAGAGGCCATTTACTGCCTCTTGCCTCAAAACTGCTTTATTTTCAGGTTGTTTCCACCTTTTGGATATTAAAAATAATGCTACTATGGAACATTTGTGTAAAAGTTTTTGTGTAGATGTATGTTTTCATTTCTCTTATTTATATGCCCAGGGGTGGAATTGTGAGGTCATATAGTTATCCTATGTTTAATCTTTTGAGGAACTGCCAGACTGTTTTCTAAAGTGACTGCACCATTTTATATTCCTGCTAAGAATGTATGAGGGTTCCAATTTATTCCCATCTTCATCAAGACGTTATCATCTTCTGTAACCTTAATATACTATGGCACTTCTTATTTTCCCAAAGGTTAACTCATTAAACTTTCAAAGGATGCCTTTTAGCTGTCATTTCTGAGATTAGATACTTAATTTCATGTTTATGTTATCCATTTTAGGATTTTATAAACTTCCATGATGTTTTAGGGCAGTTTAATTTAGAAACAATGAAGCCAGGGGCATTTTTTTCTTCTCTAATATGTCTAGTCTGGTAATTGTTGAATAAATGCTTTTTTGACTGGTTGATTCTCAAATAGTTCTTGACTATAAACATTCTTTAGCTTTGCAAACACCTGCTACCAAAAAAACCACAACTCACTTTCTTGACCCTTTGATTCGGATTACCACCCCCAGATAAGAAAACAGGGTCTGACAAAAGCTGACCGATGTTTCTCATTTCATTTCTTAATGAAAAGCTCTTTTCTTTTCCAGAGGAATGGCTTCTTGTTGGAACCAAACAAGGACATCTTCTCCTCTACAGGATTCGGAAGGATGTTGGTAAGTGGCAACTTTCCAGAACTGGAAAGAAATGGCTTACTATCCATGCAAAAAAAAAAAAAAAAGTTTTGATAGTTGGCTAATGTACAACTGTAAAATCAGTGATTTCTGGACCATTAAAAGAGTGGGTGGGGATTGGGAGTAGCACTGTGGGAAAGTGAGGAGAATTGTATGAGAATCTCCAGGGTTTTTTTTTTAAATTTTCAGACCATATGCCCCTGTGTCCATGGGGGTGGCGAGGCCAGGGTAGGGGGGTTAGATGTTCCCCACTTCCTTATATTTTGGATACTTCCTGAAATAAGAAATAAGAAATGTTACGTTGGGAAATAAGATGTTTCTGTAAATGATCTGGTAGTAGGAAAAAAATTAGGAACCTTTGATTTAAAAGACCTTATTGATTATGTGGGGTAAACTAGGAGAAAAAGGATCTAGGTTTGAGTCCAACTTTATTTCTGTTTGGCTACTTGACTGAGTAGGGCCTTTCCAATGTCATTTTTCCCTTCTATAAACTGTCAGTTTTTATCACATACTTGTTGGGGTCAGATTCAATAAAATGTTTGAAAGAACTTAAAAAACTGAAGTTCTAATTAAATGTGCCTTGGAATAGTAACTAAAAAGTATGTGAAATTTATTCTGTTAGAGGACCCTCCAACAGAAAAAAAAAAAGTATTTCATTTCCTTTTCCTAATTTTATTTCCCTGCTCTCTTTATGGAAAATTGTTGTTTGGATATTATGCCCTGGAGCTTCAAGTCTGTAGAAATCTGCTGTTAATGCCACAGTAGGTTGAACCCTATGAAATTGTCATTATTCAGCCATATTAGAAAAACAAAATTTCATAGCTTTCAACCTGATAAATAACTTTCTATAGTAAATTACTTAAGGAAACATGGAAATAGAGCCTTCTCTTTAGAACCTAGAGCAAAGGTCACATAGGGGGAAAAGAACATCTTACTAGTATAGGGAAAGAGAAAAATTATTTCCCCTCTATTCATTTTAGGTTCATTGGCTAAAGACCTATAAATCAGACGGACAAAGGACAGATTAACAAGAGGAAAACAAGTAGAGGTTTATTAACTTGTGCATTTTACGTACACATGAGAGCACTCAGAGATAGTAAGGCAAAGGGGTGATTCGAACTTGGGCCTTTGTATCATCCTAACAAGCAAACAACAAATTTTTAGAGAAGTAACCAGATAAAGGAAAAGGACTTGTGAGTTTCTAGAGTGGCAAATTGTGGGAAAGCAAATATATGGAGATAAGTTTGCTATGTAGATTTCTCTGCTGCCATCTCTGGGCTGATAAGGGTCTTGAGTTGTTTCCAGTGATTAAATTCTGTCCTTCCTAATAGAAAGGGGAGAGCCAGCTTTGTAAATTTATGTTGTGCTTTTAGGCAAGTAGTAGAGCAGAGAGCTTTTTGTTGTTGTTTGTTTTTTGTTTTTGTTTTTATTGATTTTAGAGGGAGAGGAAGGGAGAAGGAGAGAGAGAGTGAGATATTGATGAGAGAAACATCTATCAACTACCTCCTGCATGCTTCCTACTAGGGATCGAGCCTGCAGCCCAGGCAGACACCCTGGACAGGAATCGAACCGGCACCCTCTCAGTGCATGGGATGACACTCAGCCAACTGAGCCATATCACCCAGGGCAGAGGGAGTTTGTCTTATATCTGCTTCTTCTTAGTTGCCTTCAGCTCAAAATAATTCTTAAGCCAAAGTAGCATATTTGGGGTGCATATTCGTCTACCCTTCACTGGTGCAATAGGAAGAGGAGGAAGGCACCTGCTGTGGTGCAGTGAGAAGAGAAACCAGAAGTTCAAAACAGAGCGTTTATTTCATTTCTAAGTATTTCAACTTTGTTTTCAATCAGCAATCAGCAAACTTGTACCAAAAAGGACCAAGTAGTAAATATTTTAGGCCTTGCAGGCTATAAGATCTCTGTTGTGACCACTGAACTCTGCCATTGTAGCAAAAACGTAGCCAGTATGTAAAAGAAAGGGCATGGCTATGTTCCAATAAAACCTTATTTACAAAAACATGTCAAAGGCTGGATTTGACCCAGGGGCAGTACTTTGCTGGCCCTTGCTATAAGTTTTTAGTTTTCAGAGCCAGAATATTTGCATTCTGTGACATCTGTCCAGTCTATAATTTGAAAATTAAGCTTGCCTTGGATTTTATTCAGCATTCAACAGCTGTGTTTTGACTCTACTTTGGGCTCAGATACTATGCAGAACAGGGAGATAAGAGCCTAATATTATTTTTCCCTAATAAATAAGTAGTTCTTTGTACCATCAAATACAAGTATTACAATAAAGCCACTTGTTTAATATACCATTTCTGTGTAAGTGGTGAGGAATTGACAACTAGACTATCAAAATAAATCTTTCAGCATAGTATGGACTAAAACTGATAATATTTGTGTTAATCTGATGTGGACCCCTGATGGTGACTGTTCCTTGTCCTGTGATCAATTCACCATGTGCCCTTTGACAAGTTAATCTTCCTGGGCCTCAATTTTCCCATAGGCAATTTGAATAGCAATATTAGCCTACCTTAGACTATTAGGAAATCAAACTCTGATTAGAAACTCTTCTTCTTCCTATACCCATATAGAGTAGTTCAGTTCTGGCCTAGCTCTGGTCTGCTTAAGGGCCAGAAATAGGCCTGGGCCTCCGTGAATCAGCCATAGAACTAACTCGGTTTCTCAACTTGAGATATTATAAAGCTGGAGAGGTCTGCAACTAGACTGTCTTCTGAGGAAAGGGAGTGGGTAACAAGGTATCATCCAGTATTAAGGGGCCTGGGTTCTGATCTGACCTGAGCCATCTCCTTTAGCTCAAAAGTCTCTAGGCCTCATTCTACTCATATCTTAAACATAGGGGTTAGATTAGTTCACATCTAAGGTCTTAACAACGTTAGGTTTGCTTCAGTGGTGCTGTCTGCCCTAGAGCAGTGGTTCTCACAGTGTGGTCCCCAGGTCCTTTCAGAGGATCCACAAGGTCAAAACTAAGTTCACAGTAACACTAAAAGATTATTGTTTTTTTCACTAACAGTTACTGACATTTGCACCAATGATATAAAAGTAACGGTAGCTAAAACTGCTGACCCCAACCACACTGGCGTGACTCAGTGATTGAACGTGGAACTATGAACCAGGAGGTCAGGGTTCGTTTCCTGGTCAGGACACATGCTCGGGCTGCAGGCTCAATCCCCAGTAGGGGGCTTGCTGGAGGCAGCTGATGTTTCTGTTTCTCTCTTCCTCCCCTTTCCTCTCTGAAATCAATAAAAATATTAAAAAAACACAAAAAACTGCTGGCCCCTTAGCACAAGTTCAAGACAGTGGTCAACAAACTTGTTGCTACCAAACTGTACTAGTAGTCGTGTTTTCTCCATCATGCACTCACAGTGGTTTGGGGTTTTGTTTTGTTAAATCCAGTTTCACTTAAGAATATTCTTTGTGAGGCAGTAAAAATTCTTCATTTCATTATATCTTACCTATGAGAACACATCTTTTTAATGATCTCTGTGATGTCATGGGAAGTTCACATAAAGCTTTTCTGCTGGGTGCCCAGGCACGAAGCACAGTGGCTGTCTCAGTTTGGAAGAGTACTTGTATGTTTGAGTTATGAGCCGAACTGGCCACTTTTTTTCACGAAGCATCGCTTTTGCTTGAAAGAATGACTGACAGATAGATTATGGTTTTTCAGATGATTTGTGTATTTGGTAGATATTTTCTCAAAAATAAGCAAAGGGAATCTGTCACTTCAAAGAAAACAACTGGCATTTTATTATTATTTTTTTAATATATTTTATTGGGATAGAGAGTTAGAAACATTGATGAGAAAGAAACATCAACCAGCTGCCTCCTGCACACCCCCTATTGGGGATGTGCCTGCAACCAAGGTACATGCCCTTGACCAGAATCAAATCTGGGACCCTTCAGTCTGCAGGCCGACGCTCCATCCACTGAGCCAAACCTGTTAGGGCACAACTGGCATTTTATTGCTAATGATACAATAAAAGCTTTCAAGAGAGAATTGGAATTGTGGAAAACTTGTACGCACTCCCATGAGCTTGACAACTTCTCAATACTAAAGATTTTTTTGATGAGATTGGGACAGGGGATAATGAATGATTTTTAAAAAAAGTATCCTATAACAAAATGTGCCCACATTTGGAAAATCTGCATAATTCAATATTCTCCAGTGCATGTAGTTTCTAAATCATGAGTAACAGATCCATTTAAAGTGTATGATAGACCAATGGACTTTAACAGAAAAGTTCATTAACAGGTTTCAGATTCCACATTGTAAGAAACTTCATTTGTCAAGTTTTGGAACAGTATCAAAGATGTCACAGTTAATCTAGAAAAGCTATTAAAATATTCCTCCTATATCTAACTATATGCCCATGTGAGGACAGATTTTTGTCCTATACTTCAACCAAAACAGTGTATCAAAGCAGATATGAGAGTCTAGCTGTCTTCTGTTAACCCAGACACTGAAGAGATTTGCAAAAATATAAAACAATGCATTTTTTAAATTAGGAAAAATAAGCTCTTTTTTTGGTTAAAATATGTTGTGCTAAATGTAATGGATTTATTGCTTGTTATTTTTGAGTTAATAAATACGTATTTAAAATTTTTTCAGTTTTAATTTCTAGTGTGGCAAACATTGCTAGTTATAACCCACATAAAAGTTTTAGGGTCCTCAGTAATTTTTAAGATTATGAAGGGGTCCTGAGACCAAAAAGTTTTTAAAATCGTTACCTTAAAGACAGGGGTGGGGAACCTTTTTCTGCCAAGGGCCATTTGGATATTTATAACATCATTTGTGGGCCATACAAAATTATCAGCTTAAAAATTAGCCTGCTGTATTTGGTCAAACATTTAATTAACTCACCCCTAATGCCTTGGCAGGGCCAGACCAAATGATTTCTTGGGACTCATACGGGCCCCTTCTTTTTTAACATTAATCATTCAAGAAAAAATGATTTTAAATATAATATTTTTATATGCAATATAAAAATGCAATAAACATTAAACGGCCCCTTCTTCATCTTCCCTGCTGAGTTACACATGGGGGAAGTGTGACCAGCTTTGGTGGCATGGCCCTTGTGGCTGCCTCAATGAATCCCTACCGACTTTGGGGTGGGCAGGAGCCCACCTAGGGTGGGAGCAACGGGTCAGCAGTGTGAGCAGTTTGTCCACACGCTGAGAGGCAGGGAGCAAGGTGTGGACTCCGCACAGGCTGGACGGTCAGCCCTGAGTTTGTTCTGGGCTGTCATTCACTTGGCTGCTAGCGAACTGCTTGACCCATCAGGCCCCTCAGATAGGAAATTGGAATAATAGTACTGATTTCTTGGGGGTAGTTATGAGGTTACAGAAAACACTTACAAATTTTTAAACCCAATTAATGATAGCTGCTGTTATGATTAATTATTTCCTTTTTGACTCTTTGGTGACTTTTGAGGCTGAGTATGTTTATCATCCCAGCAAGGCTGGCTTCACATATTTTTATGGTACATAACGTTTCCCCCTTTTTTGCAACAGTGCCAGCAGCTGCGGCATCACCTGAAAGTGGCAGTAAGTGTAGATGCGTTAAATTGCTTTAGCTCTGGGGATGGTGTTGAGTGTGTTTGCTCTGTCCCAGAACATCGGGTAGCAGCTAGGAGTTGGTTGGAACTGGATCTAAGGCTGCTTTGGGCTGGTTTTCATTGCTTGGACTCTTAAACATTTGACTGTTACTTTTTATACTCTTTTTTTGTGAAATACTTTGCCAAGGTACTATTTTGTAGGATAAGACGTTCAGACTCACAAGTACCTTGCAGCGTCAGTAAACTTCTGTGGTGTCGTACTGTCTGCTAATGCCAAGTGGAAGCGCATGAAATCCTCTGCTCTAAAACTGGAGTTGAAAGCAACGTACTGTACGCAGTAAAGACAGCTGGCTCGTATACGTCTCTGCCTTCTAGCCTTTTAGGAACTGTTGAAGATCCCTGTGGGAGAGTGTATGGAGCAGCATTTTGTGTGGTCGTTTCTTTGTATATGGCCCTGTGTTTGGAACTGTGTTTCTTTCTTTCTTTTTCATAGGCTGCAACAGGTTTGAAGTGACACTAGAGAAATCCAATAAGAATTTCTCCAAAAAGATTCAGCAGGTAGGCAGTGATGGTGGTTGCTACATTTATATTTGACTTCTCTGAGACTTTGTCAGAACTAGAACTTCGGTAACATCATTTAACTCTTTGAATCCTCTGCTCTGTCCTCCCATTTATTCAGGGGTTTCTGTCTATCCATCATGTGTCTGAGATCCTTTCACAAGCAGAAACTGTGATTGCACATAAATAATAAGTCAGATCCCTATTATTGGTGTAGGTTCTTTAGCCCCTTTTTGGTACTGTAGTTAAATGAATGTTTGTTAACCCTTGTCAGGAATGTTTAATGAAGTCTAATGATTTGCTGTTTTCCAGATCCATGTGGTTTCCCAGTTTAAGATTCTAGTCAGCTTGTTAGGTAAGAAAGGGGGCTATGATTGTATTTCATGTGTCAAAAAAACACAAGCTATGACCTAATTAATCCTTTCATGGTTCATTTGGTAATTATTACTAACAATGAAACTGACATGTTCCAAATCCTATATAATAAAAGGCTAATATGCAAATCGAACGAATGGAACAACTGGTTGCTATGACATGCACTGACCACCAGGGGGCAGACGCTCAATGCAGGAGCTGCCCCCTGGTGGTCAGTGTGCTCCCACGGGGGGGGGGGGGGGGGGGCGGGGGCGGGGGGTGGTGCCGCTCAGCCAGAAGCTGGGCTCATGGCTGGGGAACGCAGCGGCGGTGGTGGGAGCCTCTCCCACCTCCATGGCAGTGCTAAGGATGTCTGACTATGGGCTTAGCTGTCATTTGGACATCCCTCGAGGGCTCCTGGACTGCAAGAGGGTATAGGCCTGGCTGAGGGGGGGACACCCCCCCCCCCCAGTGCACGAATTTCATGCACCGGGCCTCTAGTAATATATAACAGGCTACAGAGGTAACTAAGGCAAGAACAGCCTCCATAAACTTGAGCTCTGTTCTCCAAGAAGTGTCACTTCATTTATTCACTCATTCATTCATTTATTCATTCAGTAATCAAGCAAATATTCATTGAGACCTATTCTAGGCATTGGGGATACTATGTTGAATAAGACCTGGTTTCTATCTTGTGTTCCAATGTGAAGACTGAAATGATAAAAAGTAATCATGATACCGTGTGGTAAGTTACAGTGGAGAGTTATAAAACGTGTTGTGGGATCTTAGTAATGGGAGGGACAGCATTACTTAGTGGGTGATTAGGATTGTGGCATAAAGAAAGTGGTAGGAAGAGCGTTATAGGCAGAAGACAGAGCTTAAGCAAAGGCCCTGAGAACAGGCCAGACTTAGTTGGAGAGGGGCAAGAGGCAGGTGAAAGACCGATCAGGGCCAGGCTGTCCAGGGCCTTGTGTGAAGCCAGTCTCATGGGTGGCAGCCAGTGAGGACTTTCCTTGGCAAGCAGACTAGAAGCCTGCTGCACACTCGGTACTGTTCAGCCCAGAGCCCAAATGGTAGAGTCATTTTAAACTTGGGCTTAAAATGGAGAGGAGCATTCATGACAGAAGCTAGATCGAGGCCTGAGTGAAATCCTTTTGTATGCTTTGCTAGAAAAGAAATCCTTGCAATTGGTTTGTACAAAATCCATGGGGGTTTCCTTTCTCTTATTGGAGCCTCCCGATATAAGTAGCTTTGACAACCATTTCTTATACAAACATTGCATCACAAATTTCCAGACTTGAGAAGGAGTATGAGAGTGCTTTGGAAGTGAAAGAGGTCTTTTATTTAAGCCAGCCACAATTTAAAGGAACAAAACATCCAAGTTCAGAAGACTGAGTAACCTCTTCCTGTTTTGTAACAGACCAGAGTAAATCATTGTCAGTGAAACTGAAGGTACATCTACAACCAACCCTTGCCATTTGGTTCTGCTGGTGGTTCTAGTTTTGTCTTTGTCTTGAAGGTGGCTGTATTAGAGAATTGTGATAATTTATTGTGATGTTTTGCTTCCTTCTAAACAGAAAATAATATTTATGTCCATGACCTATTGACATTTCAACAAATCACTACGGTTTCAAAAGCAAAGGGAGCATCGCTGTTCACATGTGACCTCCAGGTAAGTGTAGGCAAGATGAAATTCAACTTTGTGCTTAAAGAAAAAGTCTTTCCTCCATCATTTATACCATTAGATGGGAAGAATAACATTGATATCCAGTCCCAGCAGAGACTCTAAAGAGAATATTTGATTTTGGATTGTATTAGAGAAATTTCCCCATTAGTATGTAGTCTGAGGTTGAAGCATTTGCATTTCTGGTATGTGTGCTAATTAAAGCACCAGACAGCTGTATGGCAGGAGGCAGCTAACCAAGGATAAAAGCACCTGTGATGGAGAAAACATTACTGGGAAGTGAACCATGAACATAGCTGTGAGACATTAAATTGACTCTTATTCTAAGCATATCATCGTGGCTTCTGTCTTTAGGGAGCTTTTGTCATTCAGGAAAGACATTTCTCATTTTTTGCTAATTCACCACCCTTATATTCTTTAAAATCTGCCTTACCCACAACTTTGATCACTTTTTAGCATTTATGATCTGCATTGTTTTATGCATAGACATTTTCTTTACCGCCAACTCCTTTTTCTTTTTAAATTAAAAAAAAAAGATTTCAGAGAGGGAGAGGGAGAGAGAGAAACATTGATGAGAGAATCATTGATCACCTGCCTCCTGCACACCCCCTACTGGGTGATTGAGCCTGCAACCCGGACATGTGCCCTGACTGGGAATCAAACTGGCAACCTCTTGGTGCATGGGATGATGCTAACCATTGAGCACACTGGCTGGGTCTCCCCCCACCCCCCACCCCCCCGCCAGCCTCCCACTACTTCTTTAAAGGATTGAAAGTGGCCACTGACCATGCTGATCTCAGATCCAGCATGAATTGACAGCCATGAGTGAGAAGCATTTAAAGGAAAAAAGGGAGGAAGCGGTTATGTAGGTAAAGGCCCGCCCTGGGATTTTCCTCTCTGAATTGTGAATGTCCACAGATTTGCTGGTGCAAGGGCCTCTGACCAGCAGCCCGTGGGGGGAAGTGCTCTCAGTCTGTTGTTTCTGAATACATCTTAGAGAACGGTATTCTTCAGCTCATGATGGGATTTTCAGATTAGTAGCCATTTCAAGGTAGAAAATCTCTAATCTAGTTGTCATTCAGTGATGGAGTAATTGTGTGCATCCTCATTTGCTCTGGGTGTGTATTTGCAGCACAGAGAGACTGGAGAGGAGGTGTTGCGGATGTGTGTCGCTGTGAAAAAGAAGCTGCAGCTCTATTTCTGGAAGGACAGGGAATTTCATGAATTGCAGGTAAAGTTCACTGTCACCTGGTCCATAGGTTGGGTGGGAGGTCCTGCTTTAGTTGATCCACAGCTTGAAAGACTAATGGTTCAGTTGTAGTGAAGGTCATGACCCCAGTCTTGGAGTTCTCTCTGGATGAGTGCTCTGCTGTGTATACACAGAGCTTCCTCATGCCCCTTGGTCAGAGTCTCGTGGTCTTCAGAGGCAGCAGCAGTACAATTGTACAGATTGGTTTTTTCAAAGTGAGTTTTCACCTTTCCAAATGCACCTTGTCCAGTACTTGGGTGACTTACAGTAAGTCCTCACTGAACGTTGTTGATAGGTTCTGCAACTTTAAGCAAAATGACATATAACAAAATAGGCTCATTGCTATAAACAAGAGTTAAATTCCTACAGCATCTTGTCAACATTATAACAAAATGATGTTGTTGAAATGATGTTGTTCAAGGACCAGCTATATTTTTATTATGGGTGGTTTCCTGGTCTTGTGCTTATGGAGTTGAATTCAAATGAGGATGAGGGTGATTTTGCAGAATGGGGGTGGAATATTAGGAACGTTGTGATTTTTTTTTTTTTCTTTTAACATCTTTCCAATTGAACTCCTGCTCTCTTTCTTCAGGGGGACTTTAGTGTACCAGACGTGCCCAAGTCCATGGCGTGGTGTGAAAATTCTATCTGTGTGGGTTTCAAGAGAGACTACTACCTCATAAGGGTAAAAATTATCATTTTGCAAATATCATCAGTTTGCTTTGGGGAAGAAGATTCTATGCTTCTGAAGTATAAGTCAAGAGACTGCCTAAAGTAGAGTTTTTGACATAAAAGAGTTTGTGCTTGTATGTTTGATTATTTTTCATGCTCTCAGCATCTTTCACAAATATGGTGTCTGTGTATCTTAAGCCAGGCAGAGTCAGCTCTCAGTTCTCTACATAATGAAGATCCACTTACTGAATCGAATTATTGGAACAGATCATTAGGGCTGTTTGCACCCAACAGCATTATCATGGACTGCTATTTTAGTATTAAGTATTTTTAAGACTTGAGATATCTGCCTCTGTTAGTATATTTGTCTTAAAAGTTATTTTCATTGCTTTTTTCTAAACTTCAAAAGCCATATGTATTTATTATAGAAAATAAGAAAATACAGATAAAAGGAAAATAAATGAGGTGCAAATCATCCATAATCCCCCCACTCAAAAATAATCACTGTTAATCTTTTGGTATATGGGCTTCCATCCTATTTATAAAAATACCATGTCATACATGTATATGTATTGTATTATATATGTTATGTAATATACAGTATAACCTGTTTTTTCTTTTCACCTAAGCAGTAAATATCCATGACATTGGTCTTTTTTCCTCCACTATGCACTCTATATGTACCCAACTATAGAAAAAGGTTGATAACCATTCGTTTTATAATCTAAGTTTCTTAGCTTCATATCCCTCTCATAATCCAGACTTGACAGTTCTAGAAGCCGTTCTCCCCCCACCAAGTTAGCTCGTCATTATTTATCTAGTTAATGTATTTGTTCCATATTTACATTGCTGGAATATCCTACCTTTTACTTTTATCAACATCAGAGTTGCAAGTTCGTAAAGGAGTTACTGGTGTACAGTTGACTGAATAGCAAGCTTGCATCTAGGCATATAGTTGCTAAGAGAAGTCTCGGGGATGGGAGACAGCCAAGAGTTGGAGTGTTTTTATTAACTGACAACCTCGGGTGCTTCCATCTCCCACTTAAGGCTAGAGTCATTTGAGCATGGAAAATCTTGCTATGGGACCAGGATATTTACAAGTTATTCATTTATTTACATATAGTAAAATTCATTGTTTTTGATGTGTAGTTCTGAGTTTTGACAAATTGCCCAGAGTTCTATAACCACCACCACAATCAAGATTTAGAACAGTTCCATCACTCCTGAAATTCCCTCATGCTGCCTCTTGGGGTCAACCCTCCTACACTCAGCCTCCAGTGATCTATTCTTGCTTTTGCCAGATGTCATATAAACAGAATCATCAGAATCATATATATGACTAGTGTACTGTAATGCATTTGACATCCGCCTGTGTTGTGTCAATATATTCTTTTTATAGCTGAGTAGTATTCTATGGTATGAATGTATTATAGTTGGTTTATTCATTCATCAGTTGAAAGGCAAAGTTGTTTCCAATTTTTAGCCATTATGATAAAGCTGCTATAAAATTTGCATATGGGTTTTTATATAATAAAAAATAAGTTTCACTTCTCTTGGGCAAGTGTGTAGTAGTAGAATTGCTAGGTTACATCATAAGCGTATATGTAACTTTAAAAGCAACTAACAAACAGGACGGCTGTACCATTTTGCATCCTCACCAGCAGAGTGGGAGCGTACCAGTTGCTCTTCGTCCGGGCCCGCACTAGACGTTGTTATTTGCCAGGCTAGATGCTTGTCTCTGTGTTAGGGAAGAAGAGAACTGGTTCTACATAGTGATGACAAAATTTTTCTATCAAATTCTATTTGCTATCTGTTTCCTTGTGCCAAACAAGGACTGTTTTTGACTTCTGTAGGTTTTGGGTTTTATCTTGATTTTTCCAGGCCGTGTTCGTGCCTCGGGTCAGAGAATGCTGGGTGACTGATTCTGTCTTCCCGCAGGTGGATGGAAAGGGGTCTATCAAAGAGCTCTTCCCAACAGGAAAGCAGCTGGAGCCCTTAGTTGCCCCTCTGGCAGATAGAAAAGTGGCCGTGGGTCAGGATGATCTCACCGTGGTGCTCAATGAGGAGGGGATCTGCACACAGAAATGCGCCCTGAACTGGACGGACATACCAGTGGCCATGGGTGAGACCAGCAGTAGCTGCTGCTGCCCGCTTTGGGCTAGGGCTGTGTGCCACCTTCGAAGAACGGAAGAATGGCTTTAGCAGACTGTGGTTAACAGTGTCATTCACTCTCAGTTCCCCTTCTTATAACTAGACAGCTGATGTAGGGTTATTGAAAATGGGATATTCTGGTTTTTGTAGACAGCTGATGTTTGCCCCAGAGGCAGGGAAAATCTAAATAGAATTGCACATTTTATAAGTAATTGTCTGCTGCTATCTTCTTCGTTTATTTTTAATGGTTTTGTTGTGTCCTCTGCCAAGTAGTGGAAATTCCTTATTTATTTCTGTAATACATATAACTCAGTATTGAAGGGTTCTCACATGAGGGTTATTGCTGCTGTTCTTGTAGCTGAGAGGTGCAGACTGTGTTTAGGTGTCAGTCTCTGTCCGTCGTTTCTGTCCCACACCTGCCTCAGGCTCCCAGCTCTCTGCGAAGGGATTGCCAGTTGAAAGAATGAACATTCTAATAACAGTTACTGCTATGGAATGGGACATACAAACTTTAAGGACTTTAGCTCTGGACAAACTTAAATGTTCTAAAAAGTTAACAAAACTGCTGAAGTCACTGCTTAAGGTGTTAAATTGGATGAGCTGAGATTCAGTAGTTCAGCTCTGAACTCCCGAAAGGGGAAGTTCATTGTTCAGTAGTCAGGAGGTAGTTTCATTACGTCGATAAGATTGCACTAGACCAGCAGGGAATTTAGGACCTGGCTTAAAGAAAAATTCCCTTTCACTCCAGGTAGAAAGCATAGTTTGAAAAGCAAGTAAAATGTAGAAGACATGCTGCTCTGTGAGAGGGCATGCCAGAGACTGAGCTGGCCAGACCAGGGTCTGAATTATGGAAGAATAAGGTTAGGGCCAGTTGCTAGAGGCCCATGCCAAGGTTGGAGAGGCCAGTACATTCCTCAGTGGTAGAGCGTCTTGATAAAAGCATCAGGTTCTAGGGTGGTTATTCTAATGGTGGTTAGAGACTAATAGACCAGAGGAAGAGAAATCAAAAGGCTGGTATTTGATAAGGCCCAAGGTTATGCATATTAGTGAGTTTGAGGGGCTAAGAGCTTCCCAAGTGTTATATTGTAAATCAGAAGACACCTTAATCAATTGGCCAAATTAATTTGGAGTCTTTTATTTTTACGCTAGTACTAATGGGCTCAGAGTAGAGTGTCTCTGTCAAATTCTGGGCCCTAAATAGAGGAAGTCTTTTCTATTTATACTCTTTTCAGTTCTTTGTCTTCCAAATTTGGTACGAGACTTGCGGACCTTCTGAGAAAAAGTCCTGTGTGCTGGGACAGGGCCGTGAGACCATATCTCAAGGCCTGGCCTGGCGCCAGCACTGACAGCTCTGTCTGGGGCATAGTTTATGACCTCTCTGGAGTGGCGAGTAGTCTTATTTTCCCTATTATTTAAACAAGCAAATGTTTACAGAAGCCAGAATAGCAGGGTTAAAGTTTTAATCAGCAGTTTTTACCCAAGGAGGTTACTGTGCTTCCCAAGAAGCTCCCTGATGTCCTAGGGGCCCTGTTCGGAAGACCGTTTGGATTAGATGAAGGTGTGTGTAATATGCTTGGAGTTTGCTCTGGCTCCCCGGCATGAGCATCCTGTTCTAGACCTTTGTCGGTGCCCAGCGCCCCAGCAGTGTTTCTCAGAGACATTTCTGTGCCTTAACGTTCTGAAGGAGAGTGCGTTCTTTCCGGGGAGGGTGGGACTCACCATCTGACAGGAGGAAGACTAAGCCTAGAATGGCTTACATTTTAAACCGCACTTTTATTTCTGCTCGCATCCTAACTACTTCACACAGGCTCCAGTCATTTTCCTTTTGTTTTGTTTTTTAATCCTCACCTGAGGATATTTTTGCATTGATTTTTAGAGAGAGTGGAAGGGAGGGGGAGAGACAGAGGGACAGAAACATCGATGTGAGACTCAAGTTTATGCCCCGATTAGATCAAGCCTGCAACCTAGGTATGTGCCCTTAACTGGAATCGAACCCGGGACCCTTCAGTCTGTGGGACAACACTCTCTTCTCTGAGCCAAACCGGCCAGGGCAGGCTCCAGTCATTTTGGATTCCCCCTCACGGCCATTGTCTGCACTGTTCCCTTTTTCTTTCTTCTCACCCAGCAGCACCCTGCTCATATGACAAGGCCCCATGCAGCGGCACTTCCTCTATGGAGGCTTCTCTGACTCACTGGCAGAGCGAGCCACTTCCTCCTCGTTGCTTCCAGAGCCTTTCAGGTTTCTCTGTCACGGCACCCACATGGTCCTGCTGGGTGAGGGAGTTGTCACCTCTGCTCCTGTAGGAGCTCTGTGAGCTCTGGACTCCTCTCCATCCCCTCTGGGGAGGGTCTGAAACATGGCCTTTTAGTAAATGCTTGAGGAATAGATGAATCATGTCATTGTCAGCCAGTTATTATGTCTGCTGCACACTAGCCACTCTAAGTTTTGAAGATACAAAGAGATCCAGACCATTTTTATTGTGTTTGAGAAACACTACTGAAGAGTTGGGGGAGACAGAACAAATGCAATATGACAACAAACAGGATTTCTACTATAGATTACCTTTAAAAAATTATTAGACCTGCCATAGCTGGTTTTGCTCAGTGCATAGAGCATCGGCCTGTGGACTGGAGGGTTCTGGGTTTGATTTCGGTCAAGGGCACATGCCCGGGTTGCAGGCTCGATCCCCAGTAGGGAGCGTGCAGGATCAATGATTCTCATCATTGATGTTTCTATCCCTTTCCCTTCCTCTCTGAAATCAATAAATATATATTAAAAATAATAATTAGGTCCTGACCAGTTTGGCTCAGTGAATGGAGTGTTGGCCTGCGGACTGAAGGGTCCCAGATTCGATTCCAGTCAAGGGCATGTACTACAGGCACATCCCCAGTACGGGGTGTGCAGGAGGCAGCTGATCGATGTCTCTCTCTCTCATCGATGTTTCTGGCTCAATATCCCTCTCCCTTCCTCTCTGTAAAAAATCAATAAAATATATTTTAAAATAATAATAATAATAATTAGACCTTATTAAGATTAAAAAAGAGAAATTTTACATATTTATACAAATTAACACTGAGGAAAATTATACTAGCTTTAAAAAAAAAAATGAGACCAACATTGAAAGAAAATTTAAAAATCAAGGGCAAAACAATGTTTTTTAATTGTGTTTTCTGGTAAGATGAAAAATAGCAGCATAGTAACAATAGCATTTAAATTGATGAAAATATTACTTATGCTCCAGTTTCTTCATTTCTGAGTTCCCTTCTGGCTTTAAAATTTCATTGCACTATTCATTTCGAGTATAAATTACAAATATAAAATCAAAGGCTTTTTATCAGAAAATAGATGAGAAAAATTAATTCATAGCAAGTTAGCCACACTAAGAAACTATTCTTATGAATATGTTCTTTGAGGTTAAATTTCTGTATGACAATTATGTCATCTAATGGTTCATTTTTTATAATTTTTTAAAATTTTATTTTTAATTGTAGTAAAAAAACAACATAAAATCTACCTTCTAAACCATTTAAGTGTATAGTTCAGTAGTGTTACATACATTGCCATGCAACAGATTTCAGAACTTTTTCATCTCCCAAAACTGAAACTTTATACCCATTAAACAACACATTTCTCCCTGCCCCTAGCCCTTGGGAACAATCATTCATTCTCCTTTCTGTTGCTATGAATTTGACATTCTAGATACCTCATATAAGTGGTAGAAAATAGCTGCAATGAGAACACAATCCAGCTGCCTTCTCTGTGAGCCATTAAATGTTAAGTGGAGCCCTGACTAGTATGCCTTCGTTGCTTAGGCATCATCCCATCCACCAAAAGGTTGCTGGTTCCATTCCCTGTCAGGGCACAGGCCCAGGTTGTGGGCTTGATCCCCTGTAGGTGATGTGCTGGAGGCAGCTGATCAATGTCTCTCACACTGATGTTTCCCTCCCTCCCTCTCCCTCCCTCCTTCCCTTGCTCTCTCTCTAAAAATCAATCCTATCTAATAAAAGAGTAATATGCAAATTGACCATCAGTCCAGCACATAAGATTGCCACCACAGATGATCTGCAGGGGAGGGCAGTTGTGGGCGATCAGGCCATCAGGGGAGGGCAGTTGGGGGAGACCAGGCCTGCAGGGGAGGGCAATTGGGGGGGACCAGGCCTGCAGGGGAGGGCAGTTGTGGGGGACCAGACTGGCAGGGGAGGGCAGTTAGGGGTGACCAGGCTGGCAAGGGAGGGCAGTTAGGGGTGACCAGACTGGCAGGAGAGGGCAGTTGGGGGTGACCAGACTGGCAAGGGAGGGCAGTTGGGGGTGACCAGGCCTGCAGGGGAGGACAGTTAGGGGTGACCAGGCTGGCAGGGGAGGGCAGTTAGAGACAATCAAGCCAGCAGGGGAGCAGTTAGGCGTCAATCAGGCTGGCAGGGGAGTGGTTAGGGGCAATCAGGCAGGCAGGCAGGTGAGCAGTTGGGAGCTAGCAGTCCTGGATTGTGAGAGGGATGTCTGACTGCCTGTTTAGGCCCGATCCTGGTGGGCAGTTGGACATCTCTCTAAGGGTTCCAGATTGGAGAGGGTGCAGGCTGGGTAGAGGGACACCTCCCCCCCCCCCCCCCCCGCACAAATTGTGTGCACTGGGCATCTAGTAAAATTATATTTAGAAACAAAAATGTCAAGTGGAGTTTTATATTTCTTCCCTGTGAAAATCTCAAACAGAAACAACAGTGGCCAGAAATGTGGGACTCCTTTTTTTTTAGTATAATTTTAGGGGGAAAAGAAGTTGCACTCCTCTTGCCTCGCTTTGTGACTGATGAGAAAGGAGCAACTGAAGCTTCCACCCAGCTCTTTGGGAGAAATGGTAGGAGTAGGATCAGGTCACTCTTGGCAAAGCTGAGTGCATCCTTTTTGTGTAAGAGATTTCTCTTAGCATCACTCAGGCAAACAACCTTTTTGTCTTTATACATTGCATTAGAGGCCCGGTGCATGGATTTGTGCACCTATGGGGTCCCTTGGCCTGGCCTGTGGGAATCAGGCCAAAAGCAGCTCTCTGACATTCCCCAAGAGGTCCCAGATTGCAAGAGGGCGGTTCTCAGGTGACGCACCCTGGAATTGGGCTCTCGCCTCTCGGGGTCCGGTGTGCGGGTAAAGCAGATTTGGGGCTGACAGTACCCCAGCAGCAAACTAACTCACAGCTGATTCTGCGAGGAATCAGGCTCCCTCCTCCCTCCTCTCTGGGTTCGGGTGCAGGTGAAGCAGATTCGGGCCAACAGTGCCCCAGCAGCAACCTAACCCACAGCTGATTCCACAAGGAATCTGGCTTCCTCCTCTACTGGTCAGAGCGTCTGACCCCTGTTGGTTATTGCGCATCATAGCTACCAGGTGAACGGTCGAACCGTCGGACTTAGGCTTTTATATATATAGATTATAGGATCCTGATTTGGTATTTGACCTGTGGGCTTTTTGGTGATCCCGTTTAAATGCAACTTAGAAATGGGCAACTAACAGTTCATAGACCTAAAGCCTTAGATCAGAACTACAACTCAAGATGTTCTCTTTTGCCCAGAGCACCAGCCTCCCTACATCATTGCAGTGTTGCCTCGATATGTGGAGATCCGAACACTTGAGCCAAGGCTCCTGGTCCAGAGCATTGAATTGCAAAGGCCTCGTTTCATCACTTCAGGAGGGTAAGGAATTTCTGTCTTTGCTGGAACTGCCATATCATTATTCCAAAGCTTTAAAGTCACCTATATTATCACAAAGCCTGTGCCGTTTTGCTGATACTTTTACTCCTGCCTCCAGATCAAACATTATCTATGTGGCCAGCAATCATTTTGTTTGGAGACTTATTCCTGTCCCCATGGCAACTCAAATCCAACAGCTGCTCCAGGACAAACAGTTTGAATTGGCTTTGCAGCTTGCAGTAAGTCTTGTTTCTAAGATTTGGGTGTGAGTCTGCCTTTCTCATTGTTCTCCAAAGTAGGTGATTTGGGTTTAGTTTTTCATATTTGGTTTCGACTGGTAGAAAAGCACAGAGCTGAAAATCTGAGACCTTGGATTCAAGGTCTGACTCTGCCTCAAAGTATCTACAGTAGGTCCTTGGGTTACGTCAGAGATCCGTTCCCATGGTGCGACTTAACGCGATTTTCGCCGTAAGTCGGAACCCACCTGCATAAGCACCTACGTCACTCACATGGACCACATACACAGCAGTAATGAAGTGAAACAGTAAAAAAAATTTAAAAGAAAGATAACAATTCCTGACCTTCACTTGAGGTAAATAAATAATAAAAAACATAAAGCACATATGTACATATGTCGAAATGACGGAACTTTTTCTCTTATAAATAAATGGGAGATGGTGACGTAACCACGAAATGACGTACGTCGAGTCCGACGTAACCCGAGGACTGTCTGTATGTAACTTGAAGTGATTTCACTTTTTCAGTTTGCAAATGTATAATTAATGTCAATTATAATTATAGTACTTCATAGAATTAATAGAATAAAATAATTTAGTAGATTATGATCTGGTCCTGAAAAATTAAGGACAATGCAAATGTTGGAGTAAAGTAACAACTGTAAATGTAGATCATAGTCTGGTTGCCCTGCCAGGGTGGTTCAGCTGGTTGATTGTCCTGTGCACTAGAAGGTCGTGAGTTCGATTCCCAGTCAGGGCAGATACCTGGGTTGCTGTTCAGTCCCTGGTCAGAGTACATACGGAAGGCAACTGTTGTATCTTTCTCACATCCATGTTTCTCTCTCTCTTCCTCCCTCTCTAAAATAAAAACTAAATAAAAAAAGATTCCAGTGTGGTTGAATTATACCACTAGAGGGCCTCAGCATCTCTTTCAACAGTGGATTGTTAAGTATGGACAAGCAGGCCTGTAGGTATTCTACTCTCATCTCAAGTTGCTGCATTCAGCAGGCTGGGCCTTTATATTTATGACTGTCCCTCTCCTTGAATGTTTGCATGGGATGATATTCTCGGCAAAGTAGTGGCCACACTGGTTCCAGCGATGCTCCCAGGGCCAACAGACACCTTGGACACTGGCTTCTGAGGCTTGTTTCTTCTTTTAAACATCCCACCGGGATGTTTGCCTTGGATTTTAGGAAACAACCAAAAGTCATTCTGAACCTTTCCTAGTCACTAAACCAGACGGTGGTAATTTGGTAATAGTGAAGTGTTTATGAAGACAGGAGTTGGAAAACTTATTTCTAGAGTATCTTGTTAATTATTTCTGAAAGGAAAGCAGTTGTCACAGATTTTGGTATTCATATGCTTACGTCACATATAGTGGATATTCTTGAAGAACAACACTTATTTTGGATGTATGAGTTCTGGATTTAAAACTAAAATCTAGTCTTAATAGTTGAACATGTTTAATATCCCATAAATATTCTTTCTTTCTTGGGGCATTTAATGTCAGCATCTTACTATTCTGTTATTTTCCACTCATGCATTGTTCTATATTATTTTATTTATATTTTAAATTAATGAATACCCATTACCTTACTCAAGAAAAAGTACTGATAACTTTGTATGTTCTTCCCCAACCCATCCCTCTGCCTCCCCTCCAGACACACCATTATCCAAAATTATGTGTTTATCATGCCCTTTAAATTTTTTTAGGTATGTTAGAATATGTATTTAGTTTTAAACTTAATAAAAAAACAGTATCACGAAGTACATAGCTTTTTTTAGTATCTATATTTTTCTTAACACGAAGGTTTCAGATCTTTTCAGTGATCTTCCTGATGCAGGTTTTCTGTTTAAACATCGATAGGGAAGATGGAAGTGGGCTTCCGTTTTTCCTTCTCTTTTCTAGGCTTGCACTTACTAGGTGGTCTGCCCTGTGATGAAAGAAGGTTGGTCCATAACAGCTTAACTCTTGAGGAACCTGTCTTTTATTTAAATAAATTAAAAACCATATATGTCCCTTTCAGAGGGCAATAATATACTAAACTTCAGTGTTGACAAAATGGAGCAAAATGTGAGAGAAGGGACAGTTCCCTGGGGGCTAGAGAAGGCATCCTCAGATTGGACCCATTAGGGATAGGTGAGATCAGGAACAGGAAACGGAGCATTGAGGAGCCCACGGAAGTTAAAGAAGTGGGAGCAAGTATTTCTAAGATGTTTGGAGCCCATCTTGACTGGAGTGGAGGGTATGGTTTGAATGTCTGGGAAGAAGCTGGATAAGAAAGTTGCACAAGGTTTTGAAAACTAACTTTAGAGCTTTGAGTGGGAGAGCTTAGGTGAGGTGCTGCCTCGTGTGGATGGTGATCTGGACTAGGGCAATGGCAATAGAAAAGGAGAGGAAACGAAGAGAGAAAAAGGAAAGCCATTTTGAAGGAAGAATTTAAATTTAGTAAAGATTGGTTAAAAGGGAGACAGCAGCGGGGGGAAAGGGGTTGTAAGTAAGGTACAGAGATAATAAATAGCTGTGCCTGCTGTGTTAAGTGTCTTTTATCCCTTGAGCACACTGTGTTCTCTGGTATTTTAGGGCCTTGCAAGTATGCTGTTCTCTGCTCGGAGGAACACACTCTCCGTCTCCCCTCCCATCTGCCACCTGCCTTAACTCCAGCTCGTTTTTTATACTTTAGTTTACTTTCTCCCGAGAATCCTTCCCAGACCCACTGCTCAGGCTGTTGTTTACCACTCTTAGGTGCTTCTGTCATCTCTCTCACCCCATTTTGTTTGGGTTTTGATTATTTTTGTTTTTAAACTAAATTCTAGACTTTATTCATATTTTTCCAGTTTTTCCATTAACATTCCTTTCTTCTGTTCTAGGTCTAAATTCAGATGCCATATTGCATTTGGTCATTTGTCCTTAGTGTCCTCTGATCTGTGACAGCTTCTTAGTTGTTCCTTGCATTTTATGACCTTGGTCGTTTTCAGAAATACTAGTCAGGTATATTTTGTAGAAACCCTGTTTTATTTTAATTGCATAATTGCTTATCAGTCTTATGATTAGACTGTGAGGGCAGTCTTTGAGAGCAGATACCATGTGACTGTCTGTACATGTTGAATTTGTACATCCTGGGTGTTGTTTAAGACCTAGTGTGTACTGAATAAATATTTGTTGAGTGAGTGAGCTCTTATCTATTCTACTCTCTTATTAGGAAATGAAAGATGATTCTGACAGTGAGAAGCAGCAGCAGATCCATCACATCAAAAACTTGTATGCCTTCAACCTCTTCTGCCAGAAGCGTTTTGATGAGTCCATGCAGGTCTTTGCTAAGCTCGGCACAGGTAACAAGTGGGTGCAGCCCTGGGATAGGGAAGTAATGGAGGAAGGGAAACTGGACAGGGCGAGGAGAAATGACACCAGATTTCTGAGAAAGGGGAAAGTTTACACTCACCTAAACTGATCCTCATACCTAACAGGATCCTACAGGTGACATAGTTATAGTCCTAAAATTAGGAATCTGGTCTCACCTGTAAATATGGACAGACTTCCAGTTTTCCAGGATGAGTTGCCCTAGCCATTAGAGAAAGGTAACAGAATGTCATTCATTTCAACAAATGTGTATCCCATAGTCAAGTGTGTGTTGAATGCTGTTCTAGACAAAAGTCCCTGACTTGAGCTTAGAATCAAACAGCAGGTCATTTTTGAGAGCCAGCACAGGGCAGGGCTGCAAAGCCCTTCCTTTTCAGTGTCTTAAAAATACTGAGCATCACGGTGACAAGCAGGCACTTTGGTGTCAGACGGTCTAACCTCCAGCAAAATTCCTGGACCTCTCTGGCCTTCAGTTCTTTTCTCTGCAAAACAGGGCAAATAATAATACCTCATATGAGATTATGCAAAATGCTTAGAACAGTGTGTGATGCTTAATAAGTGCCAATTAAGTGTTTGCTATTATTACTGAATTTATTATTTCTATATATTCCCTTTTTTTTGCTTAATTAGGATCAATCTATATGGTTAGACTCTGTATGATATTATTTATCTCCTCTTTTCTCCTCTTTGTGCTGCCTTTTTCCCACCTTCCCTCATTTTTGGCCAATAATGAGCTGAGGTAACTCCCTGTATCAGTTAGTTCTTGGTTGTGAGCAATGGAGACCAATGCTAGGGAATTTAAGTAGCATCTGGATAAATTAAGCATGGGTTAGTGGAACATAAGGGGAATGGTAGTAGAGGAGCCCACAAATTAATGGGCACCAGGCTCAGGACTGATAGGAACCAAAGGAACTTCAGAGGACCTCCTAGCAGGAAGCCGAACAGTGATCCCTGTGGCATAGGCAGTCCTCCTCGGCACAGCCACTTCCTCAGCTGTGGCTGCCACCACCTCCCGTATTGTTGCTTCCTCAGTAAAAATTGTCCCCTACAAGCTTATGTTACTATCTAAAGCCATGTTACAAACCACCCCAAAACTTAGTGGTTTAAAATAACAAATCATCTGTTAACCTCTCAGTATCTGTTGGTTAGGAATTTGGGAAGACTCAGCTGGGGGGTTCTTGCGTGGGGTCTCTCTCATGTGTTTGCAGTTGTATGTGGGCTGAGCTACTGTCATCTGAAGTCTTAACTGGGCTGAAGGACCTACTTTTAAGGTGACTCATTCTCATAGCTGACAAGTTGGTGCTGGCCCTGGACTGGGGCCCCGGTTCTTATCCAAGTGGGTCTTTCTACAAAGCTGCTTGAGTGTCTTCATGCAGAGAGACTTGGTTTCCCAATGGAAGCCTCATTGCCTTTTATGACTCTCCTTCTACCCTATCATACAAAAATACTCTTATTGCCCTAGGTGGTTTGGCTCAGTGGATAGAACATCGGCCTGCAGACCAAAGAGTCCCGGGTTCGATTCCAGTCAAGGGCACGTGCCCGGTTGCAGGCTCGATCCTCAGTAGGGGGCTTGCAAGAGGCAGCCAATCAATGATTCTCTCTCATCATTGATGTTTCTATCTTTCTCCCTCTCCCTTCCTCTCTGAAATCAATAAAAATATATTTTTAAAAAATAATAAAAATACTTATTACTAATTAAATGGATATGAAAATGCCATACATTGTGCAACAATCTGTTGACATACAAGGGTCCTTCCCAGTTTAAGGCAAGGGAACACAGACAAAGCTCTTGGGTGAGTGTCCACATGCTGAAAGAGGAGCATGTAGGATGCAGTATACTTTGGTGTGTGCTACACTGCTTGTCATTCTTGAGTCACTTTCTCAAGATCAAGGGGCTCTGATTGTCCGGGATTAGATCATAGTCTCACTCCCTCTAACTGCCAGGGGTGGGGAAAGAGTTTGTGGTCCCTCTCTGCTTCTGAAGGCAAAGGTAGGTGCCCAGAACTATTCTGTTACCAAGACTACACCTGGCGTGGAAGAGGGAGTTGCCGAAAGGAAATAAGTTGCTGTTAAGAAGGGATAGGGAAGCTGGGCAACCTGAAATCCATAAATATCTACTGTCCTTCCTTTGAATGAACTCAGTTGGGACATTTATCCAGCAGCTCTTTAAAAAGACACCGGAATAAGATAGAATTTTTGTAGTAATTTGATTCTTTTTCCGTATACCAACGATACTTGAACCCCAGTCCCAAAGGTTTAAGTTCATTCCTAATAAAGCTACAACCTTGAATTTATTCATTCCACAAATATGTACTGAGCGGGCCCAAGAAGAACTAATCAGACAGAATTCTGCTTTCAAAGATCAACCTAGTAGGAAAGGTAAGGCACAGTGGATCCTTTCCAGTGGCAGGAGGATGTGCTGGTGGCAGTGCCGTGTAGGGTCAGCTGGCCATTGATTGGACCTCTTGGGCAGGTCCTCCATTGATGAACCTTGTCTAAGGGCTGGTCCTTCTGTCCAGTAGTGACTATCTTAGCATTCGCAGAAATCATTTGTCTCTTCCTCATCCAAGCTTTTCATGTGTATGTTCCAACATAGTTATAATATACCTTCATAGCTTTTGTTACTTAAAAAGTATTGTTTTTCCATGTTGCTAGGTGCCTTTTAGAATTTGTAATGACTGCATAATACTCTACATTTGAATGAAAAACGCATTATTTTGCTGTTGAAGGAATTCTTCATTGTTTCCAAAATTGCATTGATACAAGTAATGCTACCTGTCCATACAGATGTTGCTTCTCCCCCCCCCCCCCCCCCCCCCACCTCCATCTTTTCCATTGTTTTTTTTAGGATTAACTCCTAGAAATAGGATTGGAGGTGTGAATGCTTTTTCCCTTTTTGAGGTAGCAATATTTTTTGCCTTGGCAGTGCAAGGGTGATTGTTGCACAATGTTGCAAGCACTGGGTAGTATCATACAAAAATACTCTTATTGCCCTAGGTGGTTTGGCTCAGTGGATAGAACATCGGCCTGCAGACCAAAGAGTCCCGGGTTCGATTCCAGTCAAGGACATGTGCCCGGTTGCAGGCTCGATCCTCAGTAGGGGGCTTGCAAGAGGCAGCCAATCAATGATTCTCTCTCATCATTGATGTTTCTATCTTTCTCCCTCTCCCTTCCTCTCTGAAATCAATAAAAATATATTTTAAAAAAATAATAAAAATACTCTTATTACTAATTAAATGGATATGAAAATGCCACCTGATATTTGTTATTGTTTTATAATATTTTATTTTTATTGGTTTCAGCTTTACGGAAGTATAATTGACAAATAAAATCATAATATATTTAAATACTTGCATAACCAAATTAATAACAAATCCATCAACTCACAAAATTAGCTTTTTACAAATTTTTATGAGGCTGCTTAAATTTTAGTCTCATACCATGTGATTTCACTAACATGTGGAATCTAAAGAACAAAACAAACAGTAAATACAGAGACTCATAGATACAGAGAACAGGCTGATCAGGCTGCCAGAGGGAAGGGGAGTTGGGGAATGGAATGAATAAGGTGAAGGGATTAAGAAGTACAAATTGGTAGTTACAGAATAGTCACAGGCATGTGAAGTAGAGCATAGGGATACCGTCAACAATATTTGTAACAATTATGTATGGTGTCATGTGGGGATCACTTCATAAATTACATAAATATCTACCTGAAAACAATCCTATCTAATAAAAGAGAAACATGGTAATTGGCGTACGACCGCTACCCTTCCCATTGGCTAATCAGCGAGATATGCAAATTAACTGCCAGCCAAGATGGCGGCCGGCAGCCAGGCAGCTTGAAACTAACATGAGGCTTGCTTGCTTCAGTGACGGAGGACTCCAACGTTCCCCGCCTGCGGCTGCAGGCCTCTGAGCTGGCAGTTTGAAACATAGTTACAAAAATAGAAGCTAAACAAAACCCCAGAAACCAGCTTTCAGCTAGCCGGGATCTCAGACCTGGAGTTGATACAGAGTTTCGATTGTAGAACCTAAACAAACCAGATACCTGCTTTCAGGAGCGGAGGCCTAAGAGCTGGAGCCTCAGAGCTAAAGCTGGCTCAGAATAAAAATGAAAAAAAGGAGCAGTTGGGAGCTTCAGTCCCAGCCTGAAAACAGCCCTCAGCCCCTCACCCAGGCTAGCCAGGCACCCCAGTGGGGACCCCCACCCTGAAGGGTGTGTGACCAGCTGCAAACAGCCATCATCACCTCATCCAGGCTGGTCAGGCACCCCAGTGGGGACCCCCACCCTGATCCGGGACACCCTTCAGGGCAAACCAGCCAATCCCCACCCATGAACCAGGCCTCTATTCTATATAGTAAAAGGGTAATATGCCTCCCAGCACCGGGATCAGTGGAGCCGCGAGGTCTCCTGGCACCGGGATCAGCATGACAGGGGGCAGCGCCCAACCCCCTGATCGCCCTGCGGCTCTGTGTGTGACAGGGTGCGGCGCCCCAACCCCCCCACCCCACGGGCCCTGCTCTGTGTGTGACGGGGTAGAGCCATAACCTCCCCATCAGCCCTGCCCTGAGTGTGAGAGTGGCAGCGCCCCAACCCCCTGATTGGCCCTGCTCTGTGGGTGATAGAGGGCGGCGCCCCAACCCCCTGATCCGCCCTGCTCTGTGCGTGACAGGGGGAGCTCCCCAACTCCCTGATGGGCCCTGCTCTGTGCATGACAGCGGGGAGCTCCCCAACCCCCTGATGGGCCCTGCTCTGTGCGTGACAGGGGTGAGCTCCCCAACCCCCTGATTGACCCTGCTCTGTGTGTGACAGGGTACGGAGCCCCAACCCCCCTGATGGGCCCTGCTCTGTGCGTGACAGGGGGTGGTGCCGCAACCTCCCCATCGACCCTGCCTTGAGTGTGACAGGGGGCGGTGTCCCAAACCCCCAATCGGCCCTACCCTGAGCGTGACTGAGGGTGGCATCGCAACCTCCCAATCCGCCCTTCTCTGTGCATGATGGGGCAGCGCCCCAATTCCCCAATCGGCCCTGCTCTGAGCCCGACCAGGGGCTGCACCTAAGGATTAGGCCTGCCCTCTGCCACCTGGGAGCAGGCCTAAGCCAGCAGGTCTTTATCTCCCGAGGGGTCCCAGACTGCGAGAGGGCACAGGCCGGGCTGAGGGACCCCCCCCCCCCCCAGTGCACAAATTTTTGTGCACCGGGCCTCTAGTATAAAATAATATTGGATTCACCTGACATTTTTAATGGGTAACAACACTTTGATTGTTAATGTAGAAGAACATTTTCTCACAAAGAAAAATAATTTGTATTTTTCTTTTGTCAGTTGTTATGTCTTTTGCCCTGTTATCAAATGAAATCTTACGGTTTTTTTTTAACCAATTTGTGTGCATTTGTTTTATGAAATCAACCTATTAGCCTTTTGCCATATAAGCTGCAAATTTATACCGTAGTCTGTTACCTGGTCTTTTTGTTTTAATAATATTCCTTTTTGACATTTTTTTTCCAGTTTTTTTATCTTTTCAACTTCAGTGTCTTAGCAGTTTTTCCTTAGAAGTTTTTTTTCTTCTTTGCTTTTAGAGAGTTAGTAAGTTCTCATTTTTATTTCTGCATATATATGTGTGTCTGTGTCTTGGAATATAGTCATGCCATTTTTGTAATGTTTTAGTGACATGTGTATAAATAGTGCTCAAATTATAAGTGTATAACTCACTTGAACTTAGTCTTTATGAACTTAGTTATTCTTTAAAAAAAAAAGTCAGGAACTTGTTTTATTTTATCCTTAAATTGTTGTGCTTCTTTCTGGGGACTCATGTTTACCTCCCATTCTAGATCCTACCCATGTGATGGGCCTGTACCCGGATCTGCTGCCCACAGACTACAGGAAGCAGCTGCAGTATCCTAACCCCCTGCCTGTGCTCTCCGGGGCTGAATTGGAGAAGGCTCACTTAGCTCTGATTGACTACCTGACACAGGTAGATAAAGAGAGAGGTGTATGGAAGAGAGACTCGGGAGTTCCAATACCTGCTTCTTTATGGCAGGGCTTTTTGTAATACCACAGACATTCCATAAATGAACAAAGTGGAAGTCTGGGCAGGCGAGTGTCTTTCTGCTTCTCCCTGCTTGCTGGTACCATTGAGCTGCTTTTTGCCAAATCCTGACACCAGGAAACACACTTGATCCCTAGTAAATTCACAACCAACTAAGCTGTTCAGGGACTGAAAAGAGTACATTTTAGTTGACAGAAAATAGTAAATTTTTAAAAACAAACATTTTTTTAGCATACATAATTTTGTAAAAATACCTGCGTTAAGCAGAAAACTTGGAAAACACAATAAAGTATAAAGCAGAAATACAGATCACCTGTAACTATACCCAGAACGCAGAGGAAAGTAACTACATTTTAGTGTCATCCTTCCAGACTTTTATATGTATTTGTGAATTAGGTTTTATTTATTTATTGGTATATTTATTACAAAAGGATATCAAACTATATAGCTTACTTTTAAAAAATTTAGTTATACATTGAGAAAGTTTTTTCTTGTTAATAAATAATTTCCTAAAACTTTTTTTAGGTGAATTATTTTTAGATTGAAAAAAATTTGTTATGGGTAGATAAGTGAAATTTAAGTGTTCTGCGGACCTTTGTAAGGCCCCCTGGGTAGGCACTGAGAAGTCAAAATTGCCAGGAAAATTGTAAGCCAGCTTCCTGCCTACTTCTGTGTCAGTAGGTGTCGCTCAGGACTAATCAGGCATGTGGGGCCTTGGCACTGCCTTGACATTGGGCCCCAGCAGTACTCAGCTGTGGCTGGCAGCCTGCAGGGAGACACTTGCCCCTGTCTGCACACTGTGTGGCCCATGGACCGAGTCAGACAGGCTCCTGGAGCAGCGTGCCTCCTGAGCCTGTGGCTTTACAGAGGCCTTCCGTTTATAGTGTCTCAGCTTTAGCACTCTAGGCCAGTGATGGCGAACCTGTGACATGCGTGTCAGAGGTGACACGCGAACTCATTTTTTTGGTTGATTTTTCTTTGTTAAATGGCATTTAAATATATAAAATAAATATCAAAAATATAAGTCTTTGTTTTACTATGGTTGCAAATATCAAAAAATGTCTCCATGTGACACGGCACCAGAGTTAAGTTAGGGTTTTTCAAAATGCTGACACGCCGAGCTCAAAAGGTTCGCCATCACTGCTCTCGGCACACAGTTTTCCCTGGCCTTCCCCACTGATGTTAGGAATGTGTGAAGTCAGCTGACACTAGTGTGATGGCAGAGAGATGGAAGAGCATGTAAGACGATGGGCATTGCCAATACAGTACAGACTCGGTGGTTCCATTATATAAAGCTCTGGAGGTGGTAAAAGCAGTCTGTAGTGATAGAGATTGATCAGTGGGGAGAGGGTGGGTGGGACTGTTTGGAAAGGGAGCTTTGGAGTGATAGAAATCTGTTCCTCGATTGGGGTGGTGGTTACATGCACCTAGTAGTGCACTTAGAAGGGGTCCGTTTTACTACACGTAACTTGTGCCTCGATAACATTGACTTAAGAATAATCATAAAAGAACATGGGCTTTGGGATCAGACCCTAATTTGAAACCTGCCTCTGCCGCTTCTGAGGTATCTAACCTCTGTACTGTGGGTTCTTCATTTGTAAACTGGGGATAATAATACCTGTATTTCTTTTAGCTTTAAGGTAGAATAATACATGAAGTGCTTGACAGGGCTGGTGTGTAGTAAATACTCAATAAATAGTTATTATCTGTGGCAGTTTGGCAGTCATCTGAGGTTTTTTGTTTGTTTGTTAGTCCTCACCTGAGCATATTTTTCCCATTGATATTTTTAGAGAGAGTAGGAGGAAGAAGAGGGGAAGAGAAAGAGAGAGAGAAACATTGATGTGAGAGAGACACATCAATTGGTTGCCTCCCGCACGGGACCCAGGCCACGATTGAGGCATGTGCCTTTGACCAGGTATCGCACCTGCCACCCTTCGGTCCGAGGGCTGACCCTCTGATCACTGAGCAGTTGGCCAGGGCTGCAGTCATCTGTTTTGATCCCTGATAGAAATTGTGTGTTATCACAGGGAGTCTGTTGAGGATTAAATGAGGAAAATCTGTGTTAAGGAAAGCCTTAGCATTGTGTTTGACACATTAAAAATGCTCTGTGGATTTCAACTATTTTTAAAAAGGTTTTTCTCAAAGAAAAAGAAAAAAAGAAATTTAACATTGTTTCTTTTACTCCTTGAACTTTAATTTTTATTCCACTTTCTCCCTAGAATTTGATTCTGATGTACTATATGCATTTTGTGCTTGAAGATCTTTCATTGAGCCCTCTGTCATATCTCTGTAACAAAAGTGTCCTTTTAATTTTTAAAAATTTCCTGCAACCAAATAACTGTGTTTTTTAAAATGTCATTTGAGTTCATTTGTAACTACTATTAATGTACAATTGAGCAATACATCATAAATATACTTAAGTTTCCAAGAACCATTAAATATTTAAACTTCCAAAATATTGCATGCCAGTGTGAGATCAGGGTGTGGACAGGTATGAGCTGATTTGGAGGTATTTGAAATTACCCAGTAGATCAAGTGATAAAGGAAGATTAGTTCTGGCCTTGATCCCACATTTTTGGCCTTTGCAGAAACGGAGCCAGTTGGTAAAGAAGCTGAATGACTCTGATCACCAGTCTAGCACTTCCCCACTCATGGAAGGCACTCCCACCATCAAATCCAAGAAGAAGCTGCTGCAGATCATCGACACCACCCTGCTCAAGTGCTACCTCCATGTGAGTCCCTAGAGCAGGCGGTACCCACAACCCCCGGCCTGCCGAAACTGGAAAAGGGCCACCCTGGGGCACCTGCTGTCAGCAAGAGCGAAGTCTGCGATGATGGGAACCACCTAGTCTTTGCCTTGATGCCTGTGAGCTTCTTGAAATTAAGGGTTTAAGTCAAGATACTGACCAGAGTCTTACAGTGGGCTGGCCTTCTCTGGTAAGATTGGGATTAGTGGTGTGGTGTGAACAGTGTTCCCTCAAAGGAAATATCTCCTCCCTCCCTGCCCCCCAAAACCATGAAAACACGTGAAAGATCATAGTGCTATAAAAGCCACTCCCTGTAGTCCTGAAAAAGGGTTGTTTGCTGTCTCTGCTTTTGTTAAATCCCTGGCCTTCCTGCCTGAAGCAGGCCTTCCTGCCTGAAGCAGGCCTTGGCGGGGAAGGGCGGGGTCTCCAGGAAGCACTTTGGCTGAAGTCCTGCCTCTCTGCAGACTAACGTGGCCCTGGTGGCCCCGCTGCTGCGCCTGGAGAACAATCACTGCCACATCGAAGAGAGCGAGCACGTGCTGAAGAAGGCGCATAAGTACAGTGAGCTCATCATCCTGTATGAGAAGAAGGGGCTCCATGAGAAAGGTGACCGAGGCGGGGAGGGCAAGCGGTGCGATGAGTCTGTGGGATGAGCCTTGGAGGAGGCCCATGACCTTGTTCTTGGCTTCGTGGCCAGCCCTGCAGGTGCTGGTGGACCAGTCCAAGAAAGCAAACTCGCCGCTGAAAGGCCACGAGAGGACGGTGCAATATCTGCAACATCTGGGTAAGTCCAGCTTTTGAAACGGGAGTCGAAAGTGTTCAGACAGACCTGACCCCCCTCCGTCTCTGATTCCAGCTGGTCAGTCCCCTCCCTCCTTGCTCCGCCAGCTGGGGGAAAGTCCCCTGTGGTGGACCCAGGGCAGCCCCTTGGAATGTAGCCAGCCCAGCAAGCAGCCCTGAGTGACTGGTGCTTGGACAGAGCTCTTCGCTCTAGAAAGTAAATTCTGGGCAACCTGGGCCCCGGCCTTCCCAGTCCTGTGGGCAGGGTAGGCTTTACCTGCAGACAAGTCTTACTTTTCCTCCAGGCACAGAAAACCTGCATTTGATCTTTTCCTACTCGGTGTGGGTGCTGAGAGACTTCCCAGAGGATGGCCTGAAGGTAGGTATGCGGGGTCTTTGGATTCACCTGGCACCGCAGTCGGTCCTGACTCTGCTCTGGAGACGGGTGGACGGCGGAAGGATTCCTGCAGTTTCTCTTACGTTCAGAAGAGTGGACTGGGAAACGTGAGGTGACAGTGTGGGGTAGTGGGAAGGGCTTTACACAGGCATCAGGAGACCTGCCCGGGCTGTCACGCAGTAACTGCGACAGAAGCCGTGCACATTCCTGCCCCCACCCCAGAAGTCTGTCCTGGGAGCTGCACATTTGGCAGCATGCGGTCAGGTGGTTCTGCTGCTGGAACTCGGGATTGTTTTAACAGATATTCACCGAAGACCTCCCGGAGGTGGAGTCACTGCCCCGGGACCGAGTGCTCGGCTTCCTGGTAGAGAACTTTAAGGGCCTGGCTATTCCTTATCTGGTAAGATATTGTTTGGTCTGAACTAAAAAGCTTCAAACCCAGGAACCAGGCCTCATGGGTCAGCTCTTAGACCAGCGCTTCTCAACCTGTGGGTCGCGACCCTTTTGGGGGTCCAACTACCCTTTCACGGGGGTCGCCTAAGACCATCGGCAAACACATATATAATTACATATTGTTTTTGTGGTTAATCACTATGCTTTAATTATGTTCAATTTATAACAATGAAATTGGGGGTCACCACAACATGAGGAACTGTATTAAAGGGTCGCGGCATTAGGAAGGTTGAGAACCACTGTAGATGATTCCGATTGCAGTTTGTGTCATGTGGGGACTAGTAGAAAGGCACAGAAGAGGGTTATTTCAACATGCTCTGCAGAGAGAGTGCAGTGGGCAAAGTTGGAAGGGTCACTTCATCGATACTTTCTAAACCTGGGTCAAGCATAGAGGAATAAAAGAGAAGGATGTTCGAGAAAAACATTTCAAAGCCACGTTTGCACAGCCTAACTCACCGTGGCCACAGGACAATGAAATCAGTTTGAAGTACCAGAATGCAGATATTTAACCTTAATTACATGGGCTGATGTGAAGGATTATGAGACAAAATTAAGAAAGGAACTTAGACTGGAAATCAAGAATTCCCAGTGTTGCTGGGTTGTATTGCGACATTTCCCAGTGTTTTCAGAAGAGCTGCCCCCTCGTAGCCTTTGCAGCTTAATTAGGAAACAGTGTGGATGGGGCCTATTGGGCCTTAAAAGTGTGAGGGGGACGGGGTGACTGGGCGGGGTCAGAGTGTTGAGGGCACAGGCAGACTGTGTCTCGCTTCAGGAGCACGTCATCCACGTTTGGGAGGAGACAGGCTCCCGGTTCCACAACTGCCTGATCCAGCTGTACTGTGAGAAGGTGCAAGGTCTGATGAAGGAGTACCTCCTGGCCTTCCCTGCAGGTACCAGTTCTCGTAGAAAGTCGGGGCCCCGGCCTCAGGGGAAGCTGGGCCCCAGGATGCTGTGAGTGACGTGGGCAGCAGACCTCTCTTGGCCCTGGGTGGGCAGGAAGTTCCTCAGAGCCAGGGCAGGGAAGTGACCCAGAATGGGAGACTCAGCAGCTCGTCTGGGTCTGGGCATCTCTAAGCGTCTTGGCATCTCCCCTGGGGGAGGGGGAAGGAACAATCTCTTCAAGATAAGGAACAGGTTTGCCTACCAGAGTGTTTCTCTAGGCAGTTTTTTTGTTTTTTGTTTTGTTTTTTCACCTCAAGTTTATGTTTGGGGGCCATGTAGAGACCATAATCTAGAGAGGCCAACTGGAAACGACTCTGGAGGCCCTTTCTGATGATGGTGGTGACGTCATTGAACCCCATCCCCTCGTTTTGCTTAACCCCACGCTGCTCCCAGCAGCATCCTTTCAGGTCGAGCTTTGTTTCCCTTACAGGCCAAACCCCAGTTCCTGCTGGAGAGGAAGAGGGTGAGCTGGGAGAATATCGACGGAAGCTCCTTATGTTCTTGGAAATTTCCAGCTACTATGACCCAGGCCGGCTCATCTGTGATTTTCCTTTTGATGGTGAGGGCTGGGTTGGGTCCAGAAGCTGCTTCAGCTGCTGGTAGTGCAGAAACTGACCTTTCTCTTTGCCAGCTCCCCAAGCCTCTCACCAGCTGGGCCTGGGAATCACCACGTGTGTAGGCGAGTGCTCCTGTTCTGCTCCTTCTGAGGCCTTGCTTTTGTGCTGTGGCTGAGGAGTCTCTTGGGGTGTGAGCCACATGCTAATTGATAGCAGGTTCAAACCTGTCTGTTGCTTCATACATGTTCTTGCCCACACTCATTATTCAGCAATTGTTGTAATTTGGCATAATTTGTCTAAAAAAGACATACCCGTCTGATGTGTAAGCTCAGTGAGAACAGAGACAGGTGCTTATTCCCCTTATTGGAAGAGCCTCGCACATGGTAGAGTTGGCCATGGAATGGGTGAACTTGCCTGATGTGGAAGTGCTCACAAAAAGATGGGATAGAGCCCCTCCTAAAGTAGCTCCCTCCCCCTTTTAAAAATTTTAGTAATAAATCCCAAATAATAAAAATATTTCCTCCCCGTTTAAGTTGCTCCAGTGTCCATCTCTCTAATAGTTAGCCCTGGCCCTGTGCGTGCCTCGTGGTGGTAATGGTTATCTACGTTCCTCTTCCCCACAGGCCTCTTAGAAGAACGTGCTCTCCTGCTGGGGCGCATGGGGAAACATGAACAAGCTCTCTTCATCTATGTCCACATCCTGAAGGACACAAAGATGGCTGAGGAGTATGTTGGCCCTGCCATCCCCGCTCCCCAGGGGTCTGAAAGCAGGTCCCCCAGAGAGACCACCGGCGTGAGAGACTAAGGGAGCCACCACCCCGCCACTCGGCCGCAGGAGGGAGAGTCGCCTGTGCTGGCCTCTCACTTCGGCTGCCTTTGGGCTGCTCGTGCCGGCGGCATCGATGCCCTTTCTCTAAACGTGTCCCCCTGGCCTTGTCTGAGCATTTTCTCCTTTGCAGGTACTGCCACAAGCATTATGACCAAAACAGAGATGGCAACAAAGAGGTAAGTAGTGGCCCTGGCCCCCCTGGCCTTCCTGACATCCTCTGGTTTGGCCGCAGGTGACAGACACTAGTGTGAATTGCTAAGACAAGATGGCATGGGTCAGGGCACCGCCTGAATTTGCCTGTACATCTTAAGGGATTGGCGGGTGCCATGTCCTGGTTTGCCTGGCTTAGCTCTGGCTTCCCTCTGTTGTCATCCATGTGATAATGAGTGGCATCCTCACCCCTTTACTCTCAAAAGAGTCCTCAAAAGAGGAAATAATTTTATTATTTGGGATTTATTACTAAAATTTTTAAAAGGGGGAGGGAGCTACTTTAGGAGGGACTCTATCACATCTTTTTGTGAGCACTTCCACGTCGGGCAAGTTCACCCGTTCCTTGTATTAGTTAGCCTGTTGAGAAGGAACCTCAGATGTGCTCTGTTGAGACTGCACACGGACTTGTCAATGTCGGGAGACATCTTTTATTGCCATGACCGGGGGCAGTGCTTCTGGGATCTAGGAGGTAGAGGCCAGAGTTGCTGCTAAACGGGACAGCCCAGTGAAGAATTATCTGGCCCAAATGTTAAGTGCTGAGTTGAAAAGTCCTGTGGCACTGGTGCCAGTAGGAAGTGCAGATCTTACCTTGGCTTAATCTTTGCCTGCCAAAACATGACAGGGTCTCGGCCTTCAAAGCCAAAGGAAATGAGGGAGTGCGTTGCGTCATTTCGTCGTGCTGGCATCCTGACAATGGTTAACAAGCAAGGGAAACCACAATCCTTAAATCTTTATACCTTCAGTTGACTCTGACTTTACCAAAACCTTTTAAAAGGTGAAAATGATGAGTTTTAAGTGCTCCATGACAGCTGTTACTGTAGACCATCCCTCTTACTGGGCGTTCTGGGGGGTGCTGCCAGCCTGACCTGCGTGCCTGTACCTGTGTGAGACAGGTGTATCTGTCCCTGCTCCGGATGTACCTGTCACCCCCCAGCGTTCACTGTCTGGGGCCCATCAAGCTGGAACTGCTGGAGCCCCAAGCCAACCTCCAGGCTGCCCTGCAGGTCCTCGAGCTGCACCACAGCAAACTGGACACCACCAAGGTCAGCTCTTCTCAGGGGGATGGAGGCGCTTGCAGGGAGCACGGAATGGAAAGGGGGTGGAGAAACGGCCTGGGATTCTCCAGCTCTGGGGCTTCAGCCACTCCCTCAGTCTCACTCCTGTCCCGCCTCTCTCTTTCCCATCTGTTCCCATCCTTAGGCCCTCAACCTCCTGCCAGCGAATACTCAGATTAACGAGATACGCATCTTCCTGGAAAAGGTCTTGGAAGGAAATGCGCAAAAGAAACGGTTCAATCAAGTGCTCAAGAACCTTCTCCATGCAGAGTTCCTGCGGGTATGCGCCTGGCAAACCCTCGGGTGGGCTAGTACTCTCTATTACGAGACAGTTACCACATATTCCTCAGGACAAAAGCAGACCTTAACCAAGTGTTCCCATTAGAGCAGTGGTTCTCAACCTTGGCTGCACATTAGAGTCACCTGGGAATCTTTGTAAAATCCTGATTTCTGGGCCTCAACCTCCAGAAATTCTGTTTCTTTGTTATTAATGTTGTGGCCTCACCCCATAGCAAAGAAACAGAATTTCCGGAGGATGAGGCCCAGAAATCAGGATTTTACAAAGATTCCCAGGTGATTCCAATGTGCAGCCAAGGTTGAGAACCACTGCATTAGAGGGATCTTTGCGGGCAGACCAAGGTACTCCTCCCCAATCGCTCTGCCCTCCCAGGTGCAGGAAGAGCGGATTTTACACCAGCAGGTGAAGTGCATCATCACGGAGGAGAAGGTGTGCATGGTGTGTAAGAAGAAGATTGGGAACAGGTGAGCCTGCTCGCGCCTCTGCAGGGTCTGCTCTGGGTGGGCCACGCTTCGCCCTCTAACCCGAGGGGAGAGCACAGGTGCAGACCGTCTGGGCACTTTTAGCTCCTGAGGCCCGAGGGGACAGTCCTCGCTGTCAGGAGTGAGCTTTGAGGATTTAAAAGCCTGGAATGTATGGCTGGGGCTGTTGACTTCTTGCCCATAAAGTCCCTCCCTTCTGGCAGCTAGAAATTGTGTAGCCAGTGGGTGTGAGAGTTGTATATGGGGAGGAGGTCCTTACCTTTTAGGGATGCACCTTTGAAGGAAGAAAAAGATCTTTCAACCTGCTGCCTTGGGATTTGAGTAAAATCCTGAGCCAGGATCATACTGTTTTAAGGCATATACTCTAGTCGATCCCCTTTCCCTCAAAGGAGAGTAATTTTCCTTTTTCTTACATGGGAGAATGCTTTTCTTTAAAAAGACCTAACTCTGTCCTTTGTTAGAATTAGCCCGAGACTTGTTCTGAAGAGCATCGTTGCCTCTCAGTAAGCCGGTGCCAAGCCAGGCCGGCGCACGGCCCTATTCACTCGTGTTTCACGTTGATGACTTAACAAGAACCTTCATGTACTCGAACTCCATGGACCTCATCCTCTGTTCAGTTATTGGACAGAGATGATGGCTGTGTAAATCCAGAGACACTGGGACAGGCTGCTCTTTGTGGTGAGGGCGGGCTGCTGGGATGGCTCCCGGGTAAGTGCCCGTCCTAGGTAAGAAGCGGTCTCTATAGGCAGTCACTCCCAAGTCATTTGTCTTCCCTGCAGCGCATTTGCGAGGTACCCCAATGGAGTGGTGGTGCACTACTTCTGTTCCAAAGAGGTGAACCCGGCGGACACCTGAGCTCAGCGTGCCCAGGACTCAGCAGATGGACAGCTTGGCCACCCCAGAGAGGGAAGCAGGTGCCGCTGTAGGAGTCAGGGCTGCTGCCACCACAGGTGTCTCCCCGTTTGGACACGTTGGCTACCTTGCGCCCTGGAGCATCTCTGAATTAATCAGACTTGTGGTCTGGTGCCGTCAGCTTTTTAATAGAAAAAGATTAGATAAACGTTGTAAACCAGGATGCTGCAGGCAGTTCCAGGGAATTTAACGCCTGCTTGGACTGGAGGAGGTGGTGACGGGCGGGCACTGTCTTGCCTTTGCATACCAATCACCTGAGTCAGGAAACTGCCTCCAGCTTCTGCAACCCCAGTGTTCATTCGGTTTTGTATCAAGTCGCATGCAGGACTTCACAAGGAGCCCTTAGCAAGGCCGACGGAGTCCGTGAGAAGAGAGCAAGCCAGAGCTCCTCTGCCTGCCAAGGCCAGATACTCCTCCTCTAGGTCACGACAGTCACTTCTCCATGGTCACTGTGCCGTCCCCCCAGGAGGCTCCCACTCCCGCCTCCCTTTTCCCATGTCCTTTTCTTTTGTGTCTCTCCCCTCACTGCTCCACTCTTTTGCCCACTTTCCCGACACCAGGAATAACTAATATTTAAGCAAGGCAAAGTGAGAAGCAAGGCGAAGTCCACTTTCTAGGGCTACACTGATACTTGACGGTGAGGTGTATAGCGACTAGGTCCTCCTCGGACTGTACGCTCGGCCTGGAAGCTGAGCAGAACGTCATTCTCAGCCTAGGAAGGCCTGTGCACCTCCCTGAGGGCCGAGTGTGGCGGTAGCTCTAGGGATGGACAGCACTGCACAGGGTGAACGACCTCCTAGGCTGCCATCGGCAGAGGCTCCTGCTTCTGTTCACCCACCAGCCATCCAGGCAGGTTAGTTTAGTCTTTGTGAGTGAGCGCTCTGTGCTTGGGCGCCTCTCTTTCCAGCCACTGTGATCCACTTACAGCATGGCCCGGCCGCCGTTCTCCAGCCTGGTTTTGCAGAGGTTGGAGGGCTGCACCGGGATATCGTAGGCACACATAGGAATAACCAGACCAGGCACTGACAGTGACGTGGCGTCAGATACTTGTGAGGTGCTCGGGGACTGCGCGAGTGCTGCAGACGTCAAGAACTATCTCACTGCCAGACCCACTGAGCATTTGTGTGGGGGGAGACCCTGGCTCCCAGAGGCACCAGGAGTGTCTGGCACTGCAGGCGGAGGACACACGGGAGAGGGGTACACCCTGTCCTCCCTGGGGGCTTGCAGTGTCTGAGGGTGAGTGACAGTGCCTGACACTGACCCACTGTGCTGCAGACCGACTTGCTGGTGGTGTAGACTAGGCTTCTCCCAGCACGTGCTCTGCGGAGGGTCTGAAGGAACAGTGAGTGCCTGTGGCACCTTCACAGAGATGGAGGATTCTGCCGGGTTTTGGAGGCTGAGCAGCACTTCACAAGAGCCACTGTCCCAACTGGCCATGCCTGCCCACAGGAAGCAGTGCTGCCTTGGCCGTTCTAGTGAAGACCAGCCTCCTCCAGGAACAGCGGTGACATTGGCAGGCCTGCCCTCCACTGTGGCAGAGACTGTTCCCACTCCGTGAGCCCTGCCTCCCAGGTCTGCTGTTTCTGTGTCTTCCATTCCCACTGCCTGTGGGGCACATCTGTTTGAAGCACTAGAACAAAGAATGTGTGTTTTCTCTCCTGCTGGATATTTAAACGGCCCAGTTTTCCCGGATTCCAGCCTTCCTTCCCTAGACTGTCTGCGCTCTGCGGTGGTGTGGAAAAGGCTGGCAATGAAAGCTCTGTAGTGAGGACTGATGAGGGTCTCGCATAATAAACATCATAGAGTAACTAACCAAGCCTATCTGGGTCTCTTTTTCCCCCTTCCTGTGGAGTTTGATGAAAATAATGAGGATCATAATTTAGCTAAGAATTGAGAAGAGTAAGCCCGTTAGTGACCATGGAAAAAGGTCAGTGTAACCCGTCTGTTATGTGTCTCGATCTGTGCCATTCAGCACCGCAGAGCAGCAGATGGATCGACAGCACAGATGGGGACGTTCCCAGCATTACCGTCTGCTGGACACACTGGCACCTAGTGAATCCCAGGGCTTCATGCCTCTTCCTGCAGCTCATAATGACTGGGAAGGCCAGGGAAGCTGTGGAATTGGTAGGATTGACAGACCCAGTGATGCTTGAGAAGTGGGGATGTGTTGGACCACTTTGGCCAGTTCCAAGACCATTCGATCTTTTATTCCCCTACACAAGCATTCTGTGGCCATTCTGAGCTTTCTCTGGGGATGAAAAACATCTGGACTAAGAGGCATAACTTGACTGAGGCATGGGCAGATGAACCCAGGAGAGTGGTATAGCCCAGAAAGCACTCAAGTCCATCAGGCTGTCTGCGCCAGGCCGGCGTGCTCCACACCCCTCCCTCAGGCTCCTCTGTCGATCCCAGCCTTCTCTGCTGCCGTACAGGTCACCATGGGGTTGGGCTCTAGCATTCCGGAGACCCCAGCACAGGTCTGTTCTTCATGCTCCAAATTGAGTAAACAGCCCCTCCCCTTGAGGTCCTGGGAGTTTCTGGTCTGAATTTGCTTACAGGGTTTGTTTTAAAGTTGAATCACCTGTTTGTTTTTCTCAGTCTCCACCTCCTCCACCTCGGGGTTTGGGGAGAGGAGTGGATGGAGATGACTGGGTCTTGGTTGAGGAACAGTAATGTATCTTCCAACAGATATGCTTTCTCCTGGAGCTGTGCCTTGTCTTGGCCACCTGGATGGTCAAGGTCCACAGAAAAGGGGATATCACATACCATCTGTAGCCTAAGGTATGGGGCGCAGCTACAGTGTTTTGGACAGGTTCAAGCCTCGGACTAATGAGAGGGCACAGTCCTCTCGTGGCCACATGCAAGTCCCAGCTGGAGGGCAGAGCCCTCCCAGCACAAATAGAGCCAACAGCAATAGTTGTAAGCTTGAACCTGTGGCCCCACGTGCTGTGTGATAGAGTTCAGGTGCATGTAGTTGAGTGGGGTTGAAACTCATGAGAATGCTGCAAACAACTTGATCACGCCCCTACTTTGCCTCGTGGCATCTGCTATAAAATAAAGACACGGCTTGTTGGCACTGCTGCTATCTCCTCATCAGGGAGCAGCGTCCCACCGAGACGAGACCCAGCTTTCATTCTCTTGTCTGTCTTGTCTTAATCCTTTCACCCCCCCACTCAGGATCACCCTTGGCCGTGCTGGCGTGGCACAACAAGGTTTGTGTTGGTCAACAGAGGACCTTAAAGCCTTTATCTCCAGTAGTTTAAGGACTGGCAGGCCTGCTTTTTACCTGCCCTTACTGATACCCTTCCTCTAACCTGGACCAGCTAGATATTTCCACTGATGCAAGAAGAGAGCCTGGGCAGAAGCCACAGGGAGTCATGAGGTTGTGAATGTCTTCAGGATATGGGTGGGCCCGCCTTACCTTTGGGTCTAAGGCGTGGTGCAGGTCTTGCACTTAGCAGCTTCTCTTTGGAGAACAAATGAGGGAGTCCAGGAGAGATTAGAAATACCTGAGCCAAATGGAACACTGAACCAGGAACTTGAAAGGTATTGGTTTTAGGCTTTTTCTGATAGAGGAGCCTGGCCTCCTGACGCAGTACCTCTTGGCAGCTGTTCCTTCATCAAATCAAACCATGGGAGTGGTGGGGTGGGGCTCAGGAATCTATTTTACACAAGCAGCCCAATGATAACCAACCAGGGTCTGGATTGGGAACCAGATTGCCTCCTGCCTAGGGAAACTGGTCACTTCCTGGAGCCGCTCAAACCCCGCCTCCAGTCCCAGGGCCCTCCCCACCCCAGTGCTACCTGTCAGACCTGAGCTAGCAGTGATCGTACGCAGAAGCGAGGAGGGTGGCTCTGGAAAGCAGACGGCTTCTTGCTGGGAAGTGGGCTGCCTGGCCATGCTCTGGGCGCTCTGGCCAAGGGGGCTGGCAAGCAAGGGGCTGCCTCTCCTGGGGGTAGTGTTGCTGCGAAAAAGAGAGAAGAGGGGACCTCAGTGGAGTCACTGCCGGGTAAAGTACCTGCTCTTCCCTGGGAAATGTGGACTGGAGGGGTCCTGGGAGTGCAGTCCCCTGTGAAGACAGGCCAGCCCAGCGACTGGGTTTTGATCTGGGTGGGACCAATTTCCTCCAGACAACCTGGAGGAGTTTAAATTAGAGAGGTTGGCCAAGACCTTGGCTCTTGAAAATAATCCCCTCAAATTAGGAATGGAGGGCTAGGGCATGTGACCCTTTGGCTGGGTTTGGCCCAGAATGCCTAGTCTGGCTGTTGGGTTTTGAGGAGATAGACTCACTCCAAGGAGTTGCAGTCTGTTGCTATGTCTCCTGAGCCCAAGCTGCAGTCTCCTTAGCAACTGGCCTGACCTGCACCAGCCGAGTGATTTTTGGTTTCCCTTCACCTGCCCAGCCTCCTCGGCCATTCAGCCCTCCTCAGGGAGCTAGTGGGTGGGATTGGTCACATTTTCTTCTAATATTTAATCTCCTTAAGCACCTCACGGCACCTCTCCAGCTACAGCAGTGGCACTGCGGTCTGAGGGGAGTGCAGGTGTGTGGTGCATGATAACTAATAATTAGCAAAAATGGCTACATGTATTAGGCCAAGCACTTTACATGACTTCTTATTGAAAGCTCACCACAACCCTATGAGATAATCATCATAATCCCCATTTTAGAGATGGGAGACCTGAAGCGTACAGAAATCAAATAACTTGCCCAAGGCCATCCAGCTAGTCCATGGTGGAGCTTAGATTTGAAGCCAGCCCGACTGATTCCAACATGTTGAACTTCCAGTGCCTGCCCTGCCACGGCCTCCCAGGTCCCAGTGATCCTGGGCCAATCTGCTGCTCTGTGATGAGAGAGGGAAACAGCAGCACTTCAGGGAGGCCAGGCCCCACACCTGGCTCATTGGAACTGAGTCCCCGAGTTCTGTTGTTTCAGCGGGAAACCCACCCATACTATGACCTCCAAGTGAAAGTGCTGAGGGCCAGAAACATCCAGGGCAAAGACCTGCGTGAGTGACCTTCAATTCCACCTTTTCTCCTCTTCCTTTCCCTGAGGTCTCTGCAGAGCTCAGCAGGGGCTGGCCTGAAAGTGTGTGTGTGTGTTTGGAGTGGGCAGAGCGCCGGTGCTGACTGTGGAGGGAGGAGAGGGAGCTCAGGCCACAGCCTCAGGGCTGGCAGGTAGGAGCTGGAGGGGAGCACTGTGCAGACCCTGACTCCTCCCTGAGCCTAGCAAGTAGAGCGGTGACAGCCTGGGAGAGTGTGACACCTGCTCTTGCCAGAACTCTCCAGGTCAACGCTCACACTGGGAGGGGAGTTTGTCACCTGAATCAAGTCCTTTCTGGGAGTTAATTATGCAGTGGTCTGTGCTGCCATGTGATCTTTCCAATTGGCCATGGCAGGACTTCCATTCAGTTGAATGGGAGGTGTCACTGGTGGAGCAGTCAAGGATGAGGACTCTCCCTCCATCTCCCGCCCCACCCTGCCACCTGGGCAGCCTCCTCTCCTGGCTCTGCTCCTTCCTCCCACCCTAGCCTCCTCCAGGCAACCTTTTCAGCAATAAGATCTTAAAGCTAGGACTCCTTCCCCACCCCTGCAGTGTCCAAAGCTGACTGCTACGTGCAACTGTGGCTGCCCACGGCATCTCCCAGCCGCGCCCAGACAAAGGTGATAGACAACTGCAGTGACCCTGAGTGGAATGAGACCTTCCACTACCAGATCCATGGCGCTGTGAAGGTGAGAGCCAGTGAGTGGCCGGGGTGGCAGGGGGGCACAGGGCTTCTTCAGGGTGCCTGCCCTGCCTCAGGCTCCCACGTCCTGCCCTCCCCGAATCCAGAATGTCCTGGAGCTCACCCTCTATGACAAGGACGTCCTGGGCAGCACTGAACTCTCCCTGCTGCTGTTTGACCTGAAGAGCCTCAAGCCTGGTCAACCCCACAAACACACCTTCCTACTCAACCAACAGGTGAGCTATCCCAACTGTGCCAGCAATGCGCTGAGCTCAGGGAGAGGACGCCCAGTCGGTCAGCAGAGACCAGGCCTCTACGACAGACCCTCTATCCTGCACCACTGATCCTACCAGGGGGTCCCTCAAATAATTCTTCCCTGAGTAGAGTCTACATGTGAACTCCTTGAGGGCAGAGCACTTTATCTTGATCATTGCTGAATCCTCAGCTTCTAGCACAGCGTCCTCACAGTGTTCAATGGATGGAGCTTCTCATGGAGATGCCACTATCCTTCCTGTTCCAGGGAAGCCACACACGGCTCCTCTTCTAGTCCCTGGGCTTGGGGTAGGGACACTCCCTGAGGCTTTCGGAGCTCTTTGAAAACTGGTGCTTCCTTGCTCCCTCCATTAGGATTCACAAGAGCTGCAGGTGGAGTTTGTTTTGGAGAACAGGTGAGTCCAAGTGGAGCCCATGTCCTCCCATTTACTCTGAAGTCACCGACAGCTCCTAGCTGTCAGTCCCCAGGTCCTCTGCTGGCCTGGCCTGAGAGGGGATGTCCTGGTCTCAAGGTGAATTTGAGTGTTGGCCAACACCCACTCCTACCCCCTAACCCTGCCATGCTCCCCAGGCTCTCCCAACTGCTTTGGTCACATTATTATAGTAACAGCCACCTTGAGGGGCTCAGATAGCCAATGAGCCCACCATCCTTTGCAGTCAGGCGCCTGCATCTGAAGTCATCACCAATGGAGTTCTGGTGGTAAGTAGAGGAGACACCAGCTTGGGGCTGTCCAGGGCTGGGAGCCATGAGAAGTCCACCATCGAGCCCATCGTACCCACTTGCCTCTCTGAAGACCACTCGACCCATCCTCAGA